TAAACTGCTAATTTGATACCAATCTAAAGCAAATGGAGCATTTTTTTTTCAGTCAGGTGTTGAGAGATGCAAAGATGAACAGAATCTGGTCTCTGCCTTGGGACAAGAGATCTGGGGAAACCAAGGCAGAAATAAAGGTTTCAGAACAGTCATTTCAGATCAACCCCGCCTCCTCCGGAGACCCTCCAAGCCTCTCCTAGGCCTCTCAGCTTCTCAGGAGCGTCCGCTTCTCCTCTGTCACTCCCACCGCGCCCTTCACCGTAGAGCGGGTGCTCAGCCCTAGTGTTGCAGTACAGAGCAGGGGTTAGGGCACAGGTTTCAGAGTCGGATTGGCGTTCTGGTGATTCCAGGTTGTACAATGTGAGCAAGTTAAGACCAAACCTTTCTGGGCTTCAGCTTCTGCAGCTCATTGCCTCAGGTTCCTTTAAGGCAAGTTTTAGCAGGAGAGTGGGGATTGGAGCTGTAATTTAAAACAGGGGCAGAGCTTGGATCAGCACATTACCCTTTTTGTAGCCAGGGGGAAAATGATAAAAAGCATTCAAACTAGCCATCATTAGAAAACCACTTGTGAATTTTCTCACCAGGTTTAGAACCAGTCTGACCTGCTGTTAGCACCTTGGGCAGGTTACCTTCTCCCAGACTTGTAACAGGAAAAGTGATGCTTAACTTGCAGGGCTGTGGTGAATCCACAGTAGTGTATATAAAGTACTTAACTTCTCAGATCAGTCACAGTGGTCTCACCGTACTTTAGTCTTTTACATACTCCATATATTAAAGTTAACGCATAGATTTACATCAGATAAGTTAATCAGCTATTTTAATAAACTAGATAGTAAATGACAGTGGCATTGATTTTTTAAAGGTCAGTTTGATATCATCATTGTACTTACCATTTGTATGTCATACTATTTGAATGTTGGACCTGCTTTGTTTTTCTTTCCCCAGATGGTATATCACTTACGGTCATGAACTCATTTGGAAGAACAGGGAGCCTCTAGTGAAAATTTGGCATGAAATGAGGACTAACAGCCCCAAAAAAGGAGGTGGCTCTAAGTAAAACTGGGGTTGGACGATACCCCGATGCGTCTGGTCCATGGCCTGAAAGCCCCAGGAACGCGTCGGCCCTAGACTGCCCATCTCTTCTCCTGCCTGGAAGACGCCCGGCTTCTATAGCTTTCCCGGGATTTTAAACTAGGTCCTCAGTTCATGTCTTATTAGAAAGCGAACTATGACAAAGTTGTGAAATAAAGGTTTATATCTCTAGTTTGTAAACAGAGGGTGTGTCTCTTGAAGAACACTAGTGCTGTCCTGGAATCTGGGATGTGGTTTGAGCTGTGAACTGGCAGGTGCATGGGGACAGACCTGAGGGACACTTGGAGGGAAATCTAGAGTCGCCCCCAGGTTTTCACACATGGGCCTTCCTGAGTCTGCTAAGCATTTACTTTTACCTACCTACCGCTTTCCTGGGTTGATTAACAGATAAAAGTTAATAGTATCTTCTTTCTGACATGGTTTGAAACAACAGGTACACTATTTTCTAAATTTCCTCAAGAAAGGTAATTGTTTGCTGTCAGTAAATGACATTAAAAAAAACTTTTTAAAGGGTTTTTTGCTTTCTAGGTTAACATTGTAGCTTAAAGGAAGTATCTTGGATAAAATCAGAAATTCAGACTTGAGTATGAGCCTAATTGCATCTTACATTTGAAAATGAACATTTTTTTTTCTTTATTTTTAGACAGGGGAAGGAAGGGACAAAGAGAGGGAGAGAAATATCAGTTTGTGGTTGCCTCTCACGGGCTCCCCATTGGGGACCAGGCCCACAACCCAGGGTTCGTGCCCTGACAGAATCAAACCAGTGACCCTTTGGTTCACAGGCCGGTGCTCAATCCACCGAGCCACACCAGCCAGGGCTGAAAATGAATGTTCTTTGCATTGAAGCATCTTATTGAAATAGCACACAGTGGCCACCATAGTGGCTTCACTTTCATGGAACTAACTTGCCCTGATGATTATGGAGTATTTCTAGGAAATGCAATTTGAGAATTTAAGTTTTTCTTAAGCGGATTTCCAGGAGAGTTTTTAGTGTTTTAGTGCCTCCAAAGGTTGCACTAAACTGTCATCTTGCACTGGAGAGGAGCGAAGGCCCTGACTTGCAAGGTGCTGGGCACGGAGTGTTGGGCTTTGTGAAGCAGTGGGAGTCATACCAACTTCGCACAGTGTGGAAAGCTGAATGGGCAGCCTCTCCCCAGAATATAGGAATTGTCCAGGATTTGGCATTTTTTCAAATCGTTTTTCAGTCTTCTGTGACGTACCACTTATTCTTACCAAAGGATTCTATTCTAAACCAGTGTCACTTCCAGGAGAGAGAATTTTTTTAACCTAGTCCTCATTTTGCCTGGAAGGAACCAGGGCAGTCGTGTGGGAACCGCCGGAGGTCACACTCCTGTGCTTTGACATTTTGGACTACATGATGCTAGCAACACTGTGATGTGTAGACAAGGCAAGAAGTGTTTCTCACAGATGGTATGGGAGGCTGAGATCACGTGGACATTTCATAGGGAGTCCAGAATGAAATTCATGGCGTGCCAGGGGGAGACCAGGAGAACAGTCAGTGAAGACACGTCTCTTCTCCCTGCTTTGTAGTGGGAGGAGCATTTAGAAAGTCAAGTCCCTAAAGCAGTTCTCTCTCCATTACATCCATTGATGCTGGAGCCACGGAGCAGCCGAGTACCGAATTCCCCATGAGAGGCCTTGGAGGGGAGTGCCCAGCTCCGGAAGCATAAGCCGTACTGTCCACAGCTTTAGCAGTTGTCCCTACACCTGTTTGCCTACTAGGCATGTTTTATTTTCTCAGTTTGGCTTCTCTGCGGACACTGGAACGCCCCAAGGATGTGTTCCGCCTGGCTCGAGTTCCTTTCAGTCTGCGCTGCCTTCCCTGGCCTCTGCAGTCTGGTGTTCCCAGGAATGCACCCTTCACTGCTGTCTCTTCCCTCCTTACTGCGGCTTCAGTCATCGTCATGAGCATGTCTTCTGAGCTCCGAACTCACCAAATGAATATCCCTGTGCAGTCAGTCAGTACATGTCTGCTCGGTGCCAGGCATCATTCCAGGTGCTGGGACCCCGCTGTGCAAGCACCTCAAATGTAACTGCTGGCTCAAGGAGCAATACCACCAACTGGAAGCCAGAAACGCGGAAGCTGTTCCAGGTTTTCCTCTCTCGCCTCTTATTCCTGGAATCCAGCCCCTCCTCTCCACTCCTGGGCCGGCCATTATCTTAGTTCAGCCCCTTGTCTCTAACCTGGACTTGTGAGACTGTTCTCCAGCTGGTCTGTAAAATGTCCTTGTGCTTTTCCATATGGCCACAGAGTGCCACAAACACGAGTCATTCCTTGTCACCTGTGAAAAACTTTTTAAGGCTGCCTAGGCCCTCTGTTGTCTGGCCCCTGCTGCCTCTGGCTGTAACCTTAACCCTTGGGACCCGTATTCCCTCTGGCCCAGTGACCCACCCTCCCTCCAGGCAGTGCACTTCTGTCCCCAGCCCCTTTCACCGTTCCTGTTCTGTTACACTTGTTTTCATGTGTGACACCCGCTACACTGTAAACTCCCTGAAGGCACCGAGCATTGTTCTAGGCACATCGTCAGTGCCCTTTGTTGCCCAATGAACAAGGTAAATGCAAAGAGCTTTTTCGTGGGTGGTTTTCTTTCCCCTGCACAACTCAGTATTTCAGGCACCAAATCTAGGTGGCTAAACTCAGGGCCTGGTACAGAGGTCAGGCCAAGGCAGCTGGCCCGGCAGGGAGAGGAGTTGTATCTCCCAGTGTCTTCACAGAATGCTCTCCTGGAGCCTCGTGAGCCATGGCCTGGCCAGGGCAGCCGTTGTGTCACTTTGCTGTGACTTCCGGCTAAGACAGTGGTTCGGAAGAGGAGCCGGCTCTAACCGCGGGGTCTGCGCTGCAGTCCTCTCTGAGGTGCAACACTGGATACCATCCAAGTATCTGCTTAAAATGGAGCTATGGATGCTGAGTGCCATTTCATTAGCGTTATTCATGTAATTGGTCTGCAGTGCGCGCGGGGACCATGTGTCAAATATTTAGGAAGCCTTCGATCGGGCCCCGGGAGTTTCTGACACTCGCACGCAGTAGACTGAAGTGTTACCCAAATTTAGCTTTGCAGTAAAACAAGAATGTAGGCCCAGGAGGGAAGGGAACGTTTGTAGCATCACTAGTGGCCACATGTGTGGCAGTTTTATAAACTAACGAAAGCCTTCGATCATGCTTTAAAATGAGGGATTTTAGAACCCCAGGAAAGGTCGGTTGAGGGCTACCGCCAATTCTCAGTGAAAAGCGATTGATTGGCTGTCACAAATGAACACTGTAAAGGCAGATAGTTGGGGGACTCACCGGCTGACCCCAACTCCTGTTCTCTGGGAAGCATGGCCCCAAGTCTTCCCGGTGACCCCCTCGTTGCTGCGCCTGCCCTGTGTGCCTGTGAGTCCCCGCGGTGCCGCCTGGCACGAATGCGGCGGCCACAGGCGGTCCCGAGACAAACGCCCGCGCGAGGCGGAGGCGGAGGCACAGGCACAGCGGGCTGTCCCGAGAGCTGAGATTGATCCACAGGGATCTCACCATCCGACCCCTCCCCCTCTGCGTAGCCAGTCCTGATTTATAAGATAACATTTAGGAAACTTTGGATTAAATTATGAAACATCTAAAAGTTGGACACTTGTCAATGCCTCCAGGCGGTTTCGTCTCCCCCCATCCCCGCTTCTGCGCCCTTCCGGTCGCGCGCTCTGCCCTGGCCCTCGCCCCGCTCCAGCTGTGCACACCCGGGTCCCAACCCCCCGCCCCGGGCTGTCACCGAGTCCTCCCCCCGCCCCCCACCTGGCCACCCCCGGCCAAGGGGCGGCGCTACGGCGGCGCTGGGGTACCGCGGGGGCGGGGATGCCGGGCAGGGGCGGCGCGGCCCGAGCGCCGGGAGCCGAGCGCCGGGCGCGGGGCCGGAATGGCGTGGCCCTGCATCAGCCGCCTCTGCTGCTTGGCGCGGCGCTGGAACCAGCTGGACCGCTCGGACGTGGCGGTGCCTCTGACCCTGCACAACTACTCGGACCTCGAGAGCGAGCAGCTGGGCCCGGGCGGTGCCGCCTCGCGCACGGGCACGTCCCCCGCAGGCACCCGGGACCCCGGCCGGGACGTGCCGCTCACTCAGTACCAGCGGGACTTCGGCGCGTGGCCGGCACCCGCGAGGCCCAGAGATGGGACCCAGGGGCGCAGGCCGGGGGCGGGCGGCCGCAGGAGCAAGTCCTCCGCATCTCCTGTCCGGGGGATCTACGTGCTCCCCATCGGCGATGCGGACGCGGCTGCAGCAGCAACCACGTCGTACAGGTATGGGGGCCGGGGGCCGGGGGCCGGGAGCCGGGAGGATCGCGATGGGTGGGTGCGAGGGGGCGCCAGGAACCCCTATCCCACACGACTTCGAGAGCGGCAGGCGGCCTCGAAGGTCATCCCCCTTTGGTCCCTGGGCGCGGCAGGCGTCTCCTTCGCTGCTCCCTGACCAGCCTCAGAGTGAATGAGCGAGCGCCTCCGCTAACGGGGAGCTCATCACCGCACTCCCAGCCCGCTCCCTTCTTCGGCTGCACCGAGTCAGAAAGGCCTGCCTTCGATTGAGTTAAAAATCTGCTTCCCTTTAACTTCCACCAGGTGCGCCCGGCCATAGGCGGGGTGCGCGCAGGAGGACCGCTTGAGCCCCCTCTGGCCAGGGCCCTCTGTGCGAGGTTGGTGGTAAAGCCCAAGCAGGGCGCTCTAGTGGGTGGTCCCCTGGGGATCCAACTGACTAAGGGCCGCTGACTTGGCTTTCCGTGAGGACAGGTCTGTGGGTCCTCCCCACACACAGTCCCTCCGAACTCAGCCCCTGGACACCTGAGGGCTTTCTCCTGTCTTTCATTGCAAAACTCGTACATACGCACTATTAAAAAAAAAAAAAAAAAAAAAGGAAATTACAGAAATAACCTCACGCCAGTCTGGTAGTTGCTTCTACCAGGGATGTCCAACCCGCAGGCTGCATGCAGCCCAGGATGGCTGTGAATGCGGCCCAACACAAAATCATCAATTTATTTAAAACTCTGGGAGACTTTTTGTGATTACGTGTGGCCATGTATATAATGTGTGGCTCAAGACGACTTAGCTTCTTCCACTGTGGCCCAGAGATGCCAAAAGGTTCGGCACCCCTGAGGGATCCCTAACATGCATTTGAGTGCATATTCATTTATAGTTATTACAGGGTTAGTTTCTTAGTATATGTTATGGATATCTGTCGATGTCACTAGATGTTCTTCTACAACATGATTTTTATCAGATGTGAAGTATCTTATATGCATCTATCTATCTAAATACTATTAATCTACTCTCATGTCATTGCATATTCTAATCTGGGTCTATTACAAACACTATTCCTTTGGTCCAGTTACTTCCCTTCCAGGAATTTTGCCTGTGTGGGCCTAAGGGAGATAAGGTCTGTTGCAATATTGCACAGCAAAAGACGGAAACAACCCCACTGTCTTGCTGACAGAAGGGACTGGTTAATTACAACTCCGCCCTAGGATGGGCTACTGGGCAGCCCAGAGTGCACTGAAGAGGGATGCACTTCCGCAGGCCCACAGCAAGCCCTGGCCAGGTAGTGCAGTTGGTTAGGGCCACATACCCCAGGGTTGCAGGTTCGATCCAGGTCAGGGCACATACAAGAATCAACCAATGAATGAATGCATAATTAAGTGGACCAACAAATCCATGTTTTTTCTCTCCCTCTCTCAAACCAATAAATAAAAATTAAGAAAAAAATAGGTCCACGTCAAATCAGCAACATGCAACACAACTTGCCTACTACTATTTGCCTCCTCAAAAGGCGTATTGAAATACACATATCTACACATACCAAATAAGTATAGGCCATCTCTGGATGAATGGTGGGCTACCTTTGAGAGAGAGGCAGAGGGCGAGGGGAGAGCCCGCCCAGGGAGGGAAGAGACTGAGTGGCTTTTCACTTGACTCTGTTGGATCATTTAAAAAAAAGTATAGGTGTTACCTTTTAAAAATAATTTTTTTAGACAAAAAATTTCTGTGATAAGCATCCTTTATAGCTAAATCTTTGCTCCTGTCATAATTTCTTTAGTATAAATTTAAATTAATACCGTGAAATTAAAGGGTAAACAGGTATGAACTTTCCACCTCAGTTTTATTTGTGAATCAACTGTCCCGAGGTTCAATTTCTGGGCAGTAGAATTCACCTACTGTAAGTGTACAGCTGGGTGACTTTTGTATTAAGCCTGAGCACCGTGACTGCTATCACGATATGCAGAACATTCCATCTCTCCAGAGGCTCCTTCATGGGCCTGCAGTTTTTAAGAACTTGACAGGGAGTGCAGGGTGGGTCTGTGTTCAGGGGCACATGCTCTCAGCTTGGGGGGATGTTGGAGGCAGGGCAGGAGAGGTCCGTTCTGACCGCTGCACCGTGGGGCCCTGAGCCAGCGGGTAGGGCCGGAACGGCCAGGTCTGGAGGCCAGAGGTCCTGGGTGTGCAGCGCCTTCACGTGGCTGATGTTCTAGGTGCCAGGAGCAGGACAGGGGTGGCGTTTACAGGGAGCAGATTCAGTTCAGGGAAGGAAGTGCTTTCTAATAATCAGAACAGATGATGGGGCAGCTGCCTCTAGTAGCGCTGAGCTCTCCTCACCGGGGTCTTTGAGCAAAAGCTGGGCTTTAGAAGTGGTCCCTCACCCGTGGTGAGCAGATGGTGGGTCTGAACATCCTGCTGGGTCCTCCGAGCTCCAGGGACACTAGAGGCACTAATTATTACTCTTCTTGGCACGCACTGGGCACCAGGCTCAGGATTTCCCACGGATTATCTCCACAAGGCTTCACAATAACCCTCTGGAATCAGTTCAGTTCCTGCCGTCCCCATTTTACAGATGAGGGACTTGAGTGGCTGGCACAAGATCCTGCAGAGCGGGCAGTGGAACCCAAGTGTGTCTCACCTCAGAGACGAAAATTTTTTTTAAAGATTTTATTTACTTACTTTTAGAGAGAAGTGGAGGGAGAGAAACATCAGTGTGGGAGAGAACATGCCCTGGGGGCCTCTGGCATGCCCCCAGCCGGGGGCAGCATGTTGCCGCAGGCACAGGCCCTGACCAGGAATCGAACCAGCGACCCCTCCGTTTGCAGGGCAACTCTCAACCCACTGAGCCGCACCAGTCAGGGCTCAGCGACCAAATTTGTTCTCCGCCCAGGTTATCCCCTAAGATGCCACCTCCTCTGAGTCACTTGGTTTCTTGAACGGTGTCCCGCAGTGACATCTCCACTTTCTGGTGTATAAACCTGTGGGACCCTTGGCCTCTCTGCCCCTTTTTCCTCATCTGTGAAGCAGAAATAGCAAGAGCTTGGCTGCCTGGTCCCCAAACCCCTGCAGGGACACAGAGCCACCGCTGAACTTGCTTCCCCTGCCCCGGGCTGCCGGCCTGCGTCCCAGCCCTAGAGCCTGGCCTGAGCAACCTTTCCTGCTCCCTCCTTGCAAGATGCACCTGTCCCAAGCAAACAGCTCCCCTCAAGTGTCAGAGGAGCCATGGCCACTCCACCCAGCAGGTCCCGCCTGGCCCGGTCCCTGGTCTCTGAGAGAAATGACCTGCCTCACTTGCTGGGCCAGATGGGCACAGAGGGTCCTGCCCACAGCCAGCCTGGCCGCCTCCTCCTGAGCAGCCCCTCTCGGACCCTCCCCTCCAGAATTCTGTGCCTGCTGGTCAGCACCTTGGGCCCAGGTCTAGTCCCACCCACTTCTAGAAGAGCTCCTTCCTCAGTCATCTCCCTGTTTCCTTCCTGGGCAAGTAGTGGAAGGGCCAACTGTTGAAGTGCCACAAGACTTGACTCCTACTTTTCCAAGTGCCCAACATGAAGGCTCACACTTCGAGCATGTGGATCAGGAGCCCCATTTTCCAGCAGAGGAAAGGAAGGCTCTGAGAGGTTAAGGGATTTGTTTGAAGCCACGGTGGGCTGAGAATCAGGCCTCCGGATCCTTAGTCCAGGGCTCTCTGAGTTGCCCTGAGTGGCCCCCGCTCCCCCTGGGTGGGAGGGACTGCAGCCATCGGGGTCCCCCTGAGGCCCACACGAGGTGGGCGATGGAACCTGTTTGGTTAGGGGAGGCACAGTGGCCTTGACTAGTCCTACTTTTTTTTTTTTTTTAATTTACTTTTAGAGATAGGAGAAGGGAGGGAGAGAAACTTTGATGTGCCAGCTTCAATTGCTTCTCGCACGCCTGGCCTGCAACCCAAGCATGTGTCCTGACCGGGAATCGAACCGGGGACCTTTTGGTGCTCAGGCCGGCACTCGATCCACTGAGCCAACACTAGCCAGGACAGTCCTACATTTTTATTATTGTTTTTATTTTTAAAGATTTTAAAATTGTATTTATTCTTAGAGAAAGGGGAAGGGAGAAAAAGGGAGAGAAACATCGGTATGTGAGAGAAATAGCAATCGGTTGCCTCTCACCGACCTCCGACAGGAGACTGGCCCACAACCCAGGCACGTGCCCTGACTGGGAATCAATCCTACAACATCTCTCTTTGCAAAACGAAGCCCAACCAAGCGACACTGGTCAGGGCTATTACCTTCATGACCAGAGCCATGAGTCTGCCTGCCTTTCCTGAGCAGTCCCCGGTACCTGCCGATTCCACCCTCAGTCCCTTCTATGTCCCTGCTGCAGCCCTCTCGCGCCTGGGCTCCAGGCCCAGGAGCAGGCACAGGCACCGCGTTAGCCCCTGGCTCTGGTTGTTTCCTGCGCCGGGACGCCTGCAGCCGCCCTGGGGCAGCAGCTTGGGATGCCAAGCCCAAGGCCCAGCTCAGTTTGGGGACAGAAGGGCACACCCAGGGGAGGACCTGCTTCCTCAGGAGAAACAGAGCAGCAGATGGCTCAGGCAGCTGGTCTTTGGAACCTTGCAGCCTCAGGAGCAAAACTGATCTACTGGGGCCCGGGCCCAGCTCGCCTCCTGGCACCCCGACAGCTGCTCCCTGCACGCGCGGCCCGCCCAGCAGGGCCCAGCTGTGCCGCTGCGGAGAAAAGGCAGCTTTGTTGACCTCAGGGCCTGAAACCTGGCCAGGGCTGTGGGCAGGGGGAGGCAGGAGCAGATCCAGCCCACATGTGGGTGCCGCTCTTGCCAGCTGGGCGCTTTTCCACAGGACATGGCCTCCGCCAGGGGCTCCTGCGGACACGGCAGGTCTCTGCCTTCCTGAGCTCACCGGCTCGTCCGTGCAGTTGATAGAAAATAGGCCTTCTTCGTTCAAAGGAACTGAGGAATTGTCTTCATCAAAAGAATGCTACTCCGGGGACAGGGAGGAAAAGTGGCCAGCTCTGTCACTTCCCCTCAGGTAGCCAGCTTTCCCTGCTGCATGCCAGACCCCTCCCTGCACCGTGCTCAGAGCCATGCAAGAGCCAGGCCACCTTATAGGTTTTTGTGATGGTCACTATGACTTACTCTCTTTTGAAGATGTTAATAAGACAAATTACTAAAAACTCAACAGAACATTGAGCCTTATTTTCCTTCTTACTCACAGCTAGGTACGGAGGGCTTTGCTGTGCTGGGCACTGTCCAGGCCAGCACCTCCTTGGGACTTGGGGCCATCAGTGACCCATGTTGGAAGTGAGCAACCTTCACTGGTTCCGGGCCTCTAGGGCTCCCTGAAAGTGGCCCAGACACAATATAGGGAGCACCAGAGGGAAGGGCTGGAACATTTGTCTCTGAGGCCAAGCACACACCAGGTGCTTGCAGTTTGGGGCAAATAAGATCCAGGTGCTGACTGAGCTCCTTCCTAACTCCCTGCCAAAGCCCCCCGAAAGCCCGAAAGCCCGTCGCTCATCTGCAATGAGGGAGTTAAGTTTTGGCTACTTAAAGGGGGCGGGGGGAGGGGGCCGGGCCAGGTCAGGTGAGCAGACTTCACAGTGGAGGAGGGAGCCAGGCTGGTCAGCTGGACAGCTGTCTCTAGTGAAGTGGTTGTGCCTGGGGAGTGCACTCCTCCGCTAGTTCTTTTTCTTTGTTTTTAAGATTTTAAAGAGATGGGAAGGGAGAAAGAGGATAGAAACATGGATGTGTGAGAGATACATAGATTGGTTGCCTTTCACACACCCTCAACTGGGGACCTGGCCCACAACCCAGGCCTGTGCCCTGACCATGAATCAAACCTGTTGACATTTTGATTTGCAGGCTGGGGCTCACTCTACTGAGCCACACCAGCCAGGGGTGTTTTGTTTTTAAATACATTTATTGATTTTAGGGGGAGGGAGAAAATGTGAGCACGTGACATAGATGTGAGAAACATTGATCCTTTTCTTCCCATTATGTGCCCTAACTAGGGATCAAACCCACAACCTAGGTATGTGCCTTGACTGGGAATCAAACCCCCAACCTTTTGCTTTACAGGACGATGCTCCAGCAGAGCCACACCGGCCAGGGCTCCTAGTTGTTTTTGTAAAGAGAAAAAGGAGCACCTCGAGCCGAAGCAGGATTTCTGCAGTGGGCTCGGCCAGGAATATTCCAAGCAGCATGGGGCCAGGGCAGGGCCCCTGCGTGGTCAGGGGACAGGGTGGCCGACCCTGTGCACGGTTGTGACCGTGTTCTCTGCTTCAGACAGGAATTCCAGGCGTGGACTGGGGTGAAGCCATCAAGACCCACAAAGGCCAAACCCACCAGAGTCATCACAACCCACAGCTCCAGATGGGACGGCAGCCCCGGGGCCAGCTCCCAGGTCAGCCAGAAGCTGGTGCTGCAGGGCGAGCGGCCAGGCGCCTGGCTGCAGGGGTGAGGGGGCAGGCTTCTTCCTGGCTGGGGACTAGGAGTCAGACTTAATGGGGTAAAATGGCATTACGATTGGGGCAGCTGGTCCCGAGCACCCAATCATCCCAACGACCAGGGAAGCAAGGTCCTTCTTTGTTATTGGCCAGGTGGGTGTGCCCTCGTGCTGGCTTCTCCCGTGAGCGGGGTCTCTTTCCCTCCTAAGTCCCAACCTTTCCCTTGACCACGGAGCACAGTGACAAGCATCTGTGTAAAAGAAGGTGGAGGGAGGGAGGACCATTCAGCTTCCTGACTCCACCCCAAGGAAGCTCCAGGGAGTGGAATGGAAGGTCCCTGCACCATGTTTGACCTACTAATGCAGTGACTCTGCCCACTGCAGAGGGTCCCCCACGGACCCTTCAGGTTAGTGGTCTCAACTCCTGGAAGACAAAGCGGAATTCTTTTCTTGGAGCTGGGGGGAGGGGAAGTGGAGGAAGAGGCCCAGTGACACATGACCACATTTCATTTTCCAGGTCCCTGAGGTGAGGAAGAAGTTCGCTCCTAACCCCTCAGCCATTTTTCAGGCTTCCGCTCCTCGGATCCTCAACGTGTGACAGCCCAGCAGTGTGGAGTGCCACCAGGGGCCAGAACCTCCGGGGCGGGGCGAGGTCTCAGGGCCCGACCGCCCATGGCGGTCAGCGGGGAAGGGTCCATCTTTCTCACCGCCGGCGCCACTCCTCCCCGACCCAGCTGCCACCAGGCTGCAGGCCTGCGCAGAGCAGGGGCACGGATGGACGCGGCACCGCCCCGCTCAACTCTGGGCCTCAACCACCCTCTTTTTCCTCAAGAAGTGTGTGGAAGGCTTCTGGTCTTTTTAAATTGCCTTTTTTAGAGACCCTTCAGTTTTTAAACCTGAAGAACTTGAGGATCAACTCTGTTGTGAACTGAACTGGTTGGTCCAGGGGGGCTGACGAATATGGACAGGACAGGACCTTGAAAGGACTGCTCCTGTCCACTTTGTCTTCCCAGGCGGCATGGTGATTTTATAACCTACGGTAACCCAAGGGGATGAATGTCCTTGAATACTCCTGCAAATGGCCCCACACGTTCAAGCTGTAGAAGAAATCTTAGGTTATCACCTGCATGTGATTCATAATGACCAGGGAGAAGTTTCCAAAAGAAGAGAGTACCAATCACAGGGTTTCAATGTCAAAGCCATAATTTCTCTATGGGCAAGATCTGTTACGTTTTAACAAAGTATTACTCTTTCTTGGGATGAGTGCATGAAGTAGTGAATGAATGAATGAATGAATGCCATTTACCTTATGGAAGGTTTCTGAGCCCAACATTTTATTACCAATTCCAGTGTTTTTTTCCTTAACATATTGATAACTAGAAGGGAACTACCATCCACGCTAAGAACTGGGAGCCTTTGGAGCCTTTTTTAGGAGACTGCAGCATCAGCCTCTCCCTAAAAGACCAACCCTGACCACTACGCCCACCCGCCACAGCAACCTGGAGCTCACTGCCCGTTGAGGAGGCGGCTCATCCTGTCTTTGGAAAGCTCTCTCCTTTCTCCGTAAATCCCACCAGTGTACGTGGGGAACAAGCCTGTTCCCCTCTTTGCACAGCAGCCCTTCAAGCACTTGGAGTTTATGTCCCTTCTTTAAGATCAAAGGCACAGCTTGGGTCAATTTTGTTAAGAAAGCTGTCTGTCTCCCTCTCCAGCCCAGGAGCGGCTCCAATGTGGGGCCACTTACTTAAGCCAGAGGAGGTGGCGTTGGGGTCTCACGGCAACCTCAGAGTAGAGGAGGGGCTGTTTCCAGCTCAGGCTGCGAAGGGGGCAAACCCTCAGAGGTGCCAGCACCAGCAGGCACAGCGGTACCGCTCATTCCAGCAAAGGAGATGCTCCGAGAATACTGGAAAGGGGAAACCAAAACCACATGTTTACACCAAGGGTTCTGCTCTCTCAGACCTCATTGGCTTGCTTATTGGATGCTTCTACAAGAGCGACGGCCTGCTGGGCATTCCACGGGACATGAACACATTAACCCAACAATCTCAGATTTCACTAACATGCAAAAATGTACTGTTTCAATTTCTTGTTCATTTAATTATAAACAAGCACTTTCTCCTACCACTTTCTTCATCCTCCCCATGGTAACACGGACTTTAATGCTTCGCAGCTGCTGCTGGCATCCCTGGAGGCTTGTCAAGCCCGAGAACCCTCGCTCTGGGCTGCAGTCCACGTTGGTGTTACACGCAGTCCTTCAAAAGCCCCACCAGCCTCCGCCACCCTTACCCCTTCCCATGTGCGCCCACACCCAGGAGCCCAGCGTCAAACGACTCTTTGAAGCTGGTCTTGGACGCAGACCCTGACTCCTCCACTCACTAGCTGTGAGCAGTTTAGGCTTGTTACACAATGAGGCTAATACCCCCTACCTCACTAAGAAAACCCTTGTTCGTGCGCAGGGGGCTTAGTGAACAGCCAGCAGAGCACAGCTGTTCTTGTCATTCTTTCCTGTCTGGGCGCCCCTCCCCCCTTCCCAGGGAGCCGGTTCTATTCTCCTGTGCAGCTTTGTTCCACCTACCCCAGCGCCACCAACATAACCCCTCACTAGACCCTGCCTGTCGCACCGGACCCTGGCAGCGCCCCTCCCCCCGCCCCCCCACCCCGCCGCCCGCCAGGGCCTGCCTGGGAAGCCCATTCATTCTTTTGTCCTCTGGTCAGGGGTCCGCTGCAGCCCAGCAGGTGAGGCAGGCCTGCCCCTCCCCAGCACAGCTGCAGGCCCGGGAGCCTTTCTGGACGCACTGTGACAGCTGGCTTTTCAAACGCCATGGCCCAGTAACCTTCCTTCTAGGCTGAAGCAATTATTAGGGGATCAGGGTTCTGAAGAAGAAACTTCCTCTTACTCACTCTAGGTCTCAGTAAAGCCTAATATTGTGTTTTTGTTATGCATCACATATACATAATATACACTGATAAATACAGAACGGCATTGGAATATTACTAGTGGTTACCCTTAAGATGGGGATTTATGGGTAATTTCCAATTTTTTACACCTTATCATTTACTCAAGTTTCTATATAATATGCATTTTTGTATTGAATTCTGTAAAGAGAGAAGTTTTTTAAAACTAAAAAGCAGTTCAATCTGTTAGCTAATTTCAGCAAGAAAGAGCTCACCGTTATGACCTGTACCCCAAGTCAGCCAGCACTGCCAGCAGCCACGGCGGCACCGTGAGGCTGCACCGCCCGGCCGGCCAGAGGGCCGCCCCGAGGCCCGCCCAGCTGCAGTCACTCAGAGCAAGGTCCCTCCTCTCTGCGCTCTGCGGTGCTTCAAATGCAAAACACCCACCACAAACACTAAAGCTTCCATTCCTGTACCAACTCCAGGACTGCAGGCCAGACTCCAGAGAGCAGCTTTTGAGAAAGCCTGGCCCGGCCTGGCCGGCGGCGGCCCTGCAGCCCCTGCTGGGCCGCTGGGGCTGCCCTCCCCTTGGAGCCCCTAAGCCCTGCTGTAGCCCCGCCGGCCCGGGGACACAGTCCCTCCCGGCAGTAAGGGGGAGGCCCGAGTCAAGGTACTGCCAGTGGCACGGATCTTTTGTCTGTTCTGCGGCTCCTGTCAAAACCAGGGCTGAGACAACAGTCAGGAAGGGAGGCTAAGCCCGTTCTCCCTTCCCCAGACCATCCACCTCCCTAGAGGCTGACGCTGAGTGAGGTGTGGTCCCAAGAAAGCTATGTGCCTGGACTGTCTCACAATTCCTCTGCCCTGCGGAGGAAGGGCTTTCAAACTCTTCAGTTTCTTCGTAAGGGTGGATATAGGAAGTCATTCTCAAATGTTTTGGCATTTTTGGTGATTTCTAAGCCATTAAAATGGCAGATGGTCAGAGCAGGATTGTTACAGGAGTAACTGCTTTAGGACGTCAGTAGAGACCGATTCTATCTTACCAAACCAGTGTGTTTGTCAAACAGGAGCTGTCCCCTCCTTGCCTTAGCTCTGAGCTCAGTTCAGCAGTTTTCCTTTGCCCCAAGCTGACAGGAATCACCATGTCCAAGGTCAACACGTAGCTTCCCAAATTTTTCAGGCTTTTACATAACTGTTACCCTTTTCTTGGTACCCACAAGTTCTTTTTGGAGAGAAGAGGAAGACTTGAATACATAAATACCCGAATCTTTGCCCCATCCTTGCTCTTTCTGACCTAATATAAGAAGAACCCTACCAAAGTGTAGTGCTTCAAACTCAGAAAAACCCATCACAAATACTAAAAGATTTATTGTAGGTATTTTTGTTACACAATTATGTTACACATTATGATACAAATACATTTGAAACATCAACACAAACAGATTAATTCATTTAGGTATTTTCCTTTGCAAAAAGGTAATTATTTCTTTAGGCTTTCCATCCCTGTAATACATCTGTTCTCATCTGGACGAAACCTTCCATCGGGCAGAGCTCAGTCACAGCCCCCTGCTGCACGAATCTACACACTTGCCCTTGCCTGTTACCCCTGCCTGGAGCCGTGTGTGGAGAGCCTAGCTGAGCCTCGACCACTCAATATGCTATCGCAAAGCCAGGGCACGCCCTTGCCTTGCCTTGCCTGACAGACTTCCTCCTGCATTTGCAATTCTCAGATACCCAATAAAGAGAGGGTGGATTTCTCATCCTGTCACCTCCCTGCCTTCTTTTCCTGACAAACATCTACAGGACTCATAAAAACACACAAATTATATTGCTTGGATAAGTTTAACTCTGACTCACAGGTTTCAAATGGTCTTCGAGCAGCTTCCTGACAGAATAAATCTATTCCTTTACTTCCACACAGACTGTGTTAGGAAGCCCTGGCCATCTCTCTACATGGAACTGGACATCATCCAGGTAGTCAGCTAACCTTCCTTCTCTCCACTTCTCCCTCCCATTTCCTATGGATACAACCTTTTCTCATGGACTCTGAGCAGACATCCCTGTCTTTTGGCTTCAGCAGTCATTTCTCTACCTTTAAGGCACTCACAACTATTTTCTTTGAAATACTTTCCTTATTGTGAAAATCTTAACAGAGAAGAACAGGACATGGAACCCACAGACCAGCGTAGTGGGCCTGTTGCAGGAGCTGTTCCCTGCCCCTCAGCACAGAGGCAGCAGCAGAAGCTCCTGCCAACCATGCAAACAGTGAGGACCAGCTCTCTGCTGGGCACATGCGCAGAGCTGGTACCCGTCTGCCAAGAGCCCGGGGTTTGTGGGTGTTGTCTACTACAAACATATTAAGAGCTCGTTGGTTACAGCTAACCCTTTCTGGACCGATGCTGGGATCTGTCTATCCCTTATCTCTGAGAGACTGGTTGTAGTAATGCTTCTGTGCTCTGTGAGAAAAAAGAATTCTCTGTCTGCAATCTTCCAGGCCTTCATGTTTTCTGCACAGTATTACTGCATCCTGTCCCTGACACACAGGGGCTGAGCGGAGAGCCCCACACCACGGCCACCTGCCCAGTGCTGAAGCCTAGTCCCCCAGATGCAACCAGGGTAACTTTTGGGGCTGCCTGTAACCCCAGCCCACAGAATGGGTACAATCTCTAGCCTGCCAGACTCATGCTCTGCCACCTGGAAGGAGACTTGGGCCCAAGATGCCCCCCTGAGGACACCCCAAGGAGAGAAGGACCTGAGACATGTGGCTTGGCCCAGCTCTGGGAGCCTCGTGTGGAGCTGTACAGCATGAACAAATGCAAGCTGACCGAGCATGCGTCTCTAGATCAGGAGACTTCTGTCCTAAAGGGACTGATCTGGGATTGAACACTCTGGTGCTTACACTAGATTAGATGGAGGCAATGGTCTGGTAGCCATGATGTTCTGAGGCACAGAGAACCACCTCCTTCTCCAAACAGAAGAGTCATCACAGTTCCAAGCTTCAGATAAAGCTCCAGATCCTGCTCTTCCAGGGCATCTTCCTTCCACTCACTGATCTTCATTCAGTATCCCCATGTGTTTGTTTGTGAGGAAGTCCAGAAAGGGAATGTTGCAAATGGCCTGGTGAATATTACTCACTGTAATTTCTTTGGGGATCCTGGCCCAAAAAACAAAGGCTGTTAGGTACAATGCCCTCAAGCATCTAATAATATCTAAAGCACCATCTCCTATACAGGCCCTGACAGAAGCCAATCATGGTGAGTGACAAGCATGATTTAGGGCCACTTGGGGAGTGGGGAGGGGGCAGGTACAATCTCTCTCTCCTCTCCTATTAATTTCTTGTAACTCTGGTAAAGATGTGGCCTACCCTCTTTAGTACGCCCAATTAGGGCTCAAATCTGTATGAAATGGATCTCAAGAAGTAGGTTGAATGATTAAGAAAAAAGACGCTAAGGATTTAGAAAAAAGGAAGTAAGGTGCAGAGCAGAACAATGGGATTTCTATAACTCAGTCTGAGAAGACTGAAAGCAGAGTTAAAGCCCACAGAACTCTAGGTCCACATTTTCCTGTCTCTTGGCAAGAGGGGAGATGGAGTTATGCCAGGCTAAGTGTGATGTTAGATGTTCTTCTCAAAAGCACCCAAGTCCCTATTTAAGAAAAAGAAAATCAAAACTATGAACAGTAAAATGACAACGAACTCACAACTATTAACAAGTGGATCTCAAAAACAAAAACAAACTAAGCAAACTAGAACAGGAACAGAATCACAGAAATGGAGATCACTTGGAGGGTTATCAGGGAGGAGGGAAGGAGAGGAATAGGGGAAAAGGTGCTGGGATAAGTGTAATTGGTAGGTACAAAATAGACGGTGTGAGGGGGGAGGGGCGGGTGGGTATCAATAGTATAGGAAATGGAGGAGCCAAAGAACTTATATGCACAATCCATGGACATGAACTAAGAGGGAGGGTGCTGTTGGAGGGAAGGGAGTACTTGGTTGAGGGGGGCACAGGGGGAAAACTTAGGACAACTGTAATAGCATCATCAATAAAATATACTTAAAAAGAAAGAAAGCACCCAAGTCCCTCCATATCTCCACAATTAGCACCATGGAGGCAAGCAGGGGCTGCTGCAAGCACTCAGCCCACTCCTGGATTCCAAGCTGCACAAGCAGCACTACTGGAACTCCTTCGTCCCCCCTCCCCCCCCTTTTTTTTTTAAAGATTTTATTTATTTTCAGAGAGGGGAAGGTAGGTAGGAAGAGAGGGAGAAAAACAACGATGTAAGAGAGAAACATCCATCAGCTGCCTCTTGTAAGCACCCTGACTGGGGACCAAACCCACAACCCACGCAGGTTTCCTGATGGGGAATCGAACTGGTGACCTTTTGGTTTGCAGGATGACACCCAAGCACCTGAGCCACACTGGTCCTTTTTGTTAAAGACCTCTTCTACCTTGCTTGATGTATTATATTCCTGTGAAGTCTGATCGAATATTCTTTTGACTTAGGTCTCTTTACGTCTGCAGGCACTGTTACAGTTTTATAAACTTATGACAGCCTTCATGCACAATGGGATAAAATGTCTGTTTCCTGTGAAAGGAATGCCAGGATGTGGAACAAAGGCCTGCCCGTCTACCATTCTTTCGGGGTCCAGGAAAAGGACAAAATTCAGTGTTCCAATCAATGATAATTAGATTGGAAACTGGCCTGTACGGCCAGTGATATCTAAGGTTTTATCATGTATTTGCTGGGAAAGCCAGGTACAATCACCTTATCAAGCCAGGTTTCCCAATTTCTAAAAAGGGACTATGAGTTTTGCAATGAAAAGCAAATCAGGTAATATATACGATGCCTGGCCCCAACGTCTGACACATAATGGGCACTGTTATTATCTTCAGTTGCGAAGAGCTGGTAGTTTGTTCGACCCTGTGACATAACAGAGCCCTGCTGAACAGGGTCTATGGAGCCGTGACCGGGAAGACACAGACCTCTGGGCAAAGCTGAGCTTTCACAACCAAGCAGTTCTCTCAAAATAACCAAGTCAACCTTGAGTCTGCTGGCTCTGAGTATGTTCCAAGCATGGACACCCCCATCTCCTACTGGACTGACTTAAGTGTAAAACATCTTGGTGAGCAACTAAACTGTCAGGGATAGTCTGTAAGCCTGATATCACTGACCAGAGCAATAAAAGTACCTGTTGTGGGATGCTGTCTGGTATCCAACCGCCAAAGCTTGTCTCAGGATGTCACTCACCAGCTGCTCTGTAGCCTACAACAGAACATGCGGTTACTCTCAAAAATGGCCATCTGCTCGCAGGCAAGAGGGCACAGATCGGACCCCTTCCCATCTCCTACACCTTGGAAACAAGCGCATCTGAGGATCAAAAGTCTTTAAGGAAAAATGAAAGGTTCGAATAACAGACCATGAACAATGACAGAAGCCATGACTCTGAGAAGCTGGATGAGGCTGATTAATGAAAATTATTAATCAGATGGGGTTTTAAAAATTTTTTAAAAATATTTTTGATTTGAGAGAGAGACAGACATCGATTTATTATTCCACTTATTTATGTATCAGTGGTTGTTTCTTATGTGTGTCCTGACCGGGGTGTGAACTTGTAACCACCGCGTACTGGGACAATGCTAATCAGATGTTGTTTTTAAGGAAAACAAGGGAGGGTTATTTGTGAGGCATTTCTGCTGCAGGAGGGGACACACCAGGAAAGGAGCCAACTCAACTCATGCTGAGCGAGAAAACTGGCTTCGTCATCCCCTTGCCCAAGGGTGGGACAGTGGCGGCTATTTCTCCACTGCTGTTGTGCCAGGTGCAGAAAACCCAAGGCTCTGCCTTGTCCCCTCCTGAAGCAATGAGAGAGCCAATGTCACCACCCCATACTACGTTAAAAGCCCTTGAAATAACACTAAAAATATCGTTAGAGTGATATCAGCAAAGAAACTCTTACTGGAGATGTTTTAACACTTAGAAGAACCATACTTTAGTTCATTTAAAAATCAGAAGAAAAAAAAAGAGAAAAACTTAAGCCTGAATAAGGTGAGAAATCTTAAAACTTGTCATGTCTGTTCTATTTCTGTCCCTGTCCTTTACTCAAAACAGCCTGGCATCCAGACTGTCCTGCCTGGCTGTCCCCTCTGCTGCCAGCAGGCACCCACCTTTAAAATCATGTCCTCTACCACGGACACATACACGTTCTTGTGAAGCGCCACGGGCTGCAGGGTGATCCCAATCTGGAAAAGCAGGAGGAAGAATTTGTTCCTGTTTCTACATTAAAACCACCCCTCTAACAGGCACCCTTCTCTGATCTCCAAAGAAATATCTGGTTGGAATAAGATATCCCATTTCTCCATGTTTCTGAGTGGTTAAAAATGTTACTATGATCCTGCATTTACCCCCAAATCCCCTTCATGGAGAACATGATCAGGACTTGCTATGAATTCTGATAGAACGGTCAACACAATGGAAAGCCTTGAATCAGACTAAGGCCCTATTTGCAAAGGTGATGAAGATATACTTGGAAACTGCGTCCTGCCCCATTTTTCATTTCCTCCTGTAAGCGAAAACAAACACTTCCTTCCACGTTGGGTCCTAAGTGAACTAGGTAGGTGGCAGATGCTGAACAGCTGCTGAGTTCCATTGAAGGGGGAATAACCACTTCTCCTGGGTACCGTGAGGTCCATCCACACCACAGACAGGGTGCTTGGGAGCTGTGAAAATGCGAGGCAAAGCCTACCCTTTGAAGTGTAACTTGGGAATACCATGACCCGCCTCAGGAGGGAAAGGTGTTTCTACTGAGGCACATGGAAAAAAGGAGATGAAAAATAAAAAAATGATTTAGCTGCCTTTGCTTCAATCCCATGTTCAACAAGCAACCTTCTCACATGTAATTAATTTCTTGCCCAAGGGCCCTGGTGTGGGAATCAGACCCCGAGTTTATGAGGCAGAAACGAATCATACATTCAGTTCCCCAGAGAAGCCCCGCTGCTGGTTTACAAGGCGGAGTATCAGAGCGCCCCGCGCCAGCCTGTGGTCCAGCAACACCGCAGGTCGCAGCCCCTACCTTCTGTGTGATGTCACCAATAAATTCTGACCCCGGTGTTGGTGGCAGGTAGGATTTCGCTTCTTCCTGCTTCTCCTCCTGTTCCTTTTTAATGTTTATCTGCAGCGGCTCTGAGAGGTTGAGGATGTCCACCTCCTCTTCGTTCTCCGGCTCTTTCTTCTGAAACTGCTGGAGGTCCTCCAGCTTCCGGCAGAGGTTGTCAGCGGAGGAAAATGATGACAGGCACTCTAAATGAGAGGTAATGAGTCTTGTGACAGCTGTAGTGACAAAAGAAAAGGACTTTCCATCTCTGTAAGACCAATGATGAGACCCAGAGAACAGGAGTGAGTATCAAGGGAACTGACCTTCTTTCCAGTTCTAAAATTCTACAGATCTATAACTATGAGAAGCAGGGACAGGCATCTTGTATGTGATGTAACTGCAATCTGAGGCAAAACAGGCAGGTCATAATTCTGACTTACGCCACCCCAAACTAGGCCAACTCCCCACCCCTCAAATATTACTGATTTTTTTTTCGTATTTTAAATCTGGAAAATTTAGAAATGCATGGTGAAGAAAATGAAAATCACCCATATTCTCACTGCTCAGAGATAACTGTTAACGTTTTAGTGAACACCTTGAATCCAGTCTTTAATAAGTCGATTTATACAAAATCTAACAAAGAATATTAGAACTTTAAGGCCAGCAGGGGCTCCAGACACTTTCTAGTGCATCCCCTTCACTTTATGGATGAGTAAGTGAGGTCCAGATCAGCTACAGAGTGCACCCAGCAGGGTGGGGGCAGAGCGGCCAGCTCTCGGCTTCTTCTGTTTTACTGACTGGGTGCTCAGAAATGAATCAATCATAATAAGAGAGCCCAGTGTATGCGAAGCATCATGCTTTATGTTTACTACCGATGAAGCATAGAAGTAATCAACATGGTTTGTCTCTGCTGCCCAAAGAGCTTAGGTATGAAAATAGGACAGCCCCTCAGGTTCTGATTTAAGTGCTGCTGGAGATCAGAGAAAGGAGAGGCCATCCAGCATCAGTGCTCTGAGGAAAGCTTCATGGAGAAAACAGGACTTGGGCCAAGTCTTAAAGGACCTCCTACACCCTCTCTGTGCTCCAGGTTCTCTCAAGGCTGGGAGGTGGAACTTCTCTTTTTCTATAGAAATGGGATTTGGAGGAGAAAACAACCCTTCTTCTTCTTTAAGGTGAAACTCAAAATATTCTCCCCATATATCTTTTATTCCCTGCTCCGCACTCCATCACATACAGTTGCTTGTGTCTGTATCATAAAACTCATTTCATCTGTAACATTATCAGTTTTTTATGTGTGTGTCTCCAGCAGCGGGTAGTGCACTTCCTAGATAGGACTGGAGATAGAGTAACAGATAAGACAGTGTCCCCAGATTCAATGAGATTGGACAGACTTGCTTGTGAGGGGTAATAAAGTCACAAAGCAAGGAGAAGTCACTACTACCTGGAGCAAAGGAGGTGGATTAGCAGTCTTCCAGGGGAAAATGGTGCTGAGGTGGGGTCTCCTAAACAAACGGTATGTGCCTGTTGTACCGGGCCAGTATGGTCCTGGCTGGGGCACAGCACTTGGGACACCTGGGTACAAGTGGTTCTGTAGGGACTGGATTAGTGGGAGGCACAGGGAGGGACACGCGGTCAGCGGTGAGCAAAGGCTCCCGTCTCCACGGTAACTCCTAGAGTCCTACGTAAACTGCTGGGGTGGGAGTGGTCCAGATTCATCGAGGCTGAAGAGAGGACAGAGCGTGCCATGCAAACCCCCTCGGGTTGCTTGTGATGCTCCGTGAGGTCCCCTGAAGGCTTACCCGGCTCGCTGTCGATCTGGGTCAGCACATCCTCGATAGAGTCCCCGTCACATCGCAGGCTCTCGGGATCAGGCGGGGTGTAGCCATGGCAGCGACACCAGTGAGCAATGTGCTTGGTTTTAAGGGGCGTCAGGTGGTGAAATCTTGGATTCTTCTCCAGTATCTCTTGTAAGACTTTTCGCATTGTCATTGCTCTTTGCCACTTAAAAAGAATTTTTGAGCCATAACCAAATTCTTCAACTTAGCAATGTGTTCAAACAAATCGCCTAATCAAAAATCACCCAGCTATCTTAGAATCATTTTTATCTGAGGAAAACAAGCCTAACTTTGTTACTCCTCAATTGTACAAAAAGGAAAAGAACTTTACCTAATGCTTATAAAATAAAATGGATCTCCTAGGTTTGGCCTATAAGGATTTTCACCTGGTCTCATCCTGCGATCTCCCACTTTCTCTCTCTTCCCCACCTTCCCCACCTTCCCCAAACCCACCTCACTGACTTTCTTCTAGCTCCCAAGCAAGCCTTTGTACACGCTATTTCCTCACCATCCCTGTCTGGCATAGTAGCTGCCACACTGTAGGTACTCAAAACAGTTGATTTAATTTTAACATACTGAAATTCATTTAAAAATTTGTAAAAATGTTTACCAATGCAAGAAAAGAAAGGCCTTTTTTCAAAGGCTAGTGACAATTCTTTGAACAAGCTCTTTAGCCGAGGAAAAGTCCTATCAAATATTTAACCAAGTATGCTTCACATTTTGTCCTCGTTGCACATGACAAGGTTTACGGAAGCTGCCAGAACGCACATCTGCGTTGGTTCTTTCTCCCACAGGCCCCCGGCGGCTGCCCCGCTGGCAGCTGGGCAGACGGGTTAGTTACCTCAGCAGCTCTCCTCTTTCCAATGTTCCAGCCATAGTACTGCTCCAGAGACTTCGCCGAAAAACAGCTGGCATCTTCACCTGGAAGGCACATACGCAGCAAACTCTGAATCAAGTTATGATTTAATTCAAATCTTATTTGCTGAAGCATGTCTGAAAATTTCTTTAGCCTTCTTTATTGAAGTTCCTTACTGGGCAAGTCCAGATGCTTTTTCTTAAAAGAGAAGGCATCTCATTCATGTGCACTCCAAACACCACCCCTCCCTTGGGACATGGGCTCCTTTGGCAGAGAAAGGTCATCTCCCGGCATGAAGCTGTCGGAGTGAGTGAAGCAAGTGGAGATGGCGCTCTTCTAGGAGCCGCACGGCCTGGGGCCCAGCTCTGGCCTTCCCTTAACTAAGTGGCCCTGGGGAATGCGGCATCCACCTCTCGGGGCTTTGGTTGTCTCATGTGTAGAATGGGACTGTTGGGGAAGATGGTTTCTGAACTGCCTTCCAGCTCTAATACCCTGTATTAGTATCTAAATTTTTAAAAGAGATTTTTAAATGTTTTTTCTGCTGGGCTGGGAAAATGTTACTGAAAGTTTACTTCGAACTACCTCAAAATGCCCCTTGAAGTTTAACCAAGAAAAAAAGATAATGTCTTTGTTACTACTGTTGGAATAAAATAAGCAGGGTAGTCGGTACCTGGCCTACCACTTTCACATTCACATGAATGTAATATAATATGATAATGTGCTTCATCCCTTCCCTCTCAATGTTCACAGTGCTCTTGCCCAAGAGCACACACCTAAGGATCCACAGGCTGTCGGTCCCCTCAGTGGGTGCTGTTCGTTCTGTTAGAACAACTGTGCTGAGAAGCACATTATCCACGGGCAGTCACAGAGCTACCAGTGGCAGAGACAGAGCAGACTTAACTGCGGGAAGTTGTGACGGCGATGCGTTTCTGCAACATGGGCGGCAGTAAGTGCCAGAGGAGGTCTGACTGCTTTGGAGTCAGACAGAACTGGGTCTGTACCCTGCCTCATGGCCCACAGCTAGTGATCTTCAACACTTACGGTAAGTGTCATCGTAAGTGTTACGGTAAGTTACTTAACTTCACTTACCATCCCTGATTTCCTCACCTATAAAACAGATGACATCACTCATCCCACAAGAGATTAAGTAAGACAGTAAATGTAATCATCCTGCAGAGTTTAGCATATTGAAGCCAACTGTTAATTTCTTTCCTTATTAATAAGCATTAAAAACCAATGCAGTTTTAATTATATACACAACAGATCAATGATTTACCTACCAAAAAATGGGAAAAATTCCTTCTGCAGATCAAACACTAAAGACAGTTAAAAGACTAACTGATTGGCCAATATATTGTGAATTCTAAAACCCTGCAAATGACCTATAAGTACACCTAAAACCTCCTAACGTAACTACCGTATCAATATTAATTAACAACACATGATTTAAGTTGACTCAATATCCCAAGTAGTTCACAGCTTTAAAAAAAATGCATCTATATATTTAGTCTAATTGTCTTACTTTTTGCAGTGATTAATGGGATCTTCTTTACTACTGCTGTTAAGAGTTGCTGGATAGTCTCTAGATGGTCTATCCTGAGGACAATAAAAGAAAAGAAAATTCAGGTTGTAAATACACGTACAGTTTCTAGCCATATATACATGTACATTCATGTAACTGCTCCTCCTTTCTAAGGGAATTAAACCTTAAACTAATTATGCTGGCAGGTCTTTCCTTCCATAGATAGCCTTCCTTATAAAAGAAGATCATTCTATGCTTGGAAAGAAAACATCAAGACTAAATAAACAGATGAGACCCCAGAAATGGCAAATTATGCAAATATCAAACATTTTACTTATGTCTGTAAATAGGAACATAAGCTTTTTACACTGATTGCCACTACAGCAGAAAACTATGTAAGTGGCATTGTTACAGTTCACACTGTCACCTATCACGTGAAAGTGGCTAAACTTCTATTGTTCCTAGCAGTTTGAGATACATTGAAATATGTGGTCAGAGGTAGGTTCCTAATCTAAAATTGGAAAATTTTGTAAAGTATTTTTAAAAGCAGCAATGAAAGTGTATGGCCCACGAAAAGGCAGCTGTTTAGGCAGGTATGTGGGTACTTGGGACACCAAATGCGTACACACCTGAGTAATTACATCATGAGCAAAGTAAGCACATGCTGGCAAGCTCACTGGAGGGAGATCTGTAATTCCACCTGAGGCTTCTGAAGCAACAAGTGCTGCCTCCAGGTCACATTAATGTGTAAAGTGAAGACTCTGAGCTGTGTATTAAGTGGTGTTCCTTGTTTACTGCACACAGACAGGTTTCCAACCTCTAGTGTTAAAAGACTTAACATTATACACACACAACTCTACACACACTTAACTGTCACAGGCATCGTTTTTTAAAAGTTTCAGAAAAACCCCTGAAGTACAACTTCCTTAGAAAGGACTAAAATAATTACTTAATAACATAGTTTCCCAGCTCAGAACTTTCTTCTGTTTTCACTGCTGTCTGACTCTCCTGAGGGAGGCAGCCTGGTCCAGGAGTTTCTGGTTCAGTCTTCACTACAAGGGAAGAGCAACAAAGAGAGAGCTGTGAGGGTTTAATGATGGAAGGACACGTGCAGGCAGAAACAAAAGCCCTTCCATGGAAACCCAGTGAGGAAACGGCCACACCAGCTGGTGTGGGGACAGAGCCGGGAGACCGAGATAGTGCCTATCATCACAGGGCCAGCAGACAAGGGAGGAACTGTTAGCTTGGGTCTCGTGGGTCCTCGTCTCTACTGTCACCTTAATCTGGCATGCCCTGGACCTCTCCACAGCTAAAAATGCTTCACTCTTTTAAAGTCCAGGTTAGAATCCATGTTCCATACAAAATCCTATCACCTTCTACACCCCACCAACTCTGATCAGACATCCTAGATTGCAATATTCCAGCATATACTTTCCAGATCACTTATCCTGCATTTATCAATGCTTACTGTCTACTTCAACTCTTCAACGTGATTTTAAGTTCCTGGAGGGCAGAAAAATTGCTACATCTCTACATTCCCCTCAATGTCAAGTATACTATATAAATGGTATGCATTTTTCAGGTGGCTGATTCACAGATGCTGAAAATTCAAAGGACTCATTACAGTAATGTCTTGTATAAAACCTGTGGGCAAATACATCGTGAGAACTACATACCTTTTGTAACAGGTGCTGGCGCAGAGGTGGAGACAACTGGAGCTGGGGTAGCTACAGGCAGAATGGTAGGTGATTTGTTGGCAGAAAATGACTGGACCACTAAAAGGCACGTGCACATACACACACACACAAAAGGGAAGGATATGAGAAATATAGAAATTATTTTAATGAGGATGATCTAACTCCCAGGTGAAAGCCCCATTTTAGACTAACAGCACAAAAACAAGCAGAGTACTGAAGAAATGGTAAGGTCCTTTTTAACAGTAATTTTTGACAAGGTGGACTGTTTACCATTAGTACTAGGGCAACTAATTCATTATCTATCAACTGTCAAAACAGGGGCTTGTCCCTAAACTAAGAAAATAAAAATCTAATTAACTGAATTCTCATAAATGCTTTAAATATGTCCCCTCTATTCAACTTTAGAAATGGGCAGCTAGTAGAAGCCAATGAGTCATCTGCGTTTTCCTGCCAGTCCTATAGTTGGTGCTCCCAAGTTTTAGTGCCCAGGAACACTGTGATAGCCAAAGGGTGAAGAGGGGAGTAGTCACCAAATAACAGTATATGGACCTCCCCTGAGACAACAACAGCATGACCAGCCCATGGCGAAGGGCTTACCTTTATTCACAGGCATCAGTATAGTCTGCACACCTCCAGATGTATTTACACTGAGTGGTTTGAGCTGGCTGGGGATCGTCAGGACAGCCTGCTGGGGATTGGATTGACTGGAGTGAATCTTTAACAATCCTAAAATAAGTTGGAAGATAGGGCCAAGCTGAAGATCAGATGCGTCCTTGAAGTTCCTGCCCTCTTTAGCATTTATATTTTCTCACAAGAGGACGTTCTTAGGATATTTACCCTTTCAATAAACAAAGAGCTGGAAGCATGAGGCAATGGATGTGGGATATTTCACAACGAAAACAATGGTGTGATAATTTATTTTTACCTCACAATCACAAATATAGAAGTTTTTGGAAAAGCAGAACTAAGAGAAAAGAGAAAAAGTCACCTGAAGTTCTACTGCAGAGACAACCAGTATTGAACATGTTGAGATAATTCTTTTCCATGTTTGTTTCCTATGACAATTTGTTTTGTATACAGCCATAACATGTACAAACTTAAATGTAAAATTCTGTATCTTGATTTGGGTAATTACCATTTTCCTACTTAAAAACCTACTCTGACTCCTTATTGCCCAGGGATTGTTTCCAAAATTAGTGTCAAAGCATTCAGAGGTCATTTTAATCTGCTTTCAATTTATCTGCCTCTCCTTCACGCCATCCCTATGTATCTAATACTTCAATCTGTCTATTCACTATACTTTCTAATTTCCTATCTCTGTGCAGCTTCTATTTTTCAAACATCAGATATTCTCAACTTACTGTTTTAGAAAGGGTCATCCTCTCCCACTTGTCTTTTTTTTAATTTTTATTTTTAAAAAGATTTTTATTTATTTTTTAGATAGAGGGAAAGGGAGGGAGAAAGAGTGGGAGAGAAACATTGATCAGTTGCCTCTTGTATGCCCCTAATGCGGGACCTGGCTTGCAACCCAAGTATGTGCGTAGACTGGGAATCAAAGCTACCACCTTTCAGTTTGCAGACCAGTACTCAAAAGTAAGCAAGCAAGCAAGCAAATAAACAAAATAAAGAAAAGGAAAGAAAAAAAAAAGACAAAGGGCTTTATTGTGAGAGAGCATATAAGAAACAACACAAATCAGTGGCTAAAGATACTTTAAGGCACTGGAAAGCAGTTCCTTTAAGGAATGGAATCTTAAATACTTTCTAGAACAAAGCCTTAAACAAACAGTTTTTCTCTTTGCAATAGATTAATGTTAAATCAGTCATTATAAGTATTTACTGAGACATGCCCCTAGAGAGTGATACAATGACTTGATGTTTCATATTTTTATAATTCTTATTTTTATTAAAATATTACATACTTATCATTTGAGCAGTAAAAAGTACTAAAAGGCTTATTACTAAAAATAGCTCTCCTTTGTTCCACTTCCCTAGCCTCATCTAGTTTCTCAGTAGCATCCACTTTTAACCCTTTTGGTCCTGTCTTTTAATTTTTATCTCAGAATTTTTAAAAAGAATGTGTATATTGTAGGCCTCGATTCATTTCGATGTAACATTTTGACACTACATACTAACTTACTATTAGGATAGAGAAGCATTCTAAGGCACTTACACCTTTTCTTTCCTAATACTCCAATATTGTTCTTTATTGATGTAAAGAATACAATACTATGATTCCATTTTATTTTCTGGGCTTAATAATTTCCTCCTTTTCATCTGCTTAGTTCTCTTTTAACATCTTACTAAGTCTTCCCACCTCTTTCAGGAACGCTGTAAACCACCTCTTAATAGAATTCTCCATCCAGTCAAATCTCCTAAATAATTTATAGTTCCTGCTTTTTAAAGAGATACCCTTTCTGGAGCTCTCTGACCTGCTCCAATTTGGGCTGTTGCTTTCTAGGCCTGCACCAAAGGTCTCATCCTGGGGACATCCTCCACTGTCACCCTGGGAGTCCCCTCTGCCTTCCTTCTATGTTGGTTTGTAAGTCCTCATTTCGGTAAATGTGAATTTTAGTAATGTCTTGAGACATGGTGCATAGGAAATAGATGTGCAACTTTGCCCATCAGAAAATATGTTGATCCTCACATTGAGTAATGGTCTGGCTGACTACAGAATTCTACACTGAAAGTAATTTCCCCCTAGAATTTTGAAAAGCTGTATTCTCGCTTCCAGCATCATTACTGAAAAGACCAATGAATGTAATTTCTGAACTTTTCTTTGTATCTCTGACAGCTTTTAAGATCTTCTCTTTGTCCCTGGTGGTGTGATTTCATGAACAAATTGTGCCTCCATGTGAGCCATCTTTCATTCATTGTGCTGGACACTGTGACATTTGAACCTGGAAGTTCATGCCCTTCAATTATGGGATAAATTGTCTCATTTCTTGGATCATTTCCTTCCCACTATTTTCTGTTTTCTTTCTGGAACTCCTTTTTGTCTGATGTTGCCAGGACTCCCTGATACATCATCGAATTTTCTTAGTGTCTACTTCTTGGTCCGTTCCCTGCTTCCACTTTGTGCCCCATAGGTTAGTCTAAAGACTGCAGCCAGTGATCCTGTTAAAAGGTAAGGCAGATCATGTTACTTTTCAGCTTAAAGCGCTCCAGTGGCTTTCCTTGGAGCAAAGTCAAAGTTCTTAGAATGCCCTACAGAGGCCCCAGGTGATTTGGCCCCAATCACTCGGACTGCATCTCCTAGAGCTCTTCCCCTTGCTCACTCTGCTCCAGTCACAGGGGTGACTGACCTTGCTCAAACTCGTTTATAATGCACGCAAACATTTAATTAAGAAATTATTGGTCAGTTCGAAATACTTTGCTTCTTTTATAAAAATACTTTCAGAAAGTATCATCGTAGCATCTTACAAAACTAGAACTGAATTCATGTACTGCATGTTAAAAAATCAGAAAAGAGGAGGGCATTCATTTCTTATAATAGTAATTCCTTTTATTTCTTCTCTAGTCTTGACACAGTTCCTCCAAACATTCAGTTAGTGAGAAAGGTACTCCCTACGCTACATAGAACTTGATCAATTTTAACTTGGGAGTGGAAGTCAGTAATGGAAAAAACAGACTGGCCTTTATTTTTTGGTCTCTGACTACCCCAAAGCAAATGAGACACAGGGGCTTAATTTTGAGTCCTGTATGGAATGTAGTGATGATAATAACAATAGCCTCACAATCTTTTACCCAAAGGTACTAAGGTATGTATGTATTTGTGTATGTTTGTGTGGAGATAAATATGTATCTCAGTGATATTCAGTTTTTTCTTTTTATCAGTACCACCTGGTACACTGTTATGATTCTACAGTAAGACATTAATCTGTTCCATTCTTATAAAAATGAAGAGTGTTCACAAACTTTTGTAACAGTTTGACAATGTTGTGACATTTTTATTGTATTTTATAAAAGTATCTGTCTGGCCCTGACTGGTGTGGCTCAGTGGGTTGGATGTGTCCTGCAAAAACAAAAGGTCACCGTTCAATTTCTGATCAGGGCACCACGATTGGGTTGCACGTCAGGTCCCTAGTTGGGGGCATGGGAGAAGCAAATGATTGTTGTTTTGCTTATATATCAGTAGTTTCTCTCCCTCTCCTTCTCCCCCTCTCTTTCTCCCTTCCTTACCCTCTCTTTAAAAATAGTCTTTTTAAAAATGTATCTGTCTGTACTGAATTATAGAAAAACAAAACTAATCTCTCAAGTTTGAGAAGCAATGCTGTATATTATTATATCAGCCCCTGGCAGTTATGAGAGCACAATGTATTCAAATACATTAATACTTTTTTGGCAAAATACAGATATTCCTATTAAGTACTGTAAACAGCCTATCAATGGAGGCCAGATTTCACCTGAAAATTTGTTATGGGGGAAAAAACCTTTGGTTTTCACAGCTTTTTGGATTTTAGAATTGCAGATAAAAGTACATAGACTAACAACGATGACACTGAACATGATAATAGTAGCAATTATTTGTATAGTGTTTACTACATGTCAGACGTGCATTAATATACACTTATTAATTCACTCAATCCTCTCACTTTCATGAGGTAGGTATTATTATCAGGAAAGAAGCAAGTTATTTTAATTAAGGCAACCTGGTTCCAGGATTTGGGCTCTATTTGTTACCCAACAAAGTAAAAGGCAAACTTTTCTGGGGGCCCTTTAGTGTCAAAAACATACCATTCATCTTGTCAGAGCTTAAGCATGTCACCCTAATACTGCGCAATATAACTAATGTTAAAAATCATTACTTGGAGTCACCAAGGCTAATTGATATTTTACATGCTTTGTTTGTGAAAGCAGAGACATACGGTATTTTATAATGAGTTCCATTGAAAACTGATTTAAAAAAAGATATTGGTGCTTTAAGGAGAGCAAACCCTTAACTTTCCACAAAATTATGAAAGTAGCTAAAATACCCAATACAGCTCCAGTAGCTAACATTTTATTATATCATTTTAAAATTACTATTCAATAAAAAAAAAAAATAAACCTTACTACTCAATCTACACTATGTAAAAATTTATACATAGATTTTTAAATAAGAGTTTATTTAAACTCTAAAAACTCTAAGAAGTAGCTACCTGGAAAATGTTGCTGAATTATTTTTAGTAACTTATAAAAATATTAAGACCTCCCAAATATCCTAGCACAAAGAAGGGAGAGAAAAATAATATCTTTATGCTACAACTGACCTGATACTGTAGCTTTTCCGGAGATGGGGTTTGGTGTGGACACAAGGGACGCAGCACTGATGACAGAGGGAGCAGCAGCCTTGCAGGTTCCCATGGTGGCCTGGCTCACACACACCTGCTGCTGCCCAGAAGTTTTCATTACAGAACCTAGAGTAGATGATGGACTGGGAGCCGCTCCTTCTGACTGCTCATCCGCAGGGCCAGAAATAACAGAAATTAAGAAGAAAGCAGTGTAACTTATACAGAACAGTGACTGCCATGTAGCATACTTAATAAATATTCTCTATTAGCTATTACTACCTACGGATTAAATGCCAGGCCATTTAAAACAATTGCTTCTTTAGCCCTGGCTGGTATGGCTCAGCGGATTGAGCGCCAGCCTGTGAACCAAAGAGTCACTGGTTCGATCCCCAGTGTAGGGCACATGCCTGGGTTGCAGGCCAGGTCCCCAGCAGAGGGCGTGCATAATGCAACCACACATTGATGTTTCTCTCCCTCTCTTCCCCTCTGTAAAAAGTAAATAAAATCTTAAAAAAAAAACAAAAAAAAAAACTCCCCAAAACAATTGCTTCTTTAGTTTGTGGATCCTACGCTTTTAGAGTTCATGGGCCAGGAAAATTTTTAAATGAGATGGTTGCATTGGGTTCTATCACTTTAAAAAAGGATACTTAAACACCAAAAAAAGTAGAAGGATATAATCTCAGAATGTAAAACTGGAATAAAATGAGCTTCACTAAAAACTCACTATATATGTTTTAAAGTCTGCCACATCCATTCAACAAACATTTACTACATGGCCCAGAGATAAAAGCCCTCAAGAAAAAGAGTGTTACCAAACCGCGATGAATGTTATAGTAAGAAGTTACAGGCAGAGGTGCATGGCACCATCACAAGTCAAATGAGAGGGAAGTGACTACGTCTACCAGGGGACAAGGAGGGCAGAATACTGGAAAAGCTTCAGGTAAAAATGTGTTGTGGCATTTGTCAGTGCTTCATTCCCTCCTTTTCATTTCTAACATTCAGTTTTATGGCTATGCAACACTGTTTATCCAAATCAACAATGAAAAGACAATAAATAACCCAACAAAAAATGGGAAAAGGATCTGAATAGACATTTCTCCAAAGAAGATAAATTAAAAAAGACAAAAGGATACTCAATATTTCATTAGCTATAGGAAAAGGCAATTTAAAACCACAATGAATTAGCAGTTCATACCCACTAGAATGGCTATAATTTTAAAAAATGGACAAGAACAAGTGTCAACAAGGATGTGGAAAAACTTGAATCTTCATACATTGCTGGTGGGAATCTAAATTGGTGCAGCAGTTTGGGAAAACAGCCTGGCAGTTCCTCAAAATGTTAAACATAGTTACTAGATGGTCTAGCAATTCCTATCGTAGGTATACAGCCAAGAGAAATGAAAACATATGATTATATAAAAACATGTACAAAAATGTGCATGACAGTATATTCATTCATTATTCATTATAGTCAAAAGGGAGAAACAACCCAAAGTGATCTGCTGCGGGGTACATATCATTCTCTTCCCCCCGAATGATTAAAAAAAAAAAAATTGCTAGAATTAGATGCTGATGGCTGCACAACCCTGAGAACAAAATATAAATCAGTAAATTGTACACTTTAAAATGGTGAGCTTTAGGGTAAGGAAATTACAGTTTCTTTTTAAAAGAGAATGGCATGGCCCTCTGGTGTACCTGCTGAATATCTTCCTTATGATTTTACTACTTTTATGTTTCATGCCGATTTTCTACTGTCCTGCTAATTCTCACCTGCTGTGCAGGACCATTTGCCGAGAGGGCCACCGCTGGAGAAGTGGCAGCTGTGATAACCCCTCCTGCAACTCTCAGCATCGTGGTCCCAGGCTTTGAGAGTTGTGAGGTGGCTGGCACAGACTTCAAGGTACCATCAGATATTTTCATCAGAGACGCCTGTCCTCCAGGGGCTGCCTGCAGAAACAAAATTGGTCGAAGTCATAATGTTGCCCTGGTTAACAGGCATAATTTATTCCCTACTTACACATGCCCCTAGAATTTGTGCATATCCAGGAAACTCTTGCTAATCAAAACTATATGGAGTGTTTGTGCACCTTTCCAAAAAATTCTCAAATTTATGAACTTTTACCTTTAACCCTAATGTACAATGAGTAAATAAATGCAATTCCAAGCCACTATTTGGTAGCAGTGTGTTCAAAAATACCAGACCATTGGTTATCAAAATAACTGTGTCCGAAGTGCTCTTAAATATAATCTTTAAACAAAAACTGAACCGAGAGGGCCATATTTAAATGGGTAAATTAATGGTACTCTAGGCTTAGCACAAGATTAGCACTTCATACTGGAGAATCATGCAATAAATTATAGTTTTAATAGTTTAAAACAAGGATCAGCAAACTTTTCATGTAAATAGTATGACTAAGCATGTCAGGCCACACAATCTGTCCTGCAACAACTCAACTTTAGTGCCACAGGATTAAATGGGAGTGGGTGCATGGCAATAACATGTTACTTAAGATTTTTATTTATTTATTTGTTTTTAGACCAAGAGCAGGGTGGGAGAAAGAGAGAGAGAAACATCAATGTATGAGAGATCACTGACCGGTTGCCTCTTGCACACACTCAGCACGCCTTCAACTGGGGACCTGGGAATAGAACTGGCCACCTTTTGGTTCGCAGGTCGGTGCTCAATTTACTAAGCCACATCATCCAGGGAATAAAATGTTACTTATAAAAACAGGAAGCTTTGGGTTTAGTTTGCTGATCCCTGGTCTAAATGGCTGCTTTGTGCCCAAAATTAATGCACCTCATAGGTCATACCATTTATCAGTCTCCAAGGGCACCCTATGTGCTAGGAATGGCAGAAAGCACTTCTACATAGCTATGTGATTTAATCTTTTCACAAACTTTATAACGTAGATTTCAATTCCATTTTAATGATGAAATATTAAGTTTAGGGACTTTACCAGGGTCGCAGAGCTAGTAACTGAAGGGTCCGTGATTAGAATCCAGAAGTAGTAGCCATGGCATAATTTGCATTGGAGTCTTAACCAAATTAAAACCACAACTAGGTATCACTTCATACTCCTCAAAAAGAGTAAAATTAAAAAGAATGATGATCTTTCATGTTGGTGAGGAAGGGGAACAACTGGAACTCTACCATATTACTTATGAAAGAATCAAATGGTATAACCACTTGCAAAACTGTCAGTTTCTTATAAATTTCTTATACGTAGCCTACGACCTAGCTATTCTACTATATAAAATGATTTCTACAAAAGGTTCACAACAGTATCACTCGTAAGTCAAAAACTTGAAATAATCAAATGTCCATCAAATGCAGGAAAATAAAGTCATGCAACAAAATACTAAAGAATAAAAAATAAACAACTGATGCACATACGGCTAAATCTCAAAAGCATTATGTTGAACAACAGAAGCTGGACATAACAGTACATACTTTATAATTTTATTGATTTGAAATTCAAGAACAGATAAAAGCTAATCTATGGTGATAGAAAGAGAAAAACATTGATAGAGAAAAAAAAGGAAAGGTAAAGTTCTACATTTTGATTGGGAGAGTGGCTTCATGAGTACATACATCTGTTAAAACTAATTGAGCAGTATACTTATGATCTGTATATTAACCTATGTAAATTACATCTTAATGAAAGGCAACAGTAATTGTCTCAGCTGTGGCAGAATAGAAAGTCATTTCACTAGCTGTAGTATAAATAAGTAGGAATAAATAAGCTCAGCTTTTGAAGAACTGCCTGAAAAATATTGGAGCCTATATGTGTCTGGAATAGTTAAAAGCATCTTGACCTAAGGGAAATCAGTATTCAAGGAAACCAAATGCTGATAATTTGAAGAGATTAGTAAAACTGATGAACCTCTAGCTAGACTGATCAAGAGAAAAAGAGAAGATACATAATCATCAAAATCAAGAATTAAAAAAGAAACATCACTAAAGATTCTACAGACATTAAAAAGATGACAGTCCCTGGCTGGTGTGGCTCAGTGGATTGAGCACCAGCCTGTGAACCAAAGAGTTGCTGGTTCAATTCCCAGTCAGGGCACATGCGTGGGTTGAGGGTCATGTTCCTGGTGGGGGGTGTGCGAGAGGCAACCGAACACTGCTGTTTCTCTCCCTCCCTTCCTCTCTCTAAAAATAAATAAATAAAATTAAAAAATAAATAAAAAGATGAGGGAAAATTATGAACATCTCTCTTTATGCCAATAAATTTGACTACTTAGATGAAACAAATTCCTTTAAAGATATAAACTATAAAACCTCCCTCAAGAAGAAACAAATAAATAATGTCCTGTATCTATTAAATATATTGAAATTATAGTTAAAAACCTCCCCAATTAGGAAAGCTCCAGGCCATTATGCCTTCACTTTTGTAATCTAAACAGGTAAGGAAGAAATAATACCAATTCTATATAAACTCTTCCCAAAAAAGTGAAGAGGGAAGTTTCCAACTCATTTCATGAGGCCAGCATTACCCTTATACTAAAACTACAAAGAAAACTACTGGCAAATATCCCCTGCAAAAGTTCTCATTAGTTTTTCAAATTAAATCCAGTATGTTACAAAAAAGAATATAAAACAACCAAATGGAGTTTATCCCAGGAATGAAGGGTTGGTTTGACATTTGAAAAATTAACATAACTCACCATATTAATAAACCAAAAAAAGAAAAATATTATCTCAGCAAAAAAAATATTTGATAAAAATGCATTATCTATTCCATGCTTTGAGAACTGCAGGTTTCTATAGTCATAGAAAAGGCACTGTTTGCCCTGACCAGTGTGGCTCAGTTGGGAGTCATCCTGCAAAGCAAAAGGTCACCAGTTCAATTCCCCATCAGGGCATATACCTGGGTTGTGGGTTTGGTCCCTGGTTGGGACATGTTCAGGGGGCAACCATTCGATGTTTCTCACATCAATGTTTCTCTTCCTCTTTTTCTCCCTCCCTCTATTTCCCCCTTAAAATGAAATAATATTTTATTTTTTTAAATAGAATCTTTTTAAAGATGTATTGTTTGTTGATAACTGGTATCATACTGTCTACATTCTTGTTTGTTTCATTAATTTTTTGAGATTTAGCTACAGATTCAGATGATTATGATATTCCTCACCCAGTTAAAATTCCCTGTCATTATTATTTGGCTTATACTAAAAAAACAAAACAACAATAAAAAAACGCTGTAGAAACAGGCACCAAACTCCCCATACCATTTACTTACTGTATAGTGTGGCTAAAATCACCTGCTACGCTATTCAGAATCCCCTGTATGAAGTCCCTCCAGAGAAATGTTAGAATGAAGTGTCAAGAAATTTTTTTTCTTCTCTTTTCACAAATAGTGTGAACTTTATAATGGATCATACTTCTCATTTGCTTTGACAAGTTTAATAACTATGTAGGATGTCATTGTTTACATATCTAAACAATACTCTGGCTTTATTCTCTCATTCTACTTATGTTTTCCCAAATCTCAAGAGTTTTATTCTTATTTTTCTATACCATTTTATTGTTCACTTTCTTATGTAACTTTAATTTCTTTTTGGAAAGAATAAGTTGTAAATATATAAATAAATGCCACAATCACCATCTTTGTATGTGTGCGCGCGCGCACGCATGAGCTTACCTGGGTAAACAAAGTAGTTTTTTGTCCAGAGATGACTTTCAATGTTTGTTGTCCTTGTGCAGAAGACGTGCTGACTCCCAGGGTTCCTTGGACCACTGACCCGGTGGTCAGCTGTTTTCCAGAAGTCTGGGGCGATGGCTGGCCAACTAAAAAAGTACCCTAAGTTAGAAAAAATAAAGACCTAAATCAGTAATTTGTTGAATTCAAATAACTTGCTCTGATCCTTTAAATTACAAGGTCCCATGTTACAAGCTACAATGCTCTCCTCATTCTGCAACTCAGTCAAAAGAACTGAAAAGAATGGTGCTCAGTGTCAGTACCAACAGTTATCTCTACTTCTCAAACTTTGCATAGTAGTTATGAAGCAGGTGTTGGAAACTCAAGTTTTGCAACTTAGTCCTCAAAACTGGATTTAATCATTCAGAGTGATTAATAAATACCCTTCTCAATAAAAATGTCTAGAGTCACAAATCCATTACTTTCCTTAAGGGACAGCCAAGACTTCAGTATAGGGCAAAGAGGGCGGAAACCTTTTGCTAATCTTGAATCCAACCTAACTCCAAATACCACCATCTCACATATCTCTTTGGTTTCTCCCTTCTAAGAGAAAAATATTAAACTGTACATTAATATTGTTTATTATCTCATGGATTTGGGCAGCATCAGCACAGTGAAAAATCTTTCTTTGAGTCAGAAGGATCTGGGTTTAAACCCAAAGCTACCACTGGCTCAACAGAAAGGCCTTGGATAAGTTACTTATGTCTTTCTGAAGCTTTATTTTCTCTTCTCTCAAAACAAAACAAGCTCAAAATAATATAGGTTTACAACATAGCTAAAAGGTCAGTATTTGACTCCCATTCCCAGATCAGTAATGGTAAATCCACTACAATTAAAGGCAGTTATTAAATAACTAAATGAAAAGATACCAGTCACAATGACCAGACCTGAGGCGTTTGCTTGAGGATGTAAGACGTGTAAGTCAAGTGCTGAGCTATCCCTCCAGGCCCAGCGGGGTTCTGGGTGCCTCCTGTTCCTCCTCCTCCTGCACTGCTGCCACCTCCGCCGCCGCCGCCTGCACCGCTGCCACTACTGCCGCTGCTGCCGCCGCCGCTGCCGCCGCCGCCGCCGCCACCACCACCAGCAGCAGCAGCAGCTGAGCCAGACTGCAGGTCTGCAGGTGCAATGAAGACAGCAACATCATAAAAAGTATCATGAAACTTAATGGGAAAACAGGTGAGCCCACAGAGATCTCCTTTACAGCACAATTCCTTCTCTTTCCTATTTTTCTCCTCCTTTTCTGACAAGAGAGCTTCCTAGAGTTGAAGAGTGACATCTATTTACTTTCAACTGAATGACAGTTGATTAGCTAAGCTCTGAGTACAATCTTTGACAGCTGTTTTGACTTAGCTGTCAAAGAGCAAGAAAAGTCTGATACTGACGTTTTCTAACCCAGTGTTGATTTTAGTGAACACTTCAATATACTCCAAGACCTGCTTCCAAACTTTTTGGCCTCTGATTCAATTTAAGTGAAATTGCTGGAATTTAGTGTAATTTTACAGCACTCTCTTCTGTCTCTCCCAATGCCTCGGAAAAATTAAGACTTTCCTTATATTTATGATGACTCCAGGGTCCCATTTTTTATCCTTCAAATTCCACTTTCAAAGCCTTTGGACCCTTTTTACTTCCCTTTTGCTGACATACTGTACATTAACTAAAATCTAAATAGCTCTCTGATGAATTCTGGAACTTATACTGCCCTTTTCTTACATAAATTTAACTTTTTGATATACCATTGTTTAGATAAGAAGAAAAAATACCAGGGTGAGAAAGTAGAAATCACCCATTAGGATCAATAAACAAAACGGTGATTAGCCTACACACTGCATTTTGGCAAGAGTGGGTACTTTCTGATGAACCTGATTGTTGTACCAATTATACTTCTGATTCAGAAGGTAATAATTCCCTTTACCTTTTCTTTTTCAACACTACACAAATTATTTTTCTTTGTATGTCAAAGCAAAAGTGTATACATCTAGATAAATCACTTAATTTAATTGGGACTTTAAGACATACATTTAGGCTGAGCCTGTATTTCTCTTTCCATCTCCCAACATAGCAAACTTAACAGTAGCTAAATAATTGCAGGCAGAGAGATTAGATTCCAGTCCTTTCTTATCTCCTTCGACATAAAAATAGGCTCCCGCTTCTTGAAGTAGACAGAGCTCCTTCCCAGGTATCACCAATTTCAGTCACCACCGAAAGAAAGCGCTCTTCTCCATTTACAGCTCACACAGACAGCTGCTCCCAGCACGGCCTCAATGATCATACCTCCTCAGTGTAACGCATCCCTGATCCCAAACTCTCAGAAGGTAAGCCCAAAATAATAGTGCCACCTCTAAGGCTATGATTATTTAAAGCCAATTCTAGTTAAATTATGTATTATGTCTTAAGTGCATTTGGGCCAGTACGACCATGGTGGAAATCATGCCACCAAGCAGAGCTATGGAAATGCTTCTGGAACACTAACTGCCGCTCAGGTGAATGAGATGAACATACCCAGAGACCCAAGAACCCAATGACTTAATGATGGACTAACTAGCATTATTGGTGGCTCGCAGGATGGCTCCTTGAGGGATCAGCAGCAGCTTTCCTTTTCCTGAAGGATTCTTGCTGTTCGTTGTAAGGTAGAGTTTAGTGCCAGGTGGCAAATTTGCCAAGTTGGCCAAATTAGTGGCTGGTAGCTGCAATGTTGCCATTACTAAAATGGTAAAAAGAAAAAGAGCAAAGACACTAAGATAAAATGGAACCGAAGGCAAGGTTATCTCTAAAATTAAAACAGAAATAAATTATTAAAAAACACTAACAGTAAACTCTAAAGTTTATTTCTCAGATGCATAATGCTTTAAAGGGGGATATTTTTAAATATCTTGCTAGTTAAATAATTTACATAGTAGAGTCTGCAATAAACTATAAAGTAACTCATTTGTATTTCAGTATCATTTGAAATTTTTGTATTTAGTACACTAAATGTCCTGTTTTGCCCAGAATAATTCCAGTTTCCACCTGTCTTGTTTTAATTAGTGGCTTAACAGTGGCTCATGTTACTCTCAAAAGTACTGTGATTTAGACAATTAATAAAATAATCACCCTATCTGTGGTTGAATACACAATCTTCCCTCTTTTTTTAAAGTCCACTTCTAGTAACAAATAAATCTACTGATTTGAAACAAAAGTTCTAGCCTCCCTCACTGTCTAAGAACTACAAACTGCTACAGTCAACTGGCACAAATGCTATGAAACTGTAGTTCATCTTTTCAAAGTCTAACCTATGTCAAAGAACTGTCACTTACCTACCCCTGAGAATTTACTTCTTGATGCACATGGCTATAAAACCTCTAAATGTAAGTCTTAAAGGAGACTTACATATCAACTAGTTTCTTTGAATTCAAATCTCCATGAAATGAAGCCTACAGAACAATATGAGTTACCACAAGGGAATGGACTCTCACAGACTTCTCGAGCCTGCTGAAGTGGTCCTCCTCATTACCACCAAAACTTTGGGAAGCAAGAACCCTGAGAGCTGCCACAAAATATCAGGGACTGATTAAAACTGAGCGTCATCTCTTTCCATTACCAGAACTAATCCCATCTTAGACTACCGTGCGTTTCTGCCACTGCCAGAACCACGCCTCTGCGGTCAGCCACCTCACCCGAAGCCCCGCCCCCCAACACGGCTCACAGCCCCTGACCAGAGCGAGTCTCATTCCTCCCTCCAAGTCCCCAGGAATTCCTGCTGGGATGGTTACATCCTCTGGAACCTCAGCCTCCGCGAACGTAATCTCTTTTTGTGATATTAAACCTGTTAACCCTCTGAAGATACAACTTCTCCAGGAGCCCCTTAGCAAGGGGTTGTTTACCTTACCTTAATACCTAAGAGCCAGGACTAGAAGAGATGTGTTTTTGCTCTCCAGTTTGGCTTTTAGACCATTATCAACCCTCACTCTAGGAAAAACAAAACAAACCCCCAGCTCCTCTGAGATTCATGCTTGGCTATACCATCTAATCCCTCTTTTTTGCTTACTCACCGGAACTCCCAGTCACTTCTCATTTACTGAGGACTGACTCCTGACTCAAAGCCTCTCCACGCTAAAGACTGTCATTCTCAGTGACAGCACTGTAGATGGCATTTAATTCTCTGGCTTCCCAGTTGCTTGATCTTCTAAACCCCAAAAACCATTTCTTTCAATGCATCTCCAGCACCCATTTTTAATGTCAAAAATGAACTTTTGTCATCAGCAATTCACTGCCTCTGAAATCTTTATTTTGTACCTCCCCTACCTTCTATCCTTCCAACTGACTGCAACAATTCTTTAGCTTCATCAAGACCTTCAAAATTTAGTAAATATTTAATGTCTTAGGTATGTATTTTTTTCATGCGTTCACAGAAACAACATATCAAAGCCTAAAACACATTCAAGGTGTTTAAACTTTTGTTTGACAGAGAATGCATTAGTCAAGTATCTCCAAATGCTGCAATGTATGTAACAAGTTTTAAGTCTGAAATACAACCCAAAGTGGAGATAAGGACTAATGAGAATTATTCTTCAAACCTGAAGGCAGCATCATAAAAAATACCCTCTATCTTTATTACTGAACACACATACCCTCCCTTACTAGGTTTTCCTAGGCAGAATCAAATACCAAATAGAATCACCAGCAAAGGACATTTTGGTAGGTGCTGCTAAAAGGGCCCCAGTTAGTATTAGTTACCTGAGCCCTGAGGTCCACTCTTCTGAGGGCCAGCAGCAGTGACCTGAGCCTTGGTTAAGGCTTGCACTGGCTGAGCAACAATGGTTCCTCCACCTCCACTCACAATTGCTTTGGCAACTCCTTGGGTCACAACTTGCTTTGGACCAACTGCTTTGGCGACGGAAGAGCTGGCCTTGGCTACAAGGATCTGGCCACCACTGATCGCCACAGCCTGTTTCACTGTTGAAGGTAAAGTAGACCCAACTGGCACCCCAACAACCTGTTTAAAACAGAGGAAAGTCCAGCAGTGCTTCTTCTCACAGTCCTTTCGAGAGCTCTGAGAACAGAATAGTTACTGTGTTCCAGCAAAGAACAAAGCAAAGTTCTAGAATTAGTACATGGAGTCTAATCCAATGTAAGAAAGCAACTAATGATAGATGTGAACGGCAGCAGTATTTCTTACAATTTGGATATTATTAAAATAATAGGTTATAGTTTTTCTCTTAATCCCAGCTATTTATTACTATTTATTTTAATTATAAAAAGTAATACATGTTTTTATAGAAAATACACAAGTGTGAAGAAAAAAATCCTACTTATTCAGGAAAAAAACAATACTTTTAGTGAATTTACTTCCAATTCTTTTCAATATTTGTTTCAAAACAGATTAAGGTCACACAAAGTTTTCTAACTTTTAATTCTACATCGTATCAAACATTTCCCTGTTACTATGTTTCAAAATATTTTTAGATGACCAAATAATAATAGATTAGAATAAATATACCATAAAGTATGCATTTCACAACTTTAGATATTTAGGTAATTTTAAACTTCACATTATGAGAAAATGCAATAAACATTCTCATTTGTGAACTATAAACTCCATTACAAAAATTTAAATGTCACTTCTTCTGTAATCCCTTCTATGTTATCTCCATCTGCAACAATTATTTCTTCATCTCTAGAAATCCTAACAGTCCATGGTATCTCTTTCAACTGATTTTTAAGTTATCTTTTTCTACAAATTTCTAATCTTTCCTTTACGAAAGGTAGACATTTGGTTAAAAATGACAAAGTATAAACAAAAAGGTTAATTTAATTTTTAAAAAGATTTTATTTATTTTCAGAAAGGGGGAGGGAGGGAGAAAGAAAGGGAGAGAAACACTGATGTGAGAGAGAAATGCTGACTGGCTGCCCCTGGTACGTGCTCCGACCAGGACTGAACCTGCAACCTCTGCGTGTGCCCTGACCAGGAATCAAACCAGCAACCTTTCGCTTTGCAGTACAATGCCCAACCCACTAAGCCACACCGGTCGGCTTGGTGGGTTAAAATTTAATTGAATTTTAAAAGAAAGACCCCAGTACCCAAATTATGAATGTTAGAAATATGTGGTTCTGAAAATATCGTGAAATAAACTCTTAAAGAAAATACTACAGAGCTCTTTAAAAAAAAATTTTTTTTTGATTATGCTATTACAGTTTTTGTCCCAATTTCCCCCCCTCTGTCCCCCTCCACCCAACACCCCCTACAACTGTACATGTCCATGGGTCATGCATGTAAGTTCTTTGGCTGCTCCATTTCCTATCCTGCACTTTACGTCCCCATGGCTATTCTGTAACTGCCTATCTGTACTTCTTACTCCCCTCACCTCTTCACCCAGTTCCCCTCACTCCCTTTCCAATCTGAATACAGTCAAAATGTTCTCCACATCCACGATTCTGTCTCTGTTCTTGTTTGCTTAGTATTCTTAGACTCAATTGTTGACAGGTATGTACTTATTGCCATTTTACTGTTCATGGTTTTGACCTTCTTTTTCTAAATAAGTCCCTTTAACATTTCATATAGCAATCGTTTGGTGAGGATGAACTCCTTTAGTTTTTTTCTTGTCTGGGAAGCTCTATCTTCCCTTCAAGTCTAAATGACAGCTTTGCTGAGTAGAGCAATCTTGGTTCTAGGTCCCGGCTTTTCATGACTTTATTTTTTGCCAATCCTTTCTAGCCTGCAAAGTTTCTTTTGAGAAATCGGCTGACAGTCTTAGGGGAACTCCCCTGTAGATAACTAACTGCTTTTCTCTTGCTGCTGTTAAGGTTCTCTCTTTATTTTTAACCTCTAGTATTTTAATTATCATGTGTCTTGGAGTGGGCCTCTTTACATCCATCTTGTTTGGGACTCTGTGCTTCCTGGACTTGCATGTCTACTTCCTTCACCAAATTAGGAAAGTTGTCTTCCAGATTTTTTCTAATAGGTTTCCAATTTCTTGCTCTTTATCTTTTCCTTCTGGCACCCCTATGACACAAATGTTGAACCTCTTGAAGTTGTCTTAGAGGCTGCTTATACTATCCTCATTTTGGGGGGGAGGGGTTCTTTCTTTTTGTTGTTCTGTGTGGTTTTTTTGCTTTCTTCTGTTCCAAATCGCGGATCTGATTCTGTTTATTCCACTCTACAGTTGTTCCCCTGTAAATTGTTCTTTACTTCAATTAGTGAGTCCTTTGTTTCTGACTGGATCTTTTTTACACTGTGGAGGTCCTCACTAAGGTCCTTCACCATCTGCGTAACCGGTGTTTTGAATTCTGCATCTGATAGATTGCTTATCTTCTTTTTGTTTAGTTCTTTTTCTGGAGTTTTGATCTGTTGTTTTTTTTTTTTCATTTGGGCTGCGTTTCTTTTACTGACTCAGTCCCTGCTGGTTTTTGTAGCCAGAAGTTATAGGGACTTATTTTCCTGGCACTGGAACCCTGGGCTGGGGGGCCTGGTGTGGGTCTGGGACTCCTCACTCCCACAATATCCCTCCTGAATTTTTTCTACCACACATGTATGTGGGACCAGCCCATTCCACATCTCTTCCTCTCCTACCAGTGTGTATGGATGTGGTTTAATTTTGTAGTTGTCAGACTTCCATTCAACTTGATTTCTGCTGGTTCGGAGTGCTGTTTCATAGTTTTGATGTGGTTGAATGAGGAGGCAAGCTGTGTTTACCTATGTTGTCATCTTGACCAGCAGTTACTACAGAGCTCTTTTAAAACAAAGAGTACGATATTCAATTAGAAGATACAATTTAATTAATGGCATGGTGGGCCGGTACCTTCCATTCCCCAGTTCCTTTTTTTTTTTTTTAAAGATTTTATTTATTTATTTTTAGAGAGAGGAGAAAGGAGGGGGAAGAGAGGGAGTGAAACATCAATGTGTGGCCACCTCTTGTGCACCCCTCACTAGGCACCTGGTCTGCAACCCAGGCATACGCCTGGACTGGGAATTGAACCAGCGACCCTTTGGCTTTCAGGCTGGCACTCAATCCACTGAGCCATACCAGCCAGGGCTCCCCAGTTCTTTATTTTTATAAAAAGAATTCACCAGAAACTAGATGAAAAGATCTTTTTAAGAATGGCAAAAGATTGGTCTTCAAAAAGCAAAAAAGATAAAGTAGGAAATACTTTTGACCCATGAGATTAGAGGGGAAAAATTTAAAAGTCTGATAACCCCAAGAACTGGCTAGAGGATACAAAGAAATAGGTTTACTGCTTGCAGGAAAGTAGATTGGTATAGTCACTCCAGAGAGATATTGGCATATCTAATAAAACTGAAAATTCGCGTAACTCATGTTGTAGCAATTCTACTGTTAGGACTACAGTTGACCACTGAAAGCGGATATTTGGGGTGCCGACACCCCAACGTAGTTGGAAAAAATCCAATTGTAACGCAACTCCCCCAAGCTTAACTATACCAGTTGGCCCTCAGTATCCACAGGGAAGTGGTTCCAGGAACCCCTGCAGATATCAAAGCCCCTGGATTCTCAAGTCCCCTATATAAAATGGTGTACATAGCTTAATGCAAACAGTCAGCCCTCTGCATCCGTGGACTCCCAACCACAGACTCAAAACAGTACAAGTATTTATTTTAAAAAAATTGCATGTAAGTGCACCTGTGTAATTCAAACCCATGTTCAAAGGTCAACTGTATCTTTTATGTAGGTCTTCAAATGCACAAATATTACATGTTACTTATGGCTATGTGTTTACATAATAAAAGTATGGAATGAAAAGCTACACATCCAAATTCACAACAGTGTTGCTTTTGAAATGAACAAAGTGAACTTCAACTTTATCAGTCATATTTTATTTGAAGAAAAAATGATTAAGAAATGAACATGTTAATTCAGGGTGGAGGATATGTGAGAATTGATTATATTATTCTCTGTATTTACTGAAATTTTAGAATCTTTATAAATTAAAAAAATAATAGGATTGCTAAAGAGATAGAACAAAGTGATAAACCATATACAACCGATGAATGGGAATTTTAAGCTAAATAATTAGTAAATCATACATGGTTTCTTTTCAAAGAATGTGAATATAGAGAAATACACTTGCCATGTGCTTGGATAATATGGCTGATGTCAAGATAATAGTCCCCTAATTAACTGTTATAAACCACAGTGTAACACAGAAGAAAGAGTACAGGTTTTTCTAAGCAGTCAGACCTGGTTTCCCAGTTTTGTGTCATCAGTTAGTAGATGGGTAAGTTATTTAACTTGAGCTTTAGACATCTCATCAACAGTATTTAATCTCATAAGATTATGAGACATAAATAAGAATAAGTTAATAAAATGCAAACTGCAAGCCAACATGATGCACACAGTAAATGACAGCTGCTGCTGCTGCTGACACTCATTATCATCTGAAGAGTGGTAACCTATGAAACCACATGGGGACTCAATGGGTAGAGACAGAGCTGTCCAGGGCACAGGACCTTGATCTTGAACCCTAGATTGTTGGTCAAATAGAAATGAAAGTATGTAATATCCGATCTCTACTTTAAATATTCTAGGAAAAGAAATTAAGATGAGCGAAATGCTGGTAACTGTTGAAACTGGGTAACAGGCACATGGGATTCATTACAGTAGTCTCTCCGTTTTTATCTAAGTTTAAGAAAGAAGGGAGGGAAAGAAAGAAGAAACAAGAGAATGGAAGAACCAAGCTTTTAAAAAGCAAGTTGGCAGAGACAAATGTATTTGAAAAAATAAAATAAAATTTAAAAAAAAGTAAACATAAAAAAATAAATGTATATTTAAGTAATAGTTTACACTTGCAATAAATAATAGAAAAATCTCTCTTTAAAAAAAAAAAGCAAGTTGACCTAAAATGGAGAAATTCTCCCAGCCATACTGGCTTCGTTAAAACCACCCTAGGGATTATCCAACTCTCTTCATTCTGACTGTGTGAGCCCGTCTGCAGGCAACACAGAGTGTTCCGTTGGCTGCAGAGCGGGGGAGGTCATTCCTCGTGGAGATGTGACGCTGTAAAAACTCTTCTTAATAATCAAGAAGTCTTCTGTGTGTTTATTTAAAAAAGTTAATAATAGAAAAACATTTTTGGTATATGGCAGAAATTTCCAGTTGAACCCCAATATTCATTCTTCACTTCTGTCTCATAGAAATAGAGCCCCAAGTTTTCAGTTAGGGACATGGCCACTGAGAATATCAACTGTGTTTCCCAGCCCCCGCATACGTAGGTTTGGTCATTTGATTTCTGGCTAAAGGCATGTGAACAGAAGTGATGAGTGCAACTGTTTGGTTATGCCTCCCCTCCCCTCCCCCCGGTTCTGTTTCTCTCTTCCTCCTGGCCAGAAATATGAACATGATAGCATGAGAAAGAAGTAGCTATCTTAGCCCACAAGGTGAAAGTCAAATTTTGAAAATGACAGAGCAACTAAATAGGAATCTAGATTCTTGATGACTGTGGGATCAACACATCAGAACTGCCTACTTGTCTTTTAGGTATGAGAGAAATAAACTTATTTAAGCTTCTGTTTTTAGGATATCTTGGTTATAGCAACTGAACTTTATTCCTAAGACAAGCCTTCACATTTCCTAAATATATCAAATTTACCTACTGCATAAGCTCAATTGCACATAATCTATTTCATGTTCCTAAAGAAAACAAAGTTCTTAAAGCAAAATAATACATATATATTGAACCTATTTTATTTTCTTTCCCCAAATTCCATGCATCTGACTTGCTTTTCCCTCCTTGTGCCAAACTCTATCGTCACGCTAATTGCTTCAAAATTTCCAGGATATGACACAACCGTCTCCAACAGTCAAATAAAATGTGGTATCCTAGGTTGGCCACAAGAGGGCAGTTTTTATTAGCAAAGCTTATCCACTAAGAGCACAGCACTCACCAAGATTTAACAGCTCCTCTCTTGTTTTAAAAAACTGAGAATGAGGAAGTCTGGCATTCTACCGGAGGGAACCCTACACACAGCCATCTATGGACACAAGGAAGGCTGTTCGGTGGGAAAATACAACCCCAAACTAGTTTTGCTATTTTTCCAAACAATACAACATTTTGGCGTAGAACTTTCTCTGTATCCCCAATTTCCTTCTAGTTTTACAAAGCAGGCACCTTCTGTTTTGTTATAAATACATCACTTTGATTCATGCTTTGATTCGATGTTTCTATTTCTGCTCTTCCTGTGCCTGTTACAGATGCTTGTAAGTCATAATTTACTTTAGTGACATGAAGATGAAAATTTGGTACATGTGATTTTCCCTCCAGACACTGAAAAATACAGCCAATTACAATTTAGTACTCAATGACAATAACTATTACCATGGTACTCATGCATGCACACAGAGGGCTTGTCCTCAGTCACATACATTAGCACCTGCTCTGTGCTAGGTACTTTACATGCAATGACCTCTAATTCTACAAGTCTGAAAGAGGTTATTTTTCCAGAGATAAACCTGCCCAGGTCACACCAGCAATCACTGACTGAGATCTGAGATTCATAACAAGTTTTAGACTGAAGCTTATACTCTTTTCAATATACATACTGCTTGCTTCCTACAAGAACCCACTGATCCCTATCTTTTTTCAAGTCAAAAGCAGTGCCTCTCCCTACTTTCATGAAGAAGATAAGCTGTATTTCTATTCTGCCAAAGTTGTACGGAAAGTAAAACAGTACCACTTTGTTCACCCTTTCTGTTTTCTACCACAGTTTCTAGGAATATACTTCCGCAATAACCAGGCTGTCTGTACTTGCAGATAGTTCCTTATCTCAAGTCCAAAGTATGAATTAAATTTCCTGGATAGGAAATAAACAGTGATGTCTTTTCTCATGTCTACTGCTTCTTTGCAGTTCTTTCACTTTCTTCTGTGGCATTTCTTTTTAGCACCCTTAAACTTTATTCAGGGCATTCTAGCACAAACCTATCTACTTTCTCTTAGTCCTCATTGCCATTGCGTAGGTGGCAATGGGGCGAGAAAGCCAATACAGTTCTTCAGCATTACTGGATGGGTGGATTTGCAAAATGCAAAGCAGCACAAAGTGGAAACTAACTCATCTTGAGTGTCTGAGCATAAACAGCAATGCTACATTAATTCAAAAACCTAAATCAATAATATCATATATCTCTAGGTGAAGTAAAACAGATTTTGAAGAACATATACGAAATATCTGACTAGGAGTCCAGGTGACAACAGCTCACTCATAAAGGACACTGACAAAATTCTTGCCCTTGACCAAAACAACAGAGGGAGCATTAGAAAGCCGTTGAAGCACCTGTCTCAGTGATTCTGGCTATGTAAGTCACAAAGTCAAATCTGATGCTGTAGCTCAGCAGTTCCTAAATTTGCCTAATCATATGAGTCAGTAGGGGAGCTATTTAAAAATCCAGATTCCCAGGACCCCCAAGAAGATAGGATTCAGTAAGTTTGAGATGGAAGCCTAGGCATCTATACGTTTTTTAGTCACCAGGTGATTCTTATGACCAGATAAGTTTGGGAAAGTAACGGACTCTTACACATTCTAGAACTACCTATATAACACTATGAATTTTTATTTTGCGCCATCTGTAGCCATCTAGGCTAACCAAAATATCTAAAATATTTTTGTATTTTAAAGTATTCCTTGCTGGCTCTCCAGTTGAAAAACAAACAACACTTCACATAATGTCCTTAATAGCTTTCGAATATACCTGCCCCCAAAGTGGGATTATTTAACTTTGGATGTTCTAAAGGCATGTTTAGGTTACAGACAATGTCACACAAATTTTAATTAGCTCTGGAATGAGGAGTCTGGGAATCAGCAGACCTGGGTTCAAATTCTGTCACTTATTAGCTATAGGAAAACATTGACCTATGCTGAATTTTACAGTTCTCCTAACATATTAATTCCCCACACCTGTGAATTATAAAGAAAAGGAAACTCTCCAAAGAAGGCAAGAATCATTATGCAGATTGCACAGCCTGGACATCAGAGGTATAAACTCTAGCACCCTATCAAAAATAAACAAGTAAATCAGTAGACCTTGGCCCTGTCAGTTACCCATTTTAGAATGAATCATGCAGAAAGCTCTGCTCATGAGGTCAATCATCTTCACTGCCAGAGAGGCTAACACTGTGTCCCTTTGCCTCTTCGCCTGTTCCTGGACCCTGCATGTGCCCCTGCCCTTGTCAACGATTACTCTAAGAGCAGATGGAGCTAACATCAACTGACTTGCTTTTCCAACGGATTTTCTACAGGATTTTCTGGGATCAGCAACCCTGTCCCCTTTACCTTCCCAGCACTTGTCAATTATTTAAGCAAATAATGGTCATTTACTTGTTGAACTCCCCATCCCTACCCAACACAAACCTTGGAGGGCTGAATCTTTGGTGACTGGGCAGTCCCTTCTCCAGCAGTTATGACCTGTTTTTGAGGGGACACAGCTATCATGTGACCACCTTTCACAGTCACATACTGAGGGAGTGGTGGCTGGCTGGCAGCTCCTGTTGTGGGCACGTGAGAGGCTTCACCAGGTTCCTGTTTGATGATTACCTTGCAACAAACACGATAATGATACTGAATAAACATCCCAAGATAAAGCTACTAATATCTGAAATCTATTCTGTTTGTAGGAATTAATAAATTAATGAAGCTTGTTCTGTAAAGAATGACTCCAACCAGAGGGGTAAAAATACTGCTTAAAGATAGTCCACAACAGCTATTAAAGGAACCAAAGGTGGGATCTGGACTTGATCCTACGTATCTGCAAACCCAACCTAGTCATTTGTTTTAGACACTGGCAAAAGGCAGCAGAGAGAAACATACTGTGCTCTCTGAAGTTCCCATGTTCTTGGACCCCAAGGCTTCCCTGTGGACACCACTAAATAAACAGAAGCACATCTCTGAAGTAGGTTCTGGTCTCTATTGAGATAGACTAGTAAGTTACCTGTTGTGGGGTAGTGCCAATCCACTCCAACGTGCCACAAAAAAGACTATATAACAAGACCTTATCGACTTGTAGGATAATCCCCTAAAAAACACTCACTTTTGTAAAAGCTCCAAGTCCTCCAGTTATAGGTTTGGGGCTTTGAACCTTAGGGTGACTCCCAATTGGGCAAAGAGGTGGCATAGATGCAAACAAAGAATCTTCCTGCTGTGAATGTAAAAATACATGTTGTACAATTAGGATAAAATGCGTGATTTCAGATACTCTATAGTCACTTATATTTAATACAAATATGTGACATTCTCTAGCACCATAAACCAAACACCAAACCAAAACAAAAAGCCCAAAACTCTTTGGGTCTTCCAAACCTCTACACCTACATTTTTATATCATTTAAAAAACCAAATGCAAAGAAAGGCTATTAACTTAGCAGGAGTCTATTCATCTGTGCCCCACTGTCTGCTGGAAGACTCATTTCATACAACCTCTAATGTTCAGTTTACTCGCTGGTATCCAATTCTACTCTCCTGCCAAATGGTAAGCTACTACAAGACACGCATTATATTTATTTCTTTTCTATCACTAGAGCCTAGGCACTAAATAAATAAATGAAACAGGCAGTTACAGTGTTTCAGTGGTTAAAAGTACTCACAACTTGACTTATTATCTGTACTCAGAATAAAATACCCAGGACATGGGGAAATTTTTTCAACAAGCATTTAAAAAACAATATGACAAAAAGAACTCGAACAATTAGCAAATACAAAGACAACAAAAGTAAACATTCAAAATACTGTCATTTGTCTCTAATTCTCAAATACAAAATGCAAATCTCAGAGGCAGTTTGTCATAAATAAATGTTAGGGGCAAGAAACAAAGTTAAGAACACTGCCTAACTGTGTAATGAAAAGATCGTCAACAAGTATTAAAAAGCAGACTAGCAAGGAATTAAGACCTTAAAGGAAATTATTACAAGTCAGGAATTTGTATAACACAATGCTCACAGATTACACTGAATTTAGAGAAAAATTTTGCCTTGTACCAGGAAACCATTCATCATCATTAAGTGCCTAAGAAATGTGGTGTTAGCACTAGTCATGGAAGAAATGATCTTTGAATTCCTGGGAATTCTCACACAGGAGTTTATACCTCAAAAGGTTAGCCTTAAGGCAGCCATGACAATGATAAGTAAGTTGAATGACCAACCAAAGAGAAGGATTGTCCTTGCTAAACAGTAAGCCCATACCTAGCACTTTGAACAAGTCAGATAATATTTGGAATTCCAAATTTCGAAGGACTTATTACTCTGAAAAATGAAAAAAGAAATGGAACGAGGAATTATTTTTAAGTAACTAAATGGCTGACAGGTGGAAAAGGAATTAAGGAAATATATTTATGTCTAGTTGGTACAACTACAGGAAAAAAGAAATATACTGTCAGATAAATATTTTTATAAGGAAAAATTTATAACAAAGCTGTTCCCCCCACACCCCCCAAAAGGCTGCCTCATCATACTAAGTTTTCAAATAGATACTGGGTAACCAATAGATAGAAGTGTTGAGAAACATTTTTTGTTGTTCTTCCTTCTCTTATAAAGATTTTATTTTTTTTAGAAAGAGAGGAGGGGGGAGAGAGAGAGAGAGGAAAAAAACATGAATTGGTTGCCTTTTGTATGTGTGCTGACTGGGATGGAACCCACAACCCAGGCATGTGCCCTGTCTGGGAATTGAACCAGCGACCTTTCACTTTGTGGGATGATGCCCAACCAACTGAGCCATACCAGTCAGGGGTAGAAACATTTTCTACACTAGGAAAAGACCAAGGTAAGGTATAGAACCCTGGAGTAAGATGATCTTCAAGATATTTATTAGCCTAAAGGTTCTACTTCATAAAATTTGCAACATCAACTGAGAAATTTTTGTTGAAGTCAAACAGACTGTCTTTAAAACTAGCAAAATAAAATAATGCAATAGAGTGTTACCTTGACAGTAGATGTTACAAAACTACTTCCATGAATTTTAGGAATAGGGGAACCTGTTTCTTGGGAGGCCTGAGAGGCAGTAGAGAGCTTGTTTGTAGGACTTCCTGTAAGAAAGGCAGATTTAAAAGTAAAGTATAAATACTTTGCAAAATTGAATCTTAAAGCATATTCCACCACCCTTTCCTTTTTCCCACTATTTATTTTTCATTTTTAAGGGCTGAAAACTTAAAACCCTAAAATTGTTACAAAAAAACACAAGGATTCATCCTACAAAGTTGACTACTTCACTAACCTGAAAAGAGATAAGAAGCTAGTAAGGGAGTGTAGAAGGGTAAGTAAAATAAGTACAGACAGACAGACACACACACACACACTCTCTCTCTCTCTCTCTCCCCGCCCGCCCTCTCCCCACCCCTTATATAAAAAGATACTCTAACAATGGTATTGGTTATTTAACAGTGTGCCAAACTGTATGCATTCAAGTGAATGCTAGCTCCTTCAAAGTAGTTTCACTAGGTTATACCTCTTTGAAAATACCACCAACATTAAACATTTTATACTCCATCTGTACAACTGCCATTACGGTCTGACAAAAATAAGTCCCATTATGTACAGTCAAAAAATAAGTTAAGACTAAAAATGGTATTTGATCACCTACCCATTTACAAACTTGTCTGCAAAGATGTTTGGCTGATTGCTAAAACTACACATCCTCAAAGGATACCTACTCAGCATCCCTAAGTATATCCAAAGGTTATTTGGTAATTTCTGAAAATAGCATTTCTTTTTAAAGGAGTTCCACAATTACCATAACTGTTAAAGGAACCATCTTTTCTAAAAAACAAAAAACAAAACAAACAAACAAAAAAAACCCCTACTTGGAATAACGGCCCAACACATTCATGTGTGTGAAAATCAAATATTTGGGGGAAAAAAGTTTCATTACCTTTCAGTCATCTCTCTTACTTTATTTTTCTTTTCACTATTTCTCTTAATTAGAAATAAAAACCACAGGAAAGCTTACACTTAGGAGCACGTGTTTAAATAGTTTAACTGAAGGGAATAAGTAAAATGTTAGTGAAACTACTTTTTTAAAAATCCTGAAAAGCAGCCTGTAGTTACATGAGATGATGATGACAAACACGATGAATCCAAAGCCTTTTATTCTTCCTATTAGCCTTTTCTTTTTATAATGGTAGGGTGCACTTTTCCTCCCACGCATAAAATTTATCTTACGTGCAGAAAAGTAAAGATGACTTTTTAATTTGACTGCGGTGAAATATACATAGCTCACAAAATTATTCTCATACTAAGGCTTAATTTGGAAAAGTTAATAACTACATTGCTTGCAGGCCCAAACAGAATGCCTTCCAAATGAAATAAAATCAACTCTCTCTCTCTCTCTTTTTTTGAAAATTAATTACAGCTCACTTTTAATCTTTAGAAACTAAAAAGAAATCATAAATAAATTCCTAAAAATATAACTTTTACAAAGAGTAAATCTCCCCTCAGAGAAAGAGCACTGGTGTTAATTCTTATATATTCCCTCCTGATCATGGATAAAGATTTCATTCTCCCATTAAATGGCTACTAAGTCACACTAGGATCTCATCTTTAGAAAGATCATACATACTGATCGAACACACACCTGTAGTAGGAGTGGTGGCTCCAATAACCTGCCCTGGCTTGTCCATGATAACATAAGGGTTACTAATAACAGAGCTGGCAGTGCTTTGCTTCACATGGACTGGAGTGGAAGTTGGGGTTCGAGGCAATGGTGATGGACTTGGTGTTGATATAGGGGAACCTTTATTGATTAAAAAGAGAAAAAAATAAACTAAACAATAGTATATTCAATCCACCTAAGAAGATACTGGAAGTTAACAAAAGGGCAGAGCTGCCAGGACAAAGGTGACAACTTGGGAAAAGCAAAGGAGACTGCGCGCTTTAGGTATTGAGCAGCAGTGCAGCAGTAGCGTAGCTGAGGCCAGGGATTAGTTGTGTGTTTCCCTCTCTACAGCCTCATCCGTGGAACAGCAGCATCAGCATCAGCATCATCAGGGAGCTTGTTAGAAGCAGATTCTCAGATCCTACCGCAAAACTACCAAATATAAATCTGTATTTTAACAAGTTCCCCTGTAGGCCCATGAAAGTTCACTAAGCAGTGCTTTACATAACCGTGTGAAACTGCTGAATCCCTAGATGATAAATCTCTTAAAAACTTTGGCAGATTTGTATGATACTGGTTATATTCGACGGTGCTAAAACTAGGGAGGGAATTAGTAAGTGAACAGTTGGCCTTAGGAACCAGGAGTTTTGGTTTGCAATTTATTTCTAATAGGAAAATATGAAAGTCACATACCCCAAACAAGTTTCTGCCAATACCATGTCACAGCCACAATTTAGAGTCACGTTCCCACAGAATATGCTCAAAGGTTCCCACGTACCGTTGAACATCCTCTATTGTCTTTTACTGATCAAATTTGTCATCCATGAATTTCTCTAAACTTCAAACCAATTTATACATTCAGTCTACTCCACCTCTGACTCATCCAGTTCCAAAGTGCTTCTAACTGGTAGGTAAAGTTATACATTCTTTAGTTCTCATCAATTTCAAAGACTTGGATAATATTTCTGTTTAGTTTTCTATATGTAACAAAGACTCTCATTTCCCCTCTTCATGTAAGTATTATATAGAAGCCTCCCAGTGCCAAATATTTTTATTGACTCTCTCATGTCCTTTCTGAGTTGGTACAGTAAAATCATAAAGTATATTCCTACTAAAAGTTTACCCAACATAAATGTGAAGTTGTCTTCAGGCAATGAATAATACATCCTTGGTGAAAATGAAGTCTCAGAACTACCTACTGATGACAGGAATGAATACTTTTCCTCATGTGGTTAGAGAATATAACAGACATCTCAACTCCAAAAGAAAAGGCCTCTACATGTTTTCTGTTAGTAGTTGCTCTGGTTTCCTTATATAATCCCAAAATGCAACTCCTACTTTAAATTCAGCCATCATCCTAGCAAACACTTTACCTGTGCTGATTCTCGAAGATGAAAATTTGACCTCTTTTGAGTTTGATTTCTTGCCTCATTTCAAAAATTGTTTCCATACAGATGACTTTTGTTTTTGCTTTGTGACACCTTCATTTACTTTGCTAATCAAAAGTGATTACTTGTTAAATAAACAAAAACTCTGCTTAGAACTAAACAAAAAAATTTTTTTAAGTCACAGTACTTTGTTTTGTCATTTCAACAATTTTTACACACATCAATTTCACACACATCATCTGAGTACCTGAAACAATCTTGCAGCTCATGGTGATAGGCTGGAAGGACTTCCCAGGTGACTCAGGATTAGGGGCCTGACTTGTTGGCACAATTTTGCAGCTTGATGCTATTGGCTGAAAAGCTGAATTGCCATGAGAGCAAAACATAACCTTCTGGGATGTGGTCATTTTGGTGGGTGTTCGTTCCAATGAAGATGGCAAAGAATAAAATGTTGTGTGTCTCTCAGTTTCAGTATTGGCTGGGAATCCTGCTTGAAATGAAACAGGCAAATGATAAGTCATTAATCACTTTCAAATAACAAAATCTTACCTTTGTGAGAAAAGAATGAAACAATAAAAATCCATTATCATTTCAACAACCATTTAAGCCATTTTACACCAGTAGTAAAATAAATACAATTCATGGTATTTATTATCCTATTATACATCTTGGGATGAAGTATGTTCAAAAAGCAAATTTCAACTGAGTAAATTTTATTGGCTGTATTCACCAATTCATGAATCAAGCAGCATCCAATCTAGCTCCCAGAAGCTGGACAAAGCGGAAGGCCTTTCAGAGGCAGAGGAGAGCAGGCACAAGGAAGTTGTATGAGCAACAAGCAAATTGGCTGTGGCGAGCTCCCCTTCCTTAGGGGACGGCAGGGGTCCATCAGGCAGACGGACTACCTCGTGCTGCTTAGGAGATTCCTGAATGACTGGTTTAAAATTCCATTTCTGGGAGAGGCTGAAACTGTAATCCAGTTTCAGTTTGGTGACATGAGGCTTGGTATAAGTGACCCCATTTGAGGCCTGTTGTCTTATTCTTTAACAAATGTAAATATGCATGCAATTTTATTTTGTCAAAATGTTTCTTTAAAAAAATCCGAGAACATATTAACTATAAACCATATATAATAATATGTAAGTTCATTATATTCTCCCATTTTTTAATATATGAAAACTTTAAATTAAAAAGGAAAAACTCAAAAGCAAGCATTCATTTAATCTAATGATGTCATGTCTTATTAAACGCCCATAAAGATATAACTGAAATTAAAGAAGAATAAAGTTGAGATTTTATATTAAGAACTAAAATATTAATATCACATTAAAACGTAGGCTAAGAGACTAAACTAATACTATTTAGAATCAATTTTACTTCTTATATGTAAGTGAACACTTAAATACTTAAAACATTTGTTGATGATGAATCTTAAACTTTAAATAAGGTATTTAATATTTACATTTCTTGTTCATACAGTTGGGCACCAGACCAGAAAGTCTCCTGTAACTTATTAGAAGAAACCACTATAATCATCAAATAAAAAGTAATGCTTTTTAATTCCAGAAAAAAATACATAATTTTATTCCACCTGAAAACCTGGTGAAATTCAATACGCTTCTTTATTTACTATGTATAATCATAAAATAGCTTAAAATACATGGTATCTTTAATTAAAATCTACTACATAAAAAGAATTGCGACTCACTGAATTAGTTGTAATTCACTATATTAAATAAAAGATTTGAGTGCAACAATAGGTTGGAAAGACAGTAAGATCTATGCTCCACGAAAGTGATGATGCTGGACACAATCGCATACACAGAGTTCTTTTCGGATGGTTATTTACGGTTTCTCCACGCTGAGACGAATGACAAGTAGTTTTCTCCATGAATGAAAAAGACTGACGCAGTTTAAAAATGCAACTGTAATTTATCTGCTTGATGTTAATTATGATAGGAGGTCCCTAAAGTGGATTGAAAAGTCTTTATTAAGGTAAATATGGGTCTTTTCCCTTATCTTTGTCATATTTTTAATGCCTGTTTTCTCTCTAATAAGGTTGTTAAAATATCCACGTTCTTCTCCAGTGAGACAGATCTACAAACCCAAACCAGAGCACAAATTCAGTTTAATGATATGCCCCAAACTCATGGAGTTGGATAAGCCTTGCTTTTCTGAGTTACCTGTTGTAAAAAGAAGCCTCAAGAGACAAAAGCATTTGACAGAGAAAATGGTTTTACAAAGTTTGTAATGTTGTAATATCCAACATTAATACTGCAAAAGCAGTACTAAAGTTTTTGTTAGGGAATCATCCAACTGTACAGGAAATGTTAACAGGTTCATTTATTTTGGTGAGGAGGGGGAGGCTGGGTGACCCTGTTATTGTTAGTGTATCTCATAGTGGAAGAGGTTCTGTTTCTCCCTTCTTGGCTATAACTGAGACTTGTGTACTCAAGTCTCCTTCTCTAACGCACACAACAGTTTGCTAATTGATTTTTCCAATTCACTACCATTAAATTGATTTTTTTCTATTTTCTCACGTTGGAAGAATAGTACCTATTCCTCAATTAATGATCTGTCATACTTAAATTTTAAGATTTGTGTACTGGTCTAGTTTGTAACCCTGATTTATTCAAGTATGTCTTGGAAAGGAGTACAGCTTTTTGTTGAATCTACAAAAATAGCCATATGGCCAAAAAAATAAAGGTAATTTCTTTTTAAAAAACTTAATGCTTATTACTGAGTTTTGTGTTCTACAAAATGTTAGAATTTAATGAAAAATACTTTTTGAGGTGAGTAAGCATTTGGGTATTTTCATAATTGAAGTGCGTAGCAGAGGCATGCAGCATGCCTACTTACGGGAAATTTCCATACACTCTAAGTCTCTGAAGGCAGTAGTTAAATATATTATGCAAATGAAGAGAGGAATGCTCCAGAAAGTCTCCTCCATATTAGGAAAAATACATTTCCATACAAGGAAAAATATATTACCTTTCTCCACAGAGGTATCAGGTACTGGCTCATGTGACTGCTTTATTGGTGAGGAAGCTTTCACTGGGGCTGGAATGGTCAAAGGCAAAGATGGTGGGGCATCAGAGATGTCTGACTCAGAGGACTGAGGATAAATGGAGTCTTCTCCAAGAGAATGCCGGTGGAGCTCAACATCCACTACCTACAAAATTGGTCAATAACTGGGCTCATGAATTCATCATCAGGGTCCCAGAAAGCCCCAAACCTCCTAAGAATGTGATACTCTAAAAGATAGGACAAATGATTTCTAATACTACTTGAAAGGCAATCCCAACCTCAATAACTAAAGAATTATCCCAGAATATAATCTATTCTGGTTTAACACATAATTTAGTAAAACCGATCTTAAGATTGGGGTCTTTCCATTTATTGTTTCAAGGCCTTGCAACACTCTTCCCCCAAATCTTTGCATGTCTGCTTCTCACCATTAGGTCTCAATCAAATGTTATCTTTTCAGACCTTCCCTAACCAACCTAACTAAAGCAACTCCCTTGTCCCCCAGCTATTCTCTGTTGCACTTATTTGTAAATGAAAACTTATTTGCTTTTATGCTTACTGTATACCTTCTCCCTGTGCTCAACACAACCAAGAATATAACTCCTTGAGAGTCATAGCTATCTGTGCAGAAATATGTATGCTCACTAACTGGACCAGTGCCTAGCATAAAGTATGTTCAATAAATATCTTCTGATATAACACAGCACACTTCCCTAAACAGAATAACTTTAACTAGCTTATTATAATTACAATGGCTACTGGTGATATATCATGAATAGCAAAAAAAAGGGGGGGGTGGTAAGAAGAGGAAAAAACAAAGTTGGAGGTCTCACAATTTCTGACTGCAAAACTTACGATTACAAAGCTACAGTAATTAAAATAGCGTGGTGCTGGCATAAAGAAAGATATTCGGCCCACTGGAATAGAACACATCCTCATATATATGGTCAAATGATTTTTGACAAGGATGCCAAAACCACTCAATGTGAGGACAGTCTCTCAACAAAATGGTGCTGAGAAACTTGGAGATCCACATGCATTAGCAAGAAGGTGGAGCTTTACCTTATACCATATACAAAAAGTAACTCAACATGGATCAAAGACCAAAACGTAAGACAAAACTCTTAGAAGAAATATAGGGGCAAAGCTTCATGACGCTGGATTTGGCAGTGATTTCCTGGAAATGACACAAAAAACAGGCAACAAAAGAAGAAATAGATAAGTTGAACTATGTCAAAACTAAAAAATTTTGTGTATCAAAGGACACAATCAACAGAGTGAAAACGTAACCCAAATAATAGGAGAAAATCTTTGTAAATCATATATTGATAAGAGACTACCATCGAGAATACAGAGAAAACTCCTAAAACTCAACAACAAAAAACCGAACAACCTGATTCAAAAATGGGTAAAGGACTTGAAGACATTTCTCCAAAGAAGATATACAAACGACCACTAAATCCATGAAAAGATGCTCAATCAATTAACATTAGGGAAATGCAAAGCAAACTCAATAAAATATCACCACACCCCCACTAAGAATAGCTACTATCAAAAAGATATAAAAGGACAGGTGCTAGAGAACTGGAACACTTAAGCACTGTAAGTGGGAATATAAAATGGTGCTGCTGCTATGTATAACAGTGTGGCAGTTCCTCAAAAAATTTAAAACAGCCCCAGCCGGGCAGCTCAGTTGGTTAGCTCATAGTCCTGATAAGCCACGGTTGTGGGTTTGATCCCCACTCAGGGCACGTACAATAAACAACCAATGAATGGACAAATAAATGAAATGACAAATTGATGTTTCTCTCTCCCCCAACCCCCCCTAATCAATTTAAAAGAAAAATTAAAAACAGAATTATAGTATTAGCCAGCAATCTCACTACTATTTATCTATCCAAAAGAATTAAAATCAAGGACTCGATCAAATAGACTCACGTTCTTAACATCATTATTCACAAAGCCAAAAGACACAGGCAACTCAAGTGCTCTCTGACAAATAAATGGATAAACAAATTATGGTATGTAATACCATATTACATTACTCAGGTATTTCTGGAAGGAAATTCTGATACATGCTCCAACATGGATAAACCTTAAGAACATTACGCTAGGTGAAATATGCCAGTTACAAAAAACAAACCACAAAAAACAAAAACAAAACCCCAAGAAACAACTTCCAGTGTATCTGGATTAGTCAAATTCATAGAGACAGAAAGTAGAAGGGTGGTTGTTCAGGGCTGAGGGCAGAGGAAAATACTTAAAAATAGTAAATTTTAAGTGTGTTTTATCACATCTAAAAAAGAGACAAAAAAGGGGGATACAGACTATATTTTTAATTTTAGCACTCATTTTTTTTCTAACTAAAAATGAAGATCAATTTTCAGTCTACTTGTTCCCAAATAATACTGTAGGAAAGAAACCTACCGTCTCTGCTCCAAGAGTCTGTAAGCCAGTATAAGTTCTATCCAGCTATTAAAAGGGGGGAAAAAAAAAGGAGTTAAGTTTCACTGTGCTTACTTATAAATCTTAAGATGCAATCTTGTCTAAAACCTCTTTCACCCCAACTCTTCATAACACAGAATCTACTTTTTCATAATATAAACTATCAATTCATCATTTCAACAAAAACCTCCTTGATATTCTGGCGGGGAAATTGAGTAAAATTAATACAAACAATCCAGACACATAGGTAGTTATTATTCTTATAAACTATACAGTTCTAACAACCCATTCTAAGGACAATCTAAAAACAGAGGAAATTTTACACAGCAAGATATTTACTGCAGCATTATCTATAACCACAAAAAAAAAACAAAAAACAAAAAAAGAACAAAAGCAATATAAACCCCCAGCAACAGAGGAATGTTTAAGAAGTAAACCATGAACCATCACTTTGCTAAGTTAGATTATGCAGCCACTTAGATGATGTTTACAAAGACTATGTAAAAATATTTTAGGCTACATCCTTTTCATATTTTCTAGTTTATAAAAAGAGCCTCTCTGTAACCTGCATTATTTCATCCTTGAGACCACATTTTTAGGGACACATTTATAAAACAGAATCAAATGTTATCAAATGATAAGAAGAACTAAAAAGCATAGCATATAAGAAATGTTACAAGAACAGGTTTTGCCTGGAGAAGAAATGACTTAGGAGAGTCATGAATGCTATCACTGAACATTTTTAGGGTTCCCATAAAACAAAACAAAGTCCTGTTCTGTGCTACTCCAGAAATCAAACTAGGACAAATGAAATCAAGATTTTTTTTAAAGGCAGTTTAATGGAAGAATCTTCCAAACATTTATTTACTAAATGAATAAATGGGTTATTCTGGGAATTACTGTGCTCCATGGTGATGGTTGAGAATATGTTAGATGACTACCTGTCAGGGATGCAGGATATGGCAATTTCATACATTCTGGGCACTTTACATTTTACATAACTATTAGATTATTTTAGTATTTAATGTAACTATTAAAAGTATTAAATATAGATTGGTATGTACTATAGAATTCGGAATATAGAGAGATCACTATGGGCTTAACTAGCCAAGAAAAGTTATTGGAACTTGAAGAATGCAAAGAATTCAAATAGGCATTCCAGGAGGAGGAGAGCATGAAAGAAGTCACAGGATAAGGCCCAAGGCATTTCTAGTGCATGAACAGACTGCCCTGGCTGGAGCAGGACGCTCACGCAGGGGATTAATGTGAGATAATTCAGGGGAAGTGTGTTGAGTCAAAATGTGAAGAGTGCTGAACAGTAGGCAGGGGAGTTTGAACTTGAATAACAGGAACTTAATCAAGGTTTTTCAGAGAGGGATGCCATAACAGTTCTCCTAGTTTAGAAAGACTAATCTGATGGTGGTGTGAAGAGTGAACTGAGGGGAAAAAAGATAGATTAAAAGGGTAGAATTTAAGAAAGATTATAAAGAAAAATACTGGTCTGCAACTGGAGGAATATTTAGAACAAAGAAGGAAAATCAAAAATGACTCTGAGGGTTAACATAGGAATAACAGGAAAAAAATGATACTCCAGTACAAATATCACATGATCACAATACAGGAGCTAAGGGCTCAGGGCCAATCTATACATAATAAATAGTAAGTTTAAGTTTTCCAAATACTTGACAAGAAATGTTTTAAATATGCCATTTTAAAATATTGTGTCTCAATCTTCCATCAGGAACTCTAAGTGATACAGACAATACAAATATGTATGAAAACTATGCAAACTTCCTTTATTTTAGGGATAAAGGCTGGGCCCAGTGCAATATAATATAGTATGTACAAAACTAATTTAGACCTTCCTCTAGGTAAGTGGGATGTTATTTTGCCCTTCTGGACAAAGTGACTGTATGTTCTTTATTTGGTTTGAGTTCTTCTATGAGGTCGTAAGACAATCCAGTCTTACAGTAATCTCTAGAAAATAATTTGCACATGAAGTTAAGCAGTGTTGTCTTACAATGGCTGCACAAAAAGCAATGGAGGGTAAATTTCATTATGCCTTAAGGTTGAAAAGATGCATTTGTAGAAAAAGGGGAACAGAAGCGAAATTCTGCAGATGTACTCAGATTCGTTTAGTTCAGTTTTGGGAGTCATTAATGGGAACAATGTGCTAAGCCACAAGTAGGGGTGCTTTGGAAGAAGTTCAACATTAGGAAATGTATACAAGACTATGATAGAGAGGGCCTAGAAGAACATTAAAAAAAGGGTCTGTCTTCTAAGTATGAGAGTTAAATATGTTTTTTATATAAAACTAGAAAAATACGTTTAAAAAAACAGAAAAAAGGGCAGGGGAAATAGCCCGCAATATCATCACTTCAATTATATACTCCAAACGTTTTACCATATTTCTACTGTGGTTTTTTTTTTTAAATCATGGTTGACCTCATACTATACATATAGTTTTATACTCTGTGTTTTTTGCTTACTATATAATGGTCATTTTTCTCTAGGCATAGAAGATACTTTGTAAAATAAAATTTATAACAGCTGGATAACAAATCACGTGGATATATCAGTGAAAGACTTCTGACAGTACAAATCAAAAGTATTACAAGCTTGTACAGTATTTTACATTTTCTCCATCACTTCAATCTTTACCCTTAGGAGATAAACATATTCTTTATTCTTATGAGATAAACAGACAAGGATTATTACAGTAACTCCTCAGTTAAAGTCATTGATAAGTCCCCTGACTTTAAGTGAAACATAGTATAATGAACCCAAATAGACTAAAGGCTAATTACTATAAACAAGAGTTAAGTTCCTATGACATCTCATCATTATGACACTGAACAAAATGTTATTTGAGCACTTTTAGTATTTGCCTCATTTTAAAGACAAGTAGATTTAAAAAAATAAGAAAGATTACCTCCAGGTAACACAATAAAAGTGAGCTCTGGTCAGAAATTCAAGTGCTCTAATGATCTGACCAGTTCATCTTTTTAAAGAATACACATTCAAATGTAAAAACGGCCCCTCCTTCAACCTTCAGAAGACAAAAGTGTTAACAGCAGTAAGCACAGCACCCTCTAAAAGATTTACCCTGCTTCCACTATCCTTGGCCTGGCTGCTTCTCTCAGAAGGTCTAACCTACTATTTTAAGTATCAGGTGAAAGAAGTACTTCATTGCAGGGGAGTAATGTTTTGTTACAATACCTTCAGGTTATGTATGATATCTATCCGCTTGTTCTGGCTGTCCTTAAAGTGAACTTGAACTCTGACAGGAAATTCACCCCAGCCTCTCCTGGTCAGGTGAAAAGGAGGCTCTCTAGGGAAAAGCACGTGTTAACACATTATCCATGTGCAATCATTCTAGAGGAAAAGTTTTCTCATAATGGATAAGTTAGAAATTCACATCATTCTGACAATTATTTACATTTCTTCATTTGAAGCTGAATCAATATGCTGCATTATGCTAAGTTGTAAAAGAAAAAAAATCAACTCAAAGATATACTAAATTTTCAATTATTGGATACTTAGAGCTAAGAAATTTACACCATATAATCCAATGTCATTATTGTCACAAAGAACTAAAATGATTTGATGGATGTCACAATATTAGAACCAGACTCCTTAATTGCTACTTGGCAGACATAGGCTGTGAAGTATATGTTCTCTACCCCAGATACTCATATTTATTCTTCTGCTCTGGCAAAAAACAAAATAAATCATGAATACTCATTTTGAAAGTGAGAATTTATTTGAATGTATCTGCTAAGAGGACTTAAAAAATCGTATGTTCACAATATGATCTTTCCCAAATACTGACTATGATTTTTGAGGATAGAGGAATGTGTGTGAATGCTAATTGGACTAAAGACTTCTCAGTCAAAACATAATCTGTAAAGAAAAAGGGAAATTGTTGAAAACAAGACTGGAAAACTTTTTTTAATCGTTGTTGGGTACATGAGGGTTCCATCTACTCTGCTTTTGTGTATGTTTGAAATTTTCCATAATATAAAATTTAAAAAGGTAATTGAGCCCTGGCTGGTGTGGCTCAGTGGACTGAGTGCCAGACTGCAAACCAAGGGGTCACCGGTTCAATTCCCAGTCAGGGCGCTTGCCTGAGTTGCAGGCCAGGTATCCAGTTGAGGGTGCATGAGAGGCAACTGATTGATGTTTCTCCCTCACATAGATGTTTCTCTCCCTTTCTTTATCCCTCCCTTCCCCTCTCTCTAAAAATAAATAAGTAAAATCTTTAAAATATTTTAATTGATATACTTCCAAATACTCAAAAATAATGTTTAAGTTACTGGGGAAAAGAGAGAATGCTTTAAAATGAAAGTGTTTGTTACGAATCACTGGTTTGGAGTTACTGTAATGAAAGAGGTTGCCAAGATTGCAGGAAGAAAGGAACTTTCCGTGGGATGTGCTTTTAGAAAACTAAGGAGGGACTTGAATTCAGTAAAGGAAGGGTCCAAGAACACGACCTGAGAGGAGTCTAACAGACCTGAATTATGAAGCACAGAGGTAGAGGTTACTAGGGGAACCCAAGACAGGAAAATGCCTGAGTATGACAGTACCCTGGAAAGTAGAGAAAGGAATAGCTATGCTACAAATCAGATTAAAAAGAAAGCAAAAAAATCTAGTGTCCTGGATGAAGAAACCAGCTGCACACCAGTTGAGTTAGTAAGAGAAGCAGCCAAGATACTGGTAAAGATTCAAACAGAAATTAAGAGATAGGCTTGCTTTCGGCTCCCTTCTTCTTTAAAAACATATATATTTATTAATTTAAAAGAGAGAGGAAAAGATGGAGAAAGGGAGAGAAAGATCGATGGGCTGCCCCTTGAATGCACCCCAACCAGGGACTGAACCCACAACTGAGGCATGTGCTCTGACCAGGAATCAAACCAGTGACCCTTTGCTTTGCTGGCTGACGCCCGACAAACTAAGCCACACAGTCAGGGTTTGGATCCCTTCTTGGTTGCCAAATCACAAACAAAAACAAAACAAAACAAAAAAGTAGGTATGGGGTCAAATGAGGTGGCCAACCTATGATAGCAGTTTGAAAAGGGATCCAAAGAGATACAGTAGAGCTTAGAGGCATGGTAGACTTAAAAAGAGTAAAGAAAATGCTAGATACATTTGGTCATTTAAATGCCAATAAAGCTAAATGGACATGTAAATGCTAAATTCCAGTAAAGCTAAATTCATTCTGCACCATTCAGCAATTATACTGGTTGTATGCTGAATTTCTCTATCAACGGATACAGTAAATTAGTTGTGTTCCCAATTTATATACATAGGCTAAACTCCAGTGAATGGACAAGAAGAGGAAGAACTGCTACCAGGGAAGACAAACAAATGGCATAAAAGAGGCTATTTTCAATGATGAGAAACTGCATAAATTTCACAACATGAACTTCATTTACTATAAACAGAAAATATTCCAGATGGATAAGATGAAAGAAATTTAAAGAGGAGCTACAGTATGATCTTTTCCTTGGATTTTCTCAGACTCTCATAATATATCTTATTGGGATTTAATATACCTTTACCTTCAGGTTAGTAAAGATTCCTTAGTGAACACAATTTCACATATTACTGAATAATATTTGTTTTTTCTTTTTAGAGACAGCGGGAGAGAGGAAGAAAGAGAAAGAGAAACATCAATGTGAGAAAGAAACATTAAACTGGTTTCCTCCCATATGTGCCCAGACCTGGGATTGAACCCGGCAACCTTTTGGTTACAGGACAACACTCCAACCAACTGAGCCACACTGGCTAGGGCTACATGATACTTTGTAACAATTTAAAATCAGTGTTTTACAAATTTCCATTTCCTGGAGTGAGGAATGAGGAAATAGGCATTGATTTGCACTGTTAATGTAATGAGTTTTTAATGCCATTTTTTTGTAAATCAGATATTTACCATCAATAAAAATATAGTTAATACATTTTAAACAATTCACATGATTGATACTAAAAAAAGTTTTACTAAAACAGTGTACTTATTTTTCACCATATAAGAAATAAGGAAATTTGCTGCTGATCTGGACAATAAAACATACATTCTTTTTATTATTTATATTTTTATAGGCATAGCACTTAAAAAAAAACTTTTATTGATTTTAGAGAGAGAGGAAGAAAGAGAGAAACATCAACATGAGAAAGGACCATCAACTGGCTATCTCCCATATGCACCCCAATCAGGGACTGAACCCGCAACGAAGGTATGTACCCTGATCGGGAGCTGAACACCCAACCTTTTGGTGTATGGGACAACACTCCAAGCAACCGAACCACCCAAGCCAGGGCTAGACAGAGCACTTTTTAAACTCATCTATTTCTTACCAAACTCACTAAAATATCCATATTAGAACCTGGGTTAATTTGGAGTCAGGCTTTCTAAACTCAGAAAATATTATCACCCTATTGGCTATCTTAAACTATAAAACATTCTTAATATACCAAGCATTCAAGTAAATAACCATTTACTATAATTTAACCGCTGGAAGAAAGCAGGACAAAGCAGTATTAACTGAGAAAGGAAACTCTGAGTTATGTCTTGAAGGATGAAGGGCAGATCTTTAGAAAGATAGTCATACTGTGTATGTGCATGTACACAAACGTGTATGTGTGTGTATGTGTATGAAGACAATAGGAAGATGGTATTCCTGGCAGAGAAAACAAGTCTAAGTCACCAGTACAATTCTAAGAGAGGCTTGATGAGCTGTAGAAGGCATTTCCCAGAAATTTCATGAATCATGTATAGATTTAAAACAGATCACAAAATCTTTTGAACACTAATGTTTGAGAGCCTAAGAGTAAAACTGCTCTTTTAGAATAAAATTAAGCTCTACTATTAGAATGAAACAGTATATCAACACTTTTCTGAGGTTCTATCCAGTGAAATTGTCAAGAAAATAAAGTTTTATAAACCTAAAACTTTGCATTGTTTGCACTGGAAAACAACAACATTTATTGATTCTCCTGGGTAGACAGTAATCAAAATATCATAAACGATGTGAAAATTAATCATTGACTCAATGCAATTTCAATCTATAACTTGACAGTTGTATTTTAAGTAATGTGGAACAATGTATATACTCAAGAATGGCCAAGAAAAAAATTTTAGCATAGGGAAATGTACTCTACCAAATATCAAAATACGCTATAAAGCAAAAGAGTTAAAATAGCATACTGGTATGGGAATAAAAATTATTAACAGAGTCTAGCATTGGATCCATGTTTATATTGGAATTGAGTGTACTAAATGCAGGAAAAGGGTAGATCGACTGATAAAACTGCTGTGGGAACAATCATCATGTATATGAAGAAGACAAACTACTACCTACTGAAGTATTCCACTTTCCAACTGCCAACTCCTATCTTTCCAGCTCCATTCCTAATCCAACCAGTCTCTGACCTCACTGGGACTCTCAATTCTTGCCTACACCAATTTTCACTTCTCATCACTGCTCTTATGCAATTTCCTTCTCTCCTTACTCTGCTTAGAATTTATGGTGTAATCACAAGTGTATCCTTATTATTAAAGTGAGGAAATCAACGAACTGAGAGATCAGGGTTTTGGATGAATTGTCTACACGCATGTCAAAGTCCTTAAGAATGATGGCAAGTGTACTGGTAGAGAGAAAATCCATGCACTCAGTCCAAGAACTTTTTGCAAGAGGGGACTGCCTGAAAAATTAGTAGACGCCTGCAACAAGGAAGAGCAGCAAGTTATACAACGCTTTTAAAAAGCTGAGGGTTTTTTTTAAGGGAGGAAAGAAAAGGTGACATGGAAGCCACAAATATAAGCAAGAAAGACACACACCCTATCCCTACACCCAATGGTACATGGAATGTGAGAGAAAAAACCAGCTACCACTTGAAAGTTGTTCTCAGAAGTGGTATCCTCAGGAGACAGGCATGTTTTGTTTGAGAGTCAGGAGTAGAGAGAATGTTCTGAAGAGAGCAGAGGATATAGGAGATTTCCCTGATAATAAGCCACAACCATTTTCACAATACATTCATTCAACAAATGTGTATGTGACAATGTAACATCATATACAGATATCAAGACTATACCATAAACAAGTTTCAGAATTGTATATATAAATATATTCAAAAAATCATTCTTTGTGACTAGTAATAACAACAAACAGCAACTATAATACATATAAAATATTATTACTTCTGAGAGGATAAGATCTGGAGGAACTTTAAATATTAAATATTTCTGTAATGCTAAAATCCTGTATTCAATTCTGTTATAGTCTGTTAGTCATAAAAAAACAATAACCTTTTCATCTTTACCTATATAAACAAGCTTAGTTATTTTCAGAGGAGAACAGAATCAGCTAATATAATTTGTATGGTAACAGTCTGACGGGAAGAAGAATAAGTAGCTGTTCACTGAAAGAGTAATCTCTAAAAGGGAACAGCAGCTAAAACTACATTGTGACTAAAAGCCAAAACTGAGTAAACTACTAACAATACAAGAATTTCAAGGGAGTGTTTACCAATTAAATCACTTTTTTCCCAGTTCAATAAAGCTGTACTTCTTAGGTAAAATAACCCAAGAATGCTTACCGAACTTCCACAAGGTCATTGGGTTTATAGCTGGGATGAAGGAAGAACCAAACTTTCTTAACAAAATGATTAATGCTGGGTTCTCTACGAGACCCTCGGACATATACCATCCATTTGTGGGTTGACTGGTCATTTTCTTCTCTCTTATCGGGAGGTATATACCTAGAGGAGAGGAAAAAACCGAAACTGAATTCTTTTTCTTCCTTCAAAAACCTAACAAAACAATTATCACCTACTTAAGACAAGATTAAAAATAAATTACAAAAAGAAAACTGAAAAATTCACAATTACGTGGAGATTAAACAGCATGCTACTGAACCACCACTGGGTCAAAGAAAAAATCAAAAGAGAAATAAAAAAATGTCTTGAGACAACTGAAATGGAAATACAATATACCAAAACTTAAGGGATGTGGGAAAATCAGTTCTAAGAAGGAAGTTTATATCAATAAAAGCCTACATTAAGAAAAAAGAAAGATCTCAAATAAACAACTTTACACTCCAAGGAACTAGAAAAAGTAAAACAAACTAAGCCCAAAGTTAGTAGAAGAAAGTAAATAATAAACATCAAAGGAGCCTAAAATGACAATAAAAAAGATAAAAGAAACTAGGAGCTGGATTTTAAAAAGATAAACAAAATTGAAAAACTTTTAGCTATACTTACAAAGATAAAAGAGAGGACTAAAATAAAATTTTAAGTGAAAGAGGATGTGCTGCAGCTGATACCATGCACCTACCATGAATCATAAGAGACTATGAACAATTACATGCCAAAAAACTGGACACCTGAGAAGAAATGAATAAATTCCTAAAAACATACACCCTAGCAAGACTGAATCATTAAAAAAAAACAGAGTATCAGAACAGAACAATTACTAGTCAAGAGACTGAATTAGTAATCAAAAAAACCTCCCACCAAAAAAAATTCTAGGACCAGATGGCTTAAAGGGTAAATTCTATCAAACACTTAAGGAAGAATTGGTATCAATACTTCTCAAATCTCTCCAAAAATCAGATGAGGAGGATACACTGAGAAACTCATTTTACAAGGCCACCAAAGCCAAACAAGGACACTACAAGAAAAGAAAATTACAGGTCAATATAGGCAAAAATCCTCAACAAAATATTAGCAAACAAAATTCAACAGTACATTAAAAGGATCATATACTATGATGACATGGGATTTATTCATTGCAATGCATTGCAATAACATATGCAATGAAGCCTGACAGCCATAAATCAATCAATGTGCTATACCACATTCATGAAATGAAAAAAATCATGATTATCTTAATAGATGCCAAAAGGGCATGTGACAAAATCAACATCCATTTATAACAAAAACTCAGTAAATTGGGTGTAGAGCGAGCATACCTCAACATAACAAAGGTCATATACAACAAGCTCACAATTCATATTCAAAGGTAAAAATACTAAAAGCTTTCCTCTAACATCAAGAACACGACAAGGATGTTCATTCTCACCACTTTTATTAAATACAGTACTGCAAGTTCTACAAAAGCAATTAGGCAAGAAAAAGAAATAAATCAGAAAAGAAGAAGTAATACTGTCTCCATTTGCATATAACATGATATTATATATAGAAAACCCTAAAGACTCCATCCCAAAACTGTTAGAACAAATTTGGTAAAGTTACAGGACATAAAATAAACATAAAAAATCAGTTATGTTTCTATACATTACCAATATTCTATCAAAATGAGAAACTGAGATAATTAAATTTATAATAGCATCAAAAACAAAAAAATACTTAGCAATACACTTTAACCTAGGAGATGAAACTTGTACAATGAGAACTATAATACACTGATGAAAGAAATAGAAGAAATGCAAATAAATGGAAACACCTTCCATGTTCATGGATTAGAATTAATATTGCTAGAATGGCCCTGGCTGGTGTGGCTCAGCGGATTGAGTGCCAGCCTGTGAACCAAAGGGTCACCAGTTAGATTCCCAGTCAGGGCACATCCCTAGGTTGTGGGCCACATCCCCACTAGGAGGTGCTCGAGAGGCAACCACACACTGATGTTTCTCTCCCTTTCTTTCTTTCTCCTTTCCCCTACCTCTAAAAATAAATAAATAAAAATCTTTAAAAAAATTGTTAAACTGTCCACACTACCCAAAGAGATCAACAGATTCAATGTAATCCCTATCAAAATTCCAAGGGTATTTTTCACAGAAATAGAAAAAACAATCCTAAAATCTGTATGGAAAAAAGAACAAAGCTGGAGGAATCCCACTGACCGATGATTTCAAACTCTATTACAAAGATGTAGTAACATATAATCATCTTAATAGATGCGGACTAACGAGCAAAACAGTATGGTACTGGCATAAAAACAGACACATGATTAATAGAACAGAACAGAGCCCAAAAATAAACCCATGCATATATGGTTTATTTGCATATACAACAAAGGAGCTAATATATACAATGGGGAAAGGACAGTCTCAAAAAATGGTGCTGGGAAAAATGGACAACCATGTGAAAAGAGTGAAACCCCATGTGCACCATATACCCCCCCCAAAAAAAAGAGAGAGAGAGAGAGATTAATGACTTAAATTTAAGATCTAAAACAAAGAAAAAAACTGCTAAAAGAAAACATAGGGAATAAGCTCCTTGACATTGGTCTGAGAAATGACTTTTTGGATTTGACACCAAGAACAAAGGTAACAAAAGCAAAAATAAAAAAGCACGGTTTCATCACAGCAAAAAGCTTCTGTACAGGAAAGGACATTATCAACAAAATGAAAAAGCAACTTATAACATGGGAAAAAAATGCTTGCAAATCATACATCTAATAAGGAGTTAATATTCAAAATAAGTAAAGGAGTCACACAATTCAATAGCTCCCACCCCCACCCCCCAAAAACAAAAAGGCCCAATTTAAAAATGGGAGACCTGCACAAATGTTTTTTTCTGAAGACACAGAGATGGTCAACAGGTACATGAGAAAGTGCTTAATATCACTAAACATCAGGAAAATGCAAATCCACAATGCATTATGACCTCACACCTGTTAGAATGGCTATTGTCAAAAATACAAGTCACCTGAGACTAAGACAAAATAATATTGACTGTAAACTGTAATTGAAAAATAAAATGAAAAAAAAACCCCAAGATATAACAAGTGTTGGCAAGAACACAGAGAAAAGGGAAATCTTGTGCACTATTGGTGGGAATGTAAATTAGTGCAGCTACTACAGAAAACAGTATGGAGATTCCTCAAAAAATTAGAAACAGAGAAGTACTCCTTTTTTGTGTATACATATGCAAAGACATTGAAAACAGGATATCGAAGAGATATCTACACTCCCATGTTCACTGCAGCATTATTTACAATAGCCAAGATAAGAAAGTAAGTGTCCATCAACAGATGAAGATGTGAATATATATATTTTATAAAATGAAATATTATTCAGCCATGACACATGAAAAAAGGAGATTCTGTATTTGTGACAACATGGATGGACCTTGAGAGAATTACGCTAAGTGAAATAAACCAGAAAGAAAAAGACCAATACTGCATAGTATCCCTTATACATGGAATCTAAGAAAAGCCAAAAGGCTGCCAGAGCTGAGGGTTGGGGAAAATACAGAGAGGCTGGTAAGAGGGTACTAACTTTCAGCTATAACAGAGGATCTAATGTATAGTGAATATAGTTGATAACATGGTATTATAATTGAAATTTGCTAACAGAACTTAAATGTACTCACACAACAATAAAAAATGATCAACATGTGAGGTGATGATAGGTGTATAAATTAACTCAATGAGAGAACCCTTTCAAAATGTATACAGGTATCAAATGATCACTTTAAATATTTTACATTTTTGTCAATTACACCTCAATAAAGCTGAAAAAATTTTAATTAAAAAAAAATTTAAATTGCAGCAAGATTTAACAGCTCTACTAGCCAAAGTGAGTCTCTGCAGTTAATCCTTTTCTTTTAAATATGTTTTTTGGTCTATGGGGCATGCCCCTAAAGTTTGTTTCATTTTCTGATTATTACTATGCAATTTTAAAAAATTAACCTTGCTTTTCCCTCCAAGTGGGTACATGATGTGGAAATAAACTGATAAATATTTTATTCTTGGGTTAGGGAACCTCTAGCAGGGGTGTCCAACCTTTTGGTGTCTCTGGGTCACAGTGGAAGAGTTGTCTTGGGCCACTCATTAAATACACAAATAATAATGGAAACTGATGAGCAAAAAAAAAAAAAGGCTGTAAGTAAATTTATGATTTTGTTGGGCCACATTCACAGGTATCCCAGGCTGCAAGCTTAGGGACTGCTGGTTGGATGCCCCTGCTAGACTTTGGATTGATGTCATGCAGATTTCAGGATGCTAGAACTTTGGACTCTTCTGGTTCCTACTCACTGCCACCAAGAATGTTGCAACTGGTTTGGCCTCTTAGAAGCAAAAAACAAGCCATTCCCTTAAGTCCCGCCCATGGTAAAACTAGTATCTTTAGCCTTTCCTCTTGCAGATGTGTTTTTATTTCATGAGGGCCCTTATTAAATTCTGTTGGAAAATATGGTCATGATCTTCTATGTGGGTTGTCTATGCCTACAGTTACCCTTGGTGATGCAGTGGGCCAAGCTGCCTAACCTAGTTCTTCTTCAGCAATATTCTTGTCCAGTCTTGACTCTGTGCTCTTCCATATATAAAAATCAGCCTGTGAATTTTCATGAACTGTTAATCAGAATATTCACATAAAAATTGGATAGTACTGAGCCTTCCTATTCATGAACATGGTATGCTGCTTATGTCATGTCTTTTAATATAGTTTTTTAAATTCTCCATGGAAGACCAGCATGTCTTTTGTTTATTATAGTTTTATTGCTATAGCAAATATATCTGTAAGAACCATGTTTTCTAATTTTGTGGCTGTCACACAAAGAAAATAGACTTCTGTGTCTTGATGTTATATTCAACAACCTTGCTAAATTCTCATTAACTCTAAAACTTATCAAAAATTGTTTTAGATTTTCCCACATAGACAATACCATCTATTAATGACATTTTGTTTCTTATTTTCTAATCCATATTTTTTTAATTTTTAAAATTTCACGATATTACTTAGCATCTCCAAGATACCCCAATGTTTAATAAGAGTAATGACACCAGGTATTTGTCTTGTTCCTAATTTTTTTTTTTTAACATTTTTTAGAGAGAGGGGGAGAGAAGGAGAGAAAGAAAGAAACATTGATGGTTGCCTCTCTCATATCCCCAACTGGGTTCCCTGTCCCGCAACCCAGGCATGTGCCCTGACGGCAAATCAAACCTGATCACTTGGTTCACAGGCCAGTGCTCAACGCACTGAGCCACATCAGCCAGGGCTTGTTCCTAATTCTAAAGGGAAGACTTCTAAGTTTACCACTGAGTATATTTGCTGTAGGTTTTTTGAAGACATTCTTCCTCTGAGTTAACTAAATTCTAAGTCTGCCATGAAAATTTATTACAAATATCAATAGATGTTGAGTTTTGTCAAATATTGTTTCTACATTTTTTCAGGTGATTGTGTATCTTAATATGTTAATGTGTCTATTACATTTATTGATTTCTAATGTTAACCCAAACTGCATTCCTTGCTCATGACTACCATTTCTATAGTAATTGAATTCAGTTTTCCAAGGATTTTTTCAATATTGTTGCATCTATATGCATAAGTATGAATGTCCTATAATTGTCCATTTCATATGCACTCCCTGTCAGGCTTTATTAGCAAAGTAAGGATATGCTTATAATGTAAGTTGGTATTAATCCCTTTTTCCCCCAGATATTGTATACCACTGGAATTATCTGTTTACTCAGACTGTAAAACAATCTAAGCCAAGAGGTTTTGTTTTGTTTTGTTACAGGAATATTTTAAAAATCTACACTTACTTAGTAGTTCTAAGACTATTCAGTTTTCCTTTGTTGAGTCACTTTCAGTTGTATTTTTGTAGGAATTTTTCATTTCCTCTAAGTTTTCAAATGTATAGGTATAAAGATGTACATAATTTCTTATTTCTTTAATAGTGCAGTATTTATAATATTTTTCATTTCTAATATTTGTGTCTTTTTTCCTTACTTAATTTCACCTGGTTTATGCATGCTGTATTTACTGGCATCTCTGGGCCATACTGGAAGAAGAGTTGTCTTGGGCCACACATTAAGTACACAAACATTAATGAAAACTGATAAGCAAAAAAATGGTCCATGCAGAATTTTCATGATATCCAACCACCACAGAGCAAAAAAACTCCTCACATAATATATAGCAGCCCTTTTGATAGTCTTTTAAAATTGCTGAGCAGGTCCCAAGCTTGTGATCACTAATATAGAAAATGTACATATCTAATTAATAAAACTAAGTAATGTTTTAAGTAAATTTACAGTTTTGTGTGGGGCTGCATTCATAGGCATCCTGGGCATGTGGCTGCAGCTTGGACATCCCTGACATAGATCATTAACAATCTTTGTTTATGGTATCCTGAGATTTTTAATATACATCTTGTTTGTTATTAGTGGTCCATTAACAGGGGCTTAGAAGAGTCCCCCAATCTGACTTTTCCCCAGATAATTTTTATAATTCCAAATCCTTTATTTTAATAATTGAATCGAATTATAACTTCCATAAGTACAGCAATTTATTCATCAATCAAATATTTATTGAACATCAACTACTTAAGGTATAAAACCAATAAGACTTACTACATAAAAGAGATACCAGTTTGACTTGGGGAAAATGTATGAAAATAGGAAATGATGATATGAGAAAAATGATGAGAGAAAACAGAGGAAGTGTACCTGAGGTTGGAAAAGGGCAAATAAGACTTTGAGGAAATAACATTCTTACGCTAACTGAAGATTTGTATCTTTCTCCTTTCATATATATTTAGCACAAATGTTAACGTTCCTGTGAAATAGCATGAGATCATACCGTTAAAGACAAAGCCCTTTAACTTGGAAGAATTCTGTCTTCAAGACCTGCTCTGCAATCTTTTGCTACAAATTTGAAACATTTCAATTTGGGCAACCAATAAACATCTTTAGGAACTTGCTAAGGCCCCTAAGGTTAAAACTAGGTCAGAAGTTAAAAATTCCTTCAAATTTATCCACACTTACATGCTTGTGTAAAAGCCCATGTCTTAAAATTTTTTACCAAGCACAATTTTATTCTATGTCAAAGATTAGCAGACAAAGTAAGGCAGTCTCAAGTCCAAATCTTAGCTTACTTTCAAAACAACTAAGAGTTTGGAAAAAAAGAATCCCTAAAACCTCCATCTACTGTAATGCTAAGACTATGCCAGAGTTCTAGTAACATAAATGGATAACTGAAAAATGAGACAATTCAACTGGATACTCACTTGGACACATTGCCCACTACTATTGTTTTCTTTACAAAAAGTCGTGAAGTTTCATCTCCTGTAAGATCAGCATTCCGCTGCTCTGTTTTATGGGAGCCAGTAACACTAGAAGTGTCCTGAAAGAAATCATAATTTTCATTTTCAACCTGGACAGTTTTTAGTACGCAGGAACTGCAAAATCATACAAAGTATGAATGGAGTAACTCGGATTTTTTTTTATCACAAAATTCTGTGGCTTTGTGGCACCTCAGAGCACAACAGAGTAATTTCACTATCATTTTTGCATTAGTTGAGACCAAAAGTTTATACACTATAATTCCATGTGTACAGGTGTGTTTTTAAATAGGCATACACATCTGCTTTGTATATGCAAACAGGATGTGGAAGGATACACAAGAAAACTATTGCAATGGTTACGTCTGGAAAATGGGAATGGGGAAAGGGCTCAATGGAATTTACTTTCTTTTCAAATGTCTGTATTATCAAAACATTTTCAATGAGAAGTAATATAAACATAATGATTAAAGTTTGCCTATGGAGACTGCCAGGGTTTAAAGTCTAGTTCTTCCATGTACTAGATGTGAAAAACTTGGGTAATTACTTAACTTCTCTGTCTCAATTTCCTCACCTATAAAATAAGGATGATAATAGTTTTTACCTCACATGATTGTACTGTTCAGTTCTTAGAAAAGTGCCTGAAGCATAGTAAGTACTAAATATCTGTTACAGAAACATAAACATGTAGATTACATAAAAGATGATAAATTCCTAAATCCAATGACCAGCACAACCTAAATTCTTTTTAACTATTAAAAGAAAAACATATATGGTATTTTTCCAAAAATAATACTAAAAAAGACAAGTAAATCCAACCATTAAGAATTCTGATTTTTGAGTGGTGGCATTATGAGTAATTTTTCTATTCCTTTTACTTTTCAGCAATGAATACATGAATTTATAATCAGAAAATTTTTTAAATTTTATTTTTATCAAAAATAAATTAAATCCTTGATGTCTGTGTATGTGGAAAGCAACCTGGAAATCTGCTCTATCAGAATACCTGACTGAGAAAAACCTTTGGTCTCATCTGTACAACCAAATATTATCTAAGAACTTCAGAGCACCTTGAGATGGCAACTCCACGAGTTGGTAGGATCAAAGAGCAATAAATGGTTTTCAATTCTATTTATTATTCATCACATTTCCTCCAGTTATCAAGGCATCTTAGACTGTAAAGTTGGAAAATCAAACAGAGGAAAATGCTGAAGAATCCCTGCTCTTTAGAATAAACATAAAAGAATGGAAGACCCTGGGCAAGGTCACAGCACTGTCGACTCAAGGTTTCTTTCATATTTATGTGACTGGCACTAGAAGTTGTGCCATACACAGCAACCCTGAATTTTAAAATCAGAAAGACATAGGTTCTGATACTTGTGGACAAATATCACTTTACTGTTTTGATACTCGTGTCAAGTGTAACAAATTGAGACTCAGTTTCCCCATTTCTAAAAGGGATATAATTAACTTGTTTCCCAGCGTTCCAAAGAAGGTTAAATGAAATACCATGTGCATAGTCTAGTAAATGCTAGTTCCCTTCTCCTTTGGCTCCCTCCCATCCATCCAACTATACCCTTCCAGTATTTCGACTTGGTCTCTGTTCCATGTTGTTTGAGAGTCTTTCCTCTATATCCATATTGCTGTTATTGTCTTTATCAGATAAGAAGTCATTGTGCTGAGATAAAGAATCACTTTCAGAATGATTGGCTGATGGTGTTTCTGATCTCTGATTGGCAGGAGATGATGACCTAGACGGTGATTCCAAAAATTTCTTGATAGCAGGATGATTAAAAACCATTGTATCACAAGTCTTTGATCCCTGCAAAAACAAAAGCAATCAAAACAGATGTAGTCAAATTCACCAAAAGTAGGCAAAATTTTGATCTTTCTAAAACCCTTATCTATTTTAGGATCATGCTTAAAATCTTTCAAGATCTCTCCATCCCCATAAAATGAAGTCCAAACTCCTTAACATGGCGTGAACCAACAAAAGAGTGATAACTAATTATGCAAAGGTACTAAAACCAAAAGTTAAAGATATAAGTCCTCTGAAGGTAAATATATAGTTAACATATGAAAAACAAAATTTGACTTAAAAAAAAGTTTCAATGGCTTTACATAAATACAACAGCTCTGAATAAAATATTCCTGTAAGAAAATAAAAATAAAAATGTGTATAGAATAGAATGCTTTAAAATGATTAATAAAGTTTGTCTTCAATTCAGTACTGAAGCCTAGGGTATTTTTCTGTATCTTGTTACAGGCATTCAGAATACAGTGTGTTCGGTTATATAATGTGATACTGTAGCTATCTCCTAGGAAGCCCAGTTTTTAAAAACTGTGCTATTAAAATAATTGTTTTAGAAAGAAAAAAGGAGCCTGAGACTACTGTTTCAGAGTCAAAGCAACAAAGTTGTTGAATTTCAATAATAGTGTATTTTAGAGCTATAAGTATATTGTTACAATAAACTAAAAATAAATGACAGATCATAATAGACAAAAATATACTTAAATATCCTTGAATACATCCTAATCAGAATAAAACAGATAAAAATCAGTGCATTCCTAGATGATAAATAGCACAATTAAAAACTGCTAATAGTAAAAAAAGAAAAAAAGGAAGAAAACATTAAGTGAAAAACGAACTCTTCAGAGTAGCTACAGTCCTATGTCATGCAATCACTGGATCATGATGTCCATTTTGTTGAATCCAATAGCAGGCCACATAACAGATGACATCAGAATCTGCTCTGGGTGAAATAGTGTCTCCCAAAAACTTATGTCGACCCCAACCCTGTGAATGTGTCTTTATTTGGAATCAGGGTCGGTCTTTGCTCATGTAATCAAGTTAAGATGAAGTCATTTGGATTAGGGTAGGCCCTACCCAAAGACTAATGTTCCTTTAAAAGGAAACTTGAACACAGAGAGAAAGAGAAGATACACAGAGGGAAAACATCCTTGTGAAGACACTGACAGAAACTAGAGTGATGAGGCTCAAGCCAAGGAACACCAACAACTGCCAGCAATCACTAGAAGCTAGAAGGCTAGGAAGGATTCTTCCCCACAGCTCTCAGAGAGAGCATGGCCCAGTCAACACCTTGATGTTAGACTGCTAGAATCCCAAATTATGATAATAAATTTCTGTTGTCTAAAGCCAACGAAGCTATAGTAATGCGTTATGGTAGCTGCAGAAAAGTAGTTCAGGCTTTAATATTTTATGGAAACTCCTGCAATAGAAGAGACAATTATGTACCATCTAAAACTAATAATACTCCAGATATCTCTAAGACAACGTCGGGAGTACCACCAATGCCAGGCACCCTAAATCTTCACAGGGTGGCACGAGAGCCTAAACATGAAAGGTATCTCTTATCTATAAAAGCCACAGGGAACGATGCAAAGAAGTATGCCGAATAACCTCCCCCCATTCTCACAGAGCCAGTGCTGTCCCAAAGAATGACCTAATTCTAATTGGAAAAAAAAAAAAAAAACCCTTAAAAAAAGAAATTTTAAAAAGAACAAAGTTATGTTGAAATTATCAAAATGTCAAACAATCCGTTCTGCTTCTGTCCAATCCTACCCTATTCCTTTTTAACTGGTAAGATCTAGTGGTAATTACAGTAACCAAATGATTACACGTATTATCACTAACAACCTGACTATTATGTCTCCTTATGTAAAACATGAGGTATATAGTGTCACCAATGAAGTATTATCGACAAAAAGACTTAACCTTAATCTAATCAAATCTTTAGACTTGACTTCCAGTTTATAGAAAAATAGAGGGAATGAAGGAATAACCCAAGGGGAAAAAAATGAATTCAAAATGTGGGACAGTCTACAAGGAAACTGGCCTGGTCTTTTCAAGTCAGTCAATATCCTGGAGGGAAAAAAGGTGGGAGGACCAGTCTAGATAAAATAGAGAAACAAAAGAGCCAAATGTAGCTATGAACTTTGATTAGATGCTTGTTCAAAAAAACAAATCAACAAACAAACCAGCTTTAAAAGATATTTTGGGGACAACTGGGAAAATCTGGACTGGTTACCAGACAGTATTAGTGAATTATTCTCTTAGATATTGTAATTACACAGAAGAATGGCCTTTAGGAAATACATATTTAAATATTTAGGTGTAAAGTGTCATGATGCCTAGAACTTACTTTCAAATGTTTTAGAGAAAAATAAAATAGATAAGGCAAATATGGCAAAATGTTAAAATTGTTGAGTCTAAGTGATGCATTACTAGATGCTTATTTAACTTTTTCAGTGTATTGGAAATTTTATAAAAAGCAGGGGAGTGAGGTGGAAATTGGCTTCTTGAACAGGGCAAATCTCAAAGAAGAAAATTACCATTCATGAGTTGTAAAAGGTCAAAGGAAAATTAATCAATCTTTAACTCATTCCAAAGCCAACTATAATAAAATGAAAAGGAATAAGGCAAGTTATTTTTATATCTGCAAAGCCTAACAACACTGCTAAATATTAGGAGGAGTGGGATTAAGTAAAAAAGAAAAAAATGTTATTTAGGATTATTGACAATGTAGAGAGGTATGACTAAAGAATTATGGTTGCCCTGCTTCATGTGGCTCAGTTAGTTGGAGCACTGTCCCGTAACTGAAAGGTTGTGGGTTTGATTCCTGGTCAGGGCACATGACCAGGTTTGATCTCCAGTCCAGTTACGTATGATCCCTGTCCAGGCACGTGCAAGAGACAACCAATCGATGTTTTTCTCTCACATCTATGTTTCCCTCTCTCTAAAAAGCAATGAAAAAAAAATGTCCTCGGGTGAGAATTAAAAAAAAAAAATTATGGTTGAGCACAGTAAGTTTATGTACATTCCCAGGAAAGTCAGCTAGGTTTCTTGAACTCTTGACGGTCAATGTGAAAAATGTTTCAAGCCCTGGCCAGGTAGCTCAGTTGGTTTGAGCACTGTCCTGATATACCAAGGTTGCAGGTTTGATCCCTGGTCAGGGCACATATCCCGAACCACCAATGAACACATAAATAGGTGGAATAACAAATAGATGTTTCTCTCTCTCTCAAAATCAATCGATAAATTTTTTTTAAAAGATCCTTAAAAAAAAATGTTTCAAAGGCAAGAATTCCAAATCAACACTAATTTCCCCTTCATACAACAAACATGAATGGCCAGAAATGACTGCACATGAGGAAAGCTTACCTCAGAAACTTTTAGAAGTCCCGCAGATGCATAGTAGTTTGCTACAATACAGGCACGAAGTTTATCCATCATCCTTCTTGCCTCAATCAGTCGCTGAAAGCAAATGTTAACTCTTACTTTAAAAGATGGAAATGATAGGACAGGTATACAAGTAATTCATAACAAATGCAAATGACCCCAAAAAAGTTCAACCTCACTAATAATCAAAAACAAATAAAAATGACCATTTCCCACTTATCTATCAGATTGGCAAAAGATCTGAAAGAAGGGCAAAAACCAATGTTTTTGCAGGAGTATATAGACATGTTAATATTTCTATTTATTTGTACACATGTGTAGTCATTGAAATGTCCACAAAGATTTGAGCACAAGAGCAAAGAGGAATAATCTTTTGGGATGAAAGTTCAGGTAATTTTTTAAATTTATCTTTTCCTACAATTTCATTAAAAAAAAAGTCAAGTCATCATGTACAGATTTTTTTCAATAGTTTTTTTTGTTTAATTGATCATTATACCTGGTCAATGACTGCGATTTCATGTTCCTTATTCTTCATTTCAAGTGCAAACTGTTCCTTGATAATAGTCTCAATCTTCTGTACAGCAGCATCTCGAGCTACACAAAGAATACAAAATAATCCACGGTCTAATTAATCAGTGGCTGTCTTGATTTAAGTCAGCAAGCAAAAACGAAACCCAGGAAACAGTAACTCTGAAGCAGAGAAACCCAGTGGCCATCACCTTAGCCAATGATGAAAAATTAACATCATTAATATTGGGGCTAACTGGCCTCATGTGTTGTTTTTTTAAAAGTGGTTTTGTTTTTTGTTTTTTTCTTTTGGTTTAAGATTTAATTTATTTATTTTCAGAGAGAGGGAGAGAAACATCGATGTCCGAGAGAAACACTGATATGTCACCTCTTGCACGCTCCCCATCTGGGGACCTGGCCCAAAACCCAGGCATCTGCCCTGACTGGGAATCAAACCAGAGACCTTAAGAGTTCACAGATGACAGGCTGGTGCTCAATCCACTAAGACACATCAGCCAGGGCTGACCTCGTGTGTTTTAACTAAATCACTCTGTGGCACTCCTGCCAAGGAAGCTGAATCTAACTAATCACAGGACATCAGACAAACCTAAACTGAAGGACATTCTATAAAATAACTGGCCTATGTAATTCAAACATTACTATTCAAATACTAAAGTCAAAGAATGGTTGCAGAGATTAAAAGAGGCTAAAGAGATATTGACAACGAAATGCATTGTGTGATCCTGTTGAGGGAGAAATAGTTATAAAAATACAATACTGGGATAACTGGTAAAACTTGAAAATGGACCACAGATTAGATAATGTAATGGGTAAATGTTAAAATTTCCTGCTTTTGATAACTATACTGTAGTTACATAAGAGAATGTTCTTAGGAAATACACAGAAGTGTTTACATGTGTGCTATTTCCCAATGATTTAGAAAGCATGATGTACATATACATCTGTATGCATGTACATGCATACATGCATGCATTTGTGTGCATGCATCCTCACTTGGAGGTGAGGGAGAATGATAAACCAAATGAGGCAAAATGTAAACAACTAGCAGTTTTAATAGAAGATATACAAGTACTTCTTGTAATTTTTCTTTGTGAAACTAAAATAAAATTACCAAAAAATAAAAAGAAACACATGAAGATTCTGAGAGAAGTATTTGGTAAGTCAGGAGAAAGACAGTAAAGAGTTAGCTAGAGCAGTAACATAAGAACACAGTAAGTTTCCTTCTGTAGAGAAGGATCTAGCAAGCAATTCGGCAGTTCTGACCACAACTACCCAAAGGAATGAATATGAAGAAAGAATTTAAAAGAAAACAAAATGCCTCTGAAGGTTTCAGGTGGTGATTATTCAAAGTAATAAGCGATTCAGAGGTAAAATTATCAAAATATGTAGCTCCATAAAAGAGAATTAAAAAAAAAAGAAAAGCTGAATTACTACCTGAACCTGGGACTTTGCAGAATGATCCTGTATTTGTAAGATGAGAAAAATCACCACCCATGCTTTCGAGTATATGAAAAGTTGAAGAGGAAATTTGGACTCTGATCACCCAGATCACTTTCTTCCCATAAAATATGCCATTAGATTGGCAATTTGAAACTAGTAATAATATATACATTCTTAAAAAAAATTTTCTTTTAATCCTCACCCAAGGATGTTTTTATTTCATTGCTTTTACAGAGAGAGGAAGGGAGGGAGAGAAACATCAATGTGAGAAACACCAACTGGGTGCCTCCCATACACGCCTGGACCAGGAATCATACATGCTCAGACCAAGCATGTATGAACCGACAACCCAGGTATTTGCCCTGACCAGCAATCAAACCCACACCCTTTCGGTTACAGGATGACGCTCTGACCAACCGAGCCACACCGGCCAGGGAGGTCTAAACAGTCTTGTAGATATGTCTGCAGAGGCAAAGGACAGATTTTCCTCATATTTGAGGTAAAGAATTATTTTCTATTATTACTGTATATATCCTAGTTTACAGAAACCTTGTATGCAGAAACCAGCAGATACACTTAAGGAAGACTGAAAGTCTCCCTAGAGACAAAAATCAGTGAAGGCTATTTTATTCTACATAAATAAACTCTTTTAAATGATCTCTTTCATGGAATAAGTAAAAACAAAACAAACAACAAACAAAATAAGACAATATATGTAAGTGAGGCATCCTACCAAATCTACTCTGAGAAAAATTCTGAAAAATAAAAATATGGTTGGGAATTTGGTAGAATATGGACACCAAGAGGGAGAATAGCAAATTGTAACTCAGTAACAAAAAACTGTCCCTGCTTTGGCTGAGTATTAGGGAACTTAGTGAAATTATGATATTTACTAAAACATTCAGGTTTCCCTATTCTTGTTTTTATTTTTAAAAAGTTATGCCATGTGATACATTTGAGTTTCATGATACTTTCACATTTATTTGGCTTGTTTCTGAAAGGAAATGACATTTCCTTATAAATAAAATTACAACTCAGTGGGAGGGAAAGTTGCAGTGAAATATTTTCACTGTTTGGAATTAGACTTGATAATTTTTGATCCACAAACACTTTGGGCGGGTCAGGGGGAGGGTATAGTATGACTTGACTGAACTTTTAGAGACTGGAATTTTCTTTACTACTTAAACTCCATCTTTGCAGAGCTCCAACACCTTTTCTATGACTTTGACACCTTCTTTACTCAGCTCTTACTATTAACATATAGATTTATTATTTAAAAGAATAATAAATTTCAGTAATAATTTGTTTTAAAAACTCAAATTTAGCACCTTTTTGTGCGATAGCCTGAAACATGCTGGGTAATTACAGACACTTAATTGATGACCTGCTCTTCAACTAACTATATGATCTTGAACAAGTAATTTAATGCTCCTGAGCCTTAACTACTAGCCCTCACATGCAGGGGTAAACTAGATCAGTGTTTCCCGACTCTCCATCATTCATATACCATCTTCAAGATACCCATCACATCTGACAACCATGTGAAACATCTAACTAAAACACTTAAATAACATTTTAAAATAATTTTAGCCTTATCTTGGCAACAACAGTCATGAAACCACAAGTCTCATCAGACCTTTCTATAGACATTAAAATAATTTATAACTATTAATATATAAAACCTTAATCCAGCCCTGACTGCTGTGGCTCAGTTGGTTGCGCATTGTTCCTGCAAAGCAGAAGGTCACTGGTTTGATTCTCGGTCAGGGTACATGTCTGGGTTGCGGGTTTGGTCTCTGGTTGGGGCGTATATGAGAGACAACCAATTAATGTTTCTCTCCCTCTCTTTCTCCTACCCTTCCCCTCTCTCTAAAAATAAGTAAAATCTTAAAAACAAACATACAAACCTGCATCCATGTATCACCTATAATCATCTCATGTAACACATTATAGTACACGTATCATAAGACTTTATGATTATACCTAACGTATGATAGCTAAAACTTATAGCTTCTCTCATTACTGATGCGTTTACTGTCTACCTGACTGTTCCTTTCTTTTATGCTACACATGGTATAATTGTGTGTGGCATTAATAATAATTAAACAGAGCACTCAGTTAATCCCTCTCACAAACCTCTTCGAATTAGATACAACAGTGGAAATGCATTTCATTTTAGCTCATATAAATTTCACAGGGAGACATGTGCCAACACAGAAATAAATAATTTCCTAAGTAGGTGAATGTCTACCTGAATTTTCAATTGCTTTGTGCCGCTTATTTGGAAGGGCCACAGATACATCTTCATAATCAGGGTCAGTTTCTTTGATTGTTCGCTTGATTCCAGACATGATGACATCCGTTCTTCACTGTGAAACAATAATAAATTAATTAATAAAATAGCTCGATACTAACTAGTACTTACAAATATATGTGTACACACATACAAAGGGAATACTGACACTTAAAAATCTGGGTAAATATGTACATATTCCTTCTAAAGCCAAAAGCACAACTTTGAAAATTTACTAAAAAAGAAATTATCCTCGTATCATCGTCTGTAACAAAGCATGGGTTTCCTTCCAAGAGAAAATCCTTTAACAAGGCAGCACATTATTCAGACTTCTCAAAAGGAGCCAGGTTTTCACAGAAGGGCCATCAGAAGGAAAAGGGAAAGAAGAAAAAAAAGAGGAAGGGAGGGGAAAGAGAAGGGGAAGGGGAAAGAAAAAGGAAAGGGAGCAGAATTTAATGAAAACATGGTAAGCCCACACAGTATCTCGGAACTCACAATGCATCAGGCACAATCCTAAATATGAGCAATGTAAAGTCTAAATAACTAACTTACTATTATTATTATTATATAAATCCTCTCTGTGGTACTTACAAAGTACCTGCTACAGAACAGGTACTCAATAAATATTGTTACTGATCATTTATTACTTACAGTAAACACAAACTGTATAGACATATTAAAATCTAATATATCTTTTAGATCTGCACTGTCTTGATACATTAGCCACTACCAATATATATGGCTATTTAAAGTTAATTAAAATGAAATAAAATTTAAAGTTTGGTTTTGTCCCACATTTCAGAACTAGTCATCAGTGGCCACTAGGTACTATATTAGACAGCACAGACATAGAATATTTATTTAATTATATAAAGTTCTAGCCCTGGCTGGTGTGGCTCAATTGGCTGGGCATTGGCCCACAAAGTAAAAGGTCACCAGTTCGCTGGTTCGACTCCCAGTCAGGGCATATGCTTAGGTTGTGGGTTCGGTCCTAAGTCGGAGCAAAAGGCAACCAATCAAATCAATGTTTCTCTCCTTTTCATTTTCCCTTCCTTCCCCTCTCTCAACAACAGTGGCAAAAAACAAACAAAAGTTCTACTGGACGCTGCTCCTCTTCCAAACTGTTTCATTGAGCACTTATTAATATGTCATGAATCAGTGTAGGATATGTGTCCAGCCCAGCACTGTCCAAAAGAAATGTGAACCACAAATTTAGTATCTTCTAGCAGCCACACGTAAGAGGGGAAAAAATGGGTAAAGTTAATTTTAATACTATATTTTATTCAACCAATATACCCAAAATATTATCATTCCAATATAATCAATATAAACAATTAAGATATTTTACATTCTTTGTACTTAGTCTTTAAAATCTAATATACGTTTTATTTTTTTAAAAAATTTATTTTCAGAGAGACAAGAAGGGAGGGAGAAAGAGGAGAGAAACATCAATGTGTAAAGAAATACATTAACTGGTTGTCTCTCACACACCCGATGGGGGACCTGGCCTGCAACCCAGGCCTATGCCCTGACAGAATTGAACCAGTGACTTTTCAGTTCACAGGTGGGTACTCAATCCACTGAGCCACACCAGCTAGGGCCCAGTGTGTATTTTAAACTTAGAGTCTATTTCAATTTGAACTAGCCACACTCCAATGGCTCAATAACCATTCATGGCTAGTGGCTCCCCTATGGGGCAGTGAGCATCTTCTGATACACAGGTTAAAATATTGGTCCAGGATGGTTACATGAGTTGCCTCTTAGAGTATTAATCTATGACATAGAAAAGACAAGAGCTCTCTGATTTCCAAACCTCTGGTCTATCACTCATAGAGATTATGTACCCAACCTAAGGCAAAAATACAATTCATATTTATTGAGGTAATACAAAGTTTTAAAATAAATGAAAATGAAATGTTAAAGATTTTTTGTATTCAAAGTTAAAACAGAAATAACTATTTTTTTATTTTTATATATATTTTATTGATTATGCTATTACGGTTGTCCCATTTTTCTCTCCCCTTTAATCTCCTCTGTCCTGTACCCCCTCCTTAGTTCATGTCCATGGGTCGTACATATGTGTTCTTTGGCTTCTCCATTTCCTATACTATTCCTAACCTCCTCCTGTCTATTTTGTACCTACTACTTATGCTTCTTAGTCCCTGTACCTTTTCCCCCATTCGTCTCCCTCCCCCATCCCTCTGATAATCCTGTATGTGATCTCCATTTCTGTGATTCTGTTCCTGTTCTAGTAGTTTGCTTAGTTTTGGGGTTTTTTTTAAGGTTCAGTTGTTGATAGTTGTGAGTTTTGTTGTGATTTTACTGTTCATAATTTTTGATCATCTTCTTTTTAGATAAGTCCCTTTATCATTTCATATGAAGGCTCGGTGATGATAAATTCCTTGAACTTTACCTTATCTGGAAAGCACTTTCTCTGCCCTTCCATTCTAAATGACAGCTTTGCTGGATAGAGTGATCTTGGATGTAGGTCCTTGCTTTTCATGACTTAGATCAGTTTTCACCAGCCCCTTCTTGACTGCAAGTTTTCTTTTGAAAAATCAGCTGATAGTCTTATGGGAACTCCTTTGCAGGTAACTGTCTCCTTTTCTCTTGCTGTTTTCAAGATTCTCTCCTTATTTTTAATCTTGGGTAATATAATTATGGTGTGCCTTGGTGTGTGCTTCCTTGGGTCCAGCTTCTTTGGGGCTCTTTCAGCTTCCTGGATCTCCTGGAAGTCTTATTTCCTCCACCAGACTGGGGAAGTTCTCCTTCCTTACTTTTTAAAGTAAGTTTTCAATTTCTTGCTCTTCCTCTTCTCCTTCTTGAACACCTATGATTCAGATGTTGAGACATTTAAAGTTGTCTGAGAGATTCCTAAGCCTCTCATTTTTTCTAATTGTTTCTTCATTCTGTTCTGGTTGGATGTTTATCTCTTTCTTCTGCTCCAAATCACTGATCTGAGCCCCAGTTTCCTTCCCTTTTTCTGTTGGTTCCCTGTTTATTTTTATTTCACTTTGCATAGCCTTCACTTTTCCCTCCATTTTGCGATCATATTCAACCAATTTAGTGAGCATCCCGATTATCAGTATTTTGAACTATGCATCTAATAGGTTCGCTATCTGTTCATTGCTTAGTTCTATTTTTGGAGCTTTGATCAGGTTCTTTCATTTGGGCCCTATTTCTCTGTCTCAGGGCACCTCTTATGTTGGAAGGGGTGGAGTCTTAGGTATTCCTCAGGATGGGGCCACCCACATTTGCTGCATCGTGAGGCTGTATGTTGGGGAAGGGTCCAAGAGAGAGCAATGCCACTTGCTCAGCTCTCAGCTGGCTTTTAGTCACTTCCTCGACTACCCCCAAGCAAATTGGGTTGATTCCTGGGTGGGTGGGTTTGTGTACATCCAAGACCCTGTGGGTCTCTCTAACGAACTCTCCTTTGAGGCTGGGAGTTTCTCCCACCGCCTCATCCCCCACAGGATTTTACAGCCAGAGATTTTGAGGCTTTATTTCCCTACACTGCAACCCTGGATTTCGCGATCTGTCTTGCTCCCCAGTTGTTCCTCCTGGTTTATCCGCATGTAAATGTGGGACCACCCAGTCCGCCAGCTCCTGCCTTACCCACCCAGTCCTCCAGCTGCCATGTTGCCATGCATCCTCTCCCCACCACTTCCCGCCAGCTGCCTGTCCCTGCCCCTCCTACCTGTCTGGATGTATGTTTCTTTTTTAGCTCCTTGGTTGTTGGACTTCCACACAGTTTGATTTTCTGGCAATTTTGGTTATTTATTGTTTTTTAATTTGTTGGTTGTGTGAGGACGCAAAGTATATCTACTTACACTTCCATTTTGGCCAAAAATCCCAAAATAACAATTTAAAAGTCTCTTGGGCTGTCAGTCCAGTTTTCACCCATCCCAGACATAGACTGACTTGATTCAGCTGGGAGAAAAACTCACATATGATAAATGCATATGTAAAACCTGGATATGAGAGAATATTTTTCTGCCCTGACCAGTGAGCTCAGTTGGTTAGGCATTGTTCTGCAAAGCAAATGGTCCTCAGTTGACTTCCCAGTCAGGGCACAAGCCTGGGTTTGGGTTTGATCCCAGTCAATTGGAGTGCACAGGAGAGGCAACCAATCGATGTTTCTCTCTTACATCAATGTTTCTCTCCCGTTCTCCCTTCCTTCCATTCTCTCTAAAAATGAATATAATTTTAAAAATAAAAATAAAAAAATTTTAAAAGGAATGCTTTTCCTATAACTGTTATCTTGTGTAATACCCCTAAGCTTTAAAATGTTCTAAAGCCCTTCAGCATCAATAAACATACTTAATCAAGCCATTTAATGTTTATTCACCATCACTGCCTACTTGATTTAATTCAAAATACTGTGAATCTTTATCTTTGTAGAGACCCTGAATCTAAATACTGTTTTCTGTTTTCGAGGCTTTTAAAAAGTGAGAGTAAAGTCTTTTGGCCTTCTCCAATTGGTCCACAACTCATTTTAGACAACCTGAAAAAAACTGTTAGGCAGTTACATGAAGAATATATTCTTAAAAAAAAAAAAAAAAATCAATAAACCTCATTTCTTTTTCCTTAATGTAGTTAAGAAAAAAAAGGTCTTATTCTCAGATAAATCTAAAATCAGAGATAAAAACAAGCCAACAAATCTCCAAATCTGTTTCTGTGCCATACCATTTTCTCAGTGCCTACCTGTCTTCTAGTTTCCTAAGAGCTTATGGGATTACCTGTGAAGATGAGGAGTATAAAATCATCTTCACCCATTCCATGGACCTCATAACATGTACATTCTCTTCCCACCACCCCTCTCAAGTAATCTCAAGAATGACAGTGGCTCTTTCCCAGAAAGGCTGGGGATCCTTGAAGAAAACAGTATTTTATTTTACTTTTCACTTAAGGGATTAAAGCAAAAACTCTCTTTTAACTTTTGCTCTAAAACTGAAGGACCAAAACAGAAAAAAAGGGAAGAATTTGCTGGTGGAGGGGGTTGGGTGGATTAAGGAAGAAATCACCAGTGAGTTAACTTGTTCTGCCAAGGTACTGTATTTTGCCATGTATAACATGCTCCCATGTATAATGTGCAGCCACGGTTTTGTGAGCATTATATAAGGGATTGTTACACTCATGGCATGTGATCATTATACCCATGTATGATGCACCCTTATTTTTCCTTTAAAAATTTGGGCAAAAAGTGCGCATCACACACAGCAAAATAGGTAATTCCTATTTCATGCCTAACTCTTTGTAAGCAAACTTCTCCTGTCGTCTTTGGGCATACACTTGAGCTTCCAAAAAACATGTGTAGGAAGATTTAGGACTAGAATACTGAGCACTTTTAAATAATTCAGTTCTTCTTCAGCCTAGCAAGAACAATACTAAAGTATACATATGCCACATTCAAGTACATGCTAGCTAAGATCTGCTGAAGTATGCGATCATCATCATGTAAAAACTGAATGGAATGTGTAACAAATGACCTATGGTAATATTAAGTTTTGGATTCTTCTTGTCTGATTTCAAAATTTATGAAAAGGAAATGTGAGCAGCAGCTAGATCTCATCAGATTCAACTCTGAAACAAAATATCCTACTAAAGGTTTTGAATTAGATGAAATTAAAAAGAATACTGAGATGGTACTGTGAACCATTAAAAAAAAAATCTGTTACAGTTTCTAATTTGTCTGTGAGAAAAAATTTTCTCCATACCATGGAACCAAATCCAAATATAGAAAAATATGTAATGCTGGTTCCTATAACTTAAAAATGTTATCTCATTGAAACAGCCTCATTATAAATGGTAAATATTGTCTGTTTAACCTTAAAAAAGACACATTCCTCCCAAGTACAATATAGAAAATTAAAACTAACCAGTATCTTATCCATTCAAATAAATTAGGGAGTTTCTGAAAAAGGTTAAAAACCAAAAACACAACAAAACCTTTCAATATTCATTACTTGGAAATAAACCCAGAGAAAAATAGTTCAAATTACAAAAATTATGAAATATATAGTCACTAAAAATTCTTAGTAAAAGGTTTTAGTTCTCATATCAAAGGAAACATAAAACATAGTCCTAGAATCCTATCTTGCAGACACATTTTACAAGATGTGGCCAATTCTTGGGGGAAGGAGTAAGATCTGATAAGTAAGGCCCTTACATATGTACTTTGTGAGGTATCTTCTCAATATAAAATTCTATGAATCCTTATGGCATTTGAATCTCATTAGAACCACTGAATTTTGTGCTCTCTTACAAGATAACTTTGCCCATCTGATTTTAAAAAGGGGGGTGGGAAGAAGCAGCAAAATCATTTTCCATCTGCTTCCATATAAGACGAATGTTTCTAAGATGTAAATAATGATTTTATAATTCTTTGGCCCTTTCTCTATAGTCTTATACAAACAACATTATTCACAACAGCCAAAACATAGACTTGTTCATTGACATTTGGATAAACAAAATAGATATAGACATACACAGGAATATTATTCAGCATTAAAAAGGAAATTATGACGCATGCTACAAAATGGATAAACCTAGAGGATGTTATACTAAGTGAAATAAGCCAGTCACAAAAAGACAAATATTGTACGATTCCACTATGTCAGCAACATATTTTTTATTATCTAAAGAACTCTTGACAATAAATTAGGGGATTTTTGGTCAAGATGGTGGCACAGGCAGACATGACTCGTCTATTCACATGACCACATCAAAATTACAACTAAAATATAGAACAACCATACTCAGAACTGTCAGAAAAAGAGTTGAATGGAAGTCTGACAACTACAGAATTAAAGAAACCACATCCATCCAGACTGCTAGGAGGGGTGCAGACAAAAATTTGGGAGGGATATCTCAAGTGTGAGAAGCCCAGCCCCACACCAGGCACCCAGCCCAGGGTTCTAGTACCAGGACAGTAAGTCCCCACAACTTCCAGCTGCAAAAATCGGCAGGGGTTGAGTTGGTGGAAGAAACTGCTAAAACCCCAAGCAGTTTCTCCTAAAGAACCCACACACAGACTCACCTACTCAGACTTATTCTCTTTTGAGTTCCAGCACCAGGGTAGCAGTTTAAAAGGCACCGGTGTAGTATATAAGGAGAAGCTGAAGTGTCTGGCATCAAGGCGAGCAAAGGCCATTGTCTCTTTTCTAAACCTTTCCTGCACAGAGCCAGTAAGCTGGTGCCACATCTGAGACTCCATCAACTTGGCTAACACAGCTTGACTCACCTAGGAGATCCCCAGAGACTCTGCCCCAACCAAGGGGCATACCCAAGATGCTTTTTCATGTGAATGGTTGGTCTTGGCTTACCTTCACAACTTCCTAAATCCTATCAAACAAAGCAACAGCTGGCCTCAGTGAGCCCCAGGCCCGGCACTAGTAGCAGCCAGCCTAGATTCACAGCTTGGCTTCACCTGGGAATCTTCAAGCCCAGCACAAGTAGCAGCCATCTCATATTGCTTTATAGCTCAAGAAGTGTGTCCACAGGCAAAACACAGGTGGGAGATGACCTTGGCCCACACCACCCGGGACACCCTAGAGCCGCTGCACCCAGTGGACAGCCATAGACCACATCAGAGCACCACCACCCTGACCATGCACAGCTGATCCTCCATGGAGGGTGAAGGCTGGTAGTCAGTGGTCACAGTCTCTGGCCTGGGTAAATCCTTCCCATTGATCTTTCAACAGTAACCAAGGCTCAACTACAAGAGGAGGATGTACTCAGCCCACAAGAAGGGTACACCTCCAGTACCCAGCCTGGGTCACCAGTTCTATTCCTAGTCTATGTACATGCCTGGATGGCAGGCCAGGTCAGCAGTAGGGGGCACACCAGGGGCAACCATACACTGATATTTCTCTTCCTCCCTTCTCTTTTCTAAAAATAAATGAATAAGATTTTTAAAGAAAATGAAATAAAGAACAATTTACGGGAAAACAACAGTGGTATGGAAGAAGCTGAGAATCAGATCAGTGATTTGGAACAGAAGGAAGCAAACAACCACCACACAGAACAAGAAGAAAAAAGAACCCCCAAAAAGTGAGGATAATATAAGCAGCCTCTGGGACAACTTCAAGAAGTCCAACATTTACATCATAGGGGTACCAGAAGAAGAGAAAGAGCAAGAAATTGGAAATCCATTTGAAAAAATAACGAAAGACAACTTCCCTGATTTGGCAAAGGAAATAGACATTCAAGTCCAGGAAGCACAGAGAATCCTAAACAAGATGAGGCAAAGAGGGCCACTCTAAGACACATCAACATCAAAATGCCAAAGTTTAAAAGATAAAGAGAGAACCTTAAAAACAGCAAGAGAAAAGAGGTTAGTTACCTCTAAGGTAGTTCCCATAAGACTGTCAACTTATTTCTCAAAAGAAACTTAGCAGGCTAGAAGAGACTGGCAAGAAATACTTAAAGTCATGAAAAGCAGGTACCTACAGCCAAGATTGCTCTACCCAGCAAAGATATCATTTCAAATTCAAGGGCAGAAAAAGAGCTTCCCAGACAAGAGAAAAAAAACTGAAGGAGTTCATCATCACCAAACCATTGCTATATTAAATGTTTAAGGGCCTTATTTAGAAAAGAAGATTGAAACTATTAACAATAAAATGGCAATAAATACATTTCTATCAACAACTGAATCTAAAAAACAAACTGAGCAAAAAGAACAAAGACAGAATCATGGAAACAGACAGCATTTTGATGGTTGCCAGGTGGAAGAAGTGGGATGGGTAAAGAGGTGAGGGGATTAAGTAGTACAAATAGGTAGTTACAGAATAGCCATGGGGATGTAAAGTACAGTATAAGAAATGGAATAGCCAAAGAACTTATTATACACATAACCCATGGACATGAACAATGGCGGGGGGGGGTGTCTGAGGGAGTGGTAGATGCTGGGTGGAGAAGGGCAAAAGGGAAAAATCAGGACCACTGTAATTGCATAATCAATAAAATACAATTAAAAAAACCCCAGAGATCAGAAATTGACCAAAAAGCACAGAGTACAGGAACAGAAATTCATAAATGATCAATAAATGTGAAAAAAACCTTCAACCATATTAGTAATCAAGGAATGGAAAATTAAATAAGACATCATTTTTCATCTATCAAATTTAGTTTTGGGGTAGATGGAAATAAGAAGTCTTGAAAAACGGGTACTTTTTCTAATTCACCCTCACTGTCTTCACTTCTTCACATCCCACTTAATTATTCCAATCCGTTTCCCACCTTCCACTTCCAGAACTCTAGAGAGTACTGCCAATGACCAAAACCAATAAGCTCCACAATGCACCCTGGCTGGGTGGCTCAGAGGGTTACAGCTTTGTACACCAAAAGGTTGTGGATTCAATTCCTACTTTGGGCACATAACCTAGGTTGCAGGTTAGATCCCCAGGCGGGGCGCACACAGAAGGCAACTGATCAACGTTTCTCTGAAATCAAGAGAAACAAACTCTCAGGTAAGGATTTTTAAAAATAAAATTAAAAAACCCCTCCATGATGCCACATCCAATTGTATATCTTATCAAACATCTTAGAAATGCTGATAAAAGGATCAATTTTCCATCTTCCAGAAACTTACTTACCTCTTTTGACTTTCACGACTACAAGTCTTTCTTCCTCTACCAGACCTTAGAGCATTGGAGTGCCTGAGCCTCTATTTTCACCTCTTATTTATACTCTCTCCCTAAGTGATCCCATATACTCCCAAAACTTTGACATCGTCAATATCAAAGATATAACAGAACACTCCCAAATTTTTATCTGCAGCGCTAGGCTCTCTTCTGTGAGTTCCAAACCCATACGTCCAACTGCCTCAACATACTGACTTTATAACTAATATGCATCTCAAATTTAATACATCCAAAACTTACGATTTTTTTCTTTCTTTTTACTATTGGCACTATTACAGATGTCTCGATTTTCCGTCTCTTTGCCCACCTCCACCCAGCCCCTGCTCCCATTCCCCCAGCCATCACCACACAGTTGTTTGTGTCCTTGGGCTATGCATAAGCATCCCACATTCTTTGGCTAATCTCTTCCCTTTCTTTCATTCAGTCCCCTCCTCCTCCCTCCCTTCTGACAGCTGTCAGTCTGTTCCATGTATCTATGCCTCTGTTTCGATTTTGCTGGTCAGTTTATTTTAATTTGATTCTACATATAAGTGAGATCATATGATACTTGTCCTCCTCTGACTGGCTTATTTCACTTAGCATAATTTTTCAAAACTCACGATTTTTCCCACCTCAAATTTCTCTTCCATTCTTCTTCTCAGTAAATGGCACCACCTAGTCCAAGTTGCTCAAAGCAAATACTGAAAAGCAAAGAAGTCTCCCTTTCCCTAGCCAATCCATTTCCATGTCTTGTTCATTCTTCCTCCAAAATACTTTTTAATCTTTTTATCCTGCTCTATCTTCGCTATCATGGAGTTCAAGATACTGCAAACAGCGTCCTAACTGGTCTCCACATAGCAGTCAGATTTTGAGCCCTACCTACTTGAAACCTTCAAAGGATTCCCATAAAAACAGAATTCCTAACCAGGTCATCATCTGCTTCTATTTTTGAAAGAATATACACAGCCAAAAATACATACTCATTGATAATCTCTGTAGACAGGGAAACTGGGTACTTTTTCTCCTGTTGCTTGTCTATTTTTAAATTTTTCCATGATGAATATTTGCTACTTGCTTATTAAGAGGAAATAATAGTGCTGAATACTACTTATTATATCGCATTTCACATGCTAACAAGAAAAGGGAATGGAAAATTGTAGGTGATCTTTAATTGTTATAAGTTACAAGCTTTGATGAAAATACTAGCTAACATATATCAAACTCTAGGGATTATTGGCTATATTTTCCTCCTTCACTTTGTATTTTTAACATAATTACATTCATAACAGGAAAAAAATGTTATGATATAAACCTCATTGTCTTCTGCAATCTGGCCACAACCCACCAAACCAGTCTTTCTTCCAAGTACTCACTTTCCCAAGCTTTCCACTCCAACCCCGCACTGTCTCACACTTTCCTGTTTTAATTCGGGCACCATCTGTGGAAGATCCTCCAACCTTTCTAAACCCTACTTGTCCTACACGGGGGACGGGGACGGTAGGGATGGCGACAGGTTGGAGGGAGATTCCAGGATTCTTGTGGGTAAATGCACGACTTGCTAGTGCTGGGGCCACATCTTGTCTCCAATCCTATCACAGGCCACCGAGCTTAACATCCCGAAAGCTCTGGCTACTGGGGCTCAAGGGACCCCCATCCCCTCAGAGAGCGCTGTGCCCTTTAGAGAAGGAGCACCCGCGAACACACACACACTCCGGGTTTCCGCTTCAGAGACCCTCGGGACATACACACTCATCCCGCAACATACACACACACACACACACACACACACTCTCCAGGTTTCCGCTTCGGAGACCCTCCGGACATACACACTCACCAGGGAGCCAGCCTCCTCCTCCCGCTCCAGGTCCTCTACTCTCTGCAGTCACACGCGGCCTCCCTCCGCTCCACACCCGGGGCCGCGCGGCCGGCGGCGTGGGGGAGGGGCGCGCACGTGCCCGCGCCGCCCCCGCCCAGACAAGGCCCCGGAGAGCGGAGCGCGCTCCCGGTCGGTCCCATCCAGCTCCCGCCAACACTCACCCTTTCCCTGGACTCCGGCAGAAACGCAGGCCAAGCCGGACTCCGTGAGACAGCACGGGGGAGCTGAGAGAGCGGGCGAAACTCCTCAAAGCGCGGCGACCCCGCCACGAAGCCCCACCGACCCCGGAACGTGCGGAAGCACAAGGTTCTGTGTAGCCCGCCCGGCCCGTTCGGCAGCGCACGTCACCAGCAGGGGCGGGGCAGGGCGCGCGCGGCGGCGGCGCGCGCTGCCCATGGGCGGGGCCCGCTGAAATGTGGGCGGGGCCAGGATGGGAGTTGATCTTGGCCCAGACTGTGGCCCAGGGCCGCTTCTCCCGGGGAGTATGGCCATCGGTTTGGCACAGTCACCATCACTTACCGTTTCCCTCCCGCAGGAAATGAAAGGTTCCAACTCCAAGTTTGACAGAATATTCATTCTACCAGTGTTTGTGAAGCTTACACAGTATAGGATTAACCACAGTGGCTATGATTTTTGTGTCATCTTGTACCAAGCTTTGTGCTAGGAGTTAGGAATACAGATAACTGTAGTTATTACCAGCCTGCTTCACAGGTGCAGAAACTGAGGCTCAAAAGATTGGACTTATCTGGGTCACATAACTAGTGAGTGACAATCTATCAAGTCCAGATTTCCTCCCTAATATCTCTTGAGCCCAACCTACCCTTTCCCTTACTTTGTACTACCTTCGTCTCTCTGCTCTGGACTGCTCTAGCCTCCCAAATGGTCTCCAGGGATCTGTTTCTGTCCCACTTTGATCTGTTCTCATTATGTAAAGATTTACCACTGGAGAGGGGTGGTAAGTTTAGAGAAGGTTCACTTTGTAATTGCTTTATATTTTACATATGTTACCAACTTTCTGGATGTATTTAATGTTTAATAAACATGTTTGAAAGAATTTACTTTTTCAATTCCAATAGCAAGCCCAGAGCATTGCACATAGTATGGGCCGAAAAAGTACTTGTTAAATGAATAAATAAGAGGGCCAGGACCTGACTCCAAAGTCCTGCATGATAAGGGAATCAAGAGGTTTAGGTCTAGTAGGGGTAAACCAGCTTAACAATATTTGTTCAGCAAATTTGTATTGCATTTCTAGTCTGTGTTTAGGCACTGAGAATCAAAAGCAAACAAAACAGTTTCTGTCCTTTGAAATTTACAGTCAATCTTATGTGAAAGGCCAGGAAAGACCTCCTTGAGTCTTAAACTATGACCCACAGAGAAAATAGGAATTGGAGAGATAAAAATAAATTTTATGGAGAAAGAGGTAGTTTAAGGAATCAGCATGAGTATGTCAGTGCTCCCATACTTTTGGAGCCCAAACGCCAGGTCAGGAGCACAGAAGTATCCACTTAAGGAGGAAGGAAGTGGGGGTAAGGGGGGAAGCCCACTTTCCCTGGCCCAGCTTGGAAGGCTGCCGAATTCTGGCCAAAGTCTTACACTGAGCAGAGAGTGGCACCGGGGAGGGAGAGGAGTGTGAGAAAATGCTGCTGAATGCTCATAACTTGCATGTGACATGCCAGGAAACCAGTCTTCTGTATATGCTCCCTGCCAGGCAAGCAGAAAGTAGCATGGTTGAGAACCATGGACAGACGAATGGGCACTGTGCCAGGGGCCAGGTGATCCTAAACCAAAGGCAAACGAGAACTGATTGGCAGGGAATGGCTGAAAAGTGTGGTTAAGACCGCCAAGGATAGGCAAAGCTGAAGACCCCAGCAACAGCAGAAGTGCTCCCAAGTCAGTTGGTAAGCAGAGCAGGAATGGAGGAACCAAGGTGGGAAGATGAGGCGTCAGACTCTCAAGGTACTGAAACGACAAATCATGAGCTTGCCAATCAACAAACTCAGCAGCTGATGCCAGCAGGGCCATGGTGACCAGGAGTGACTAGGGAGTAAAGGCCAGTGAGGACCCTGAGTACAGTTCCCAGCTCCTGCCACTTCCTTGAAGTTTCTCTTTCATCCCACAGGCCATCTTGGGAAGTCAGGGGCAGGGGAAAGTTCTGACAGGGTTGCAACTTTGAATTGACTGAATTTACCCCAAATGAGACTGTTTAAAACCAGATAACTTTAATCCACAAATTTAAGTTTAGCCCAGTCCCCCGCAGGAACTCCCCAAGAGTCCATGAGAAAGTTTGCATCATTTAAAGAGAAATTAACATAGCTACAGATTTTTACACAAATACATACAATGCATCCATTTCAGTAACAGAGATAAGCTCTACTAAGGAAAAGGTCTGGGTGCTGAGAAAGCACAGCACAGGGGGACCAAATTTCACGTGAAGGTAGAAAAGTCCTCCCTGCAAAAAATATTAAATGAAACTTGAAGCAGTAGGAGCTGTTGGGTCATGACGAATCCTAAGGCGGGTAAAAGTAGTCCAGGGGAACTTAAGCAAGAGCAGAGTGACTGAGAGTTAGGAGCAAGATCACACAGGATGCAGTGTTAAGATTTTGATCTTTATGGTAAGAACAACAACAGGAAGTCATCAAGGGTTTTAAGGGAGGGGGGTTGTGCATGTATTCAGTTGCCTTTCAAAAAAGATCACTTACACACTGACTAATGCAGTTCAGTTGGTTGGGCGATGTCACTCAAAGCCAAAGGTTGCCCTTGGATTCTCCATCAGGCACATGCCTGGGTTGCAGGTTCTGTCCCTGTATGAGAGGCAACCAATTGATATTCGTCTCTCACATCCATGTTTCTCTCCTTCTCTTTCTCCTTCTGCCCCTCTCTCTAAAAATAAATAAATAAAATCTTTAAAAATATGTATCACTTACCCTGGCAAGTGGGTGAGGAATGACTGGAAGGCTGTGTGACCAAAGAAGCAGCCAGACAGTTGGAAAGCGATTTAAGCTGTCCAAGTGAAAAATGAGCGTGGCATACCCTGGACAGTAGAGATGGAGGGAAGTGGATAGATTCAACAACTGGGGAGAAAATACTGAGAGGCTTGGCAATGAAGTGGAAGGAGACCAGGAAGGGAAGAAAAGGGAAGGAGACTGGCTGCTGCTAAGTCAAATGGAACATGAGAAAAAGCCACCTTAACTCTCCAGCTTGGCACGTGGCTAGAGGTTGGATTTCAGGCCCCTCCTTGGCCAGGCTGCCTCTGGCATCATTCACCAGTACAATCGCTGGAGGTGAAGGAGGGGGTACAATCACTAGTGGAACAGGGTTGGGGTAGGTTAAGAGAAGAGTGGGGAGTTGGGGGGAGGTGGATATTAAATGTACAATATTAATGAAAGGAAAAGCAACTAGTATTAAAGTTAGTCAAGAAGGTTTCAGGACTATTGACACTGACCCAGGAAAAGAAACCAGTGGTTTTGGGGGCCTCACACTGGCAATTGCTGGCAAACAGCTTTTTGTTGCAGAGAAACAAGGAAAGCCTAAGAACGGCCGTGAGCCCAAAGCTCAGCCTGAGTGGAAAGCGTAAGTTGGCTTAGACGAAAAACTGTTGCTAAACTGACCAGAGAGTCCTAGGTGTTCTGCCCTCCTCCCTGGGAAGACCAATCATCCTTCCTAAGATTAACAGGAGCTGGACTCCTGGAACCCTTAAGGTAATGAGATTCTCCTACCAGCATGCAGACACTAATTAGACTTGCAAAATGAGAGCCTCACCTATTTATAGCCTCAAACTGTTAAAGTAGCTAGTGTCTGAGAATTACACTCAGGTAGTTTAAAATAAATGACTGCCCCCAACAAGGTCCAAACATTCAGTAGGCCTGTTTAGATTTTGGTAGAACCATTTTCCACTCTGGTAGATACTCTTGGACTCTACCCTAACCCCAAAGAAACCATGTATTGTTCCTCTCCTCCATGTGGATTGTACAGTCACCGCGGAATACAGACTTAGGGAATGGAGGAGATGATGAAAGACATTTTCGTTCATGAAAAAAAAAGATATTTGCTCTGAAAGGAAAGTTTCTATGGCTGGAACTGGTTGATTTCTTTGTGTTTGTTTTGTTGAGATAAGAAATGTCCAGGCCCTGGCTAAGAAGCTCAGTTGGTTGGAGCATCATCTCGATATGCCAAGGTTGCAGGTTCGATGCCCAGTCAGGGCATGTACAAGAATCAACCAATGAATGCGTAATGGGTAGAACGACAAATCAATGCATCTCTCTCCCTCTCCTTCATTCTCCCTTCCACTTTCTCTCTCTAAAAATCAATAATTTTTTTAAATTAAAAAATTAAATTAAAAACGAAAAAAAGAAAGGAATATTCAAATCTGTAGAGGTTTTTAAATTTTTTTTTAAAGAGAGAGAGAGGAAAGAAGGGAGAAAGCGAGGGAGAGTAATGTCGATATGAGAGAGAAACATCAATCAGTTGCTTCTCACACACTCCCAACTGGGGACCTGGCCCACAGCCCAGGAATGTGCCCCAACTGAAGTTGAACTGGCAACACTTTGGTCCACAGGCTGACCCTGTACAGTGAGGACTGTAGAGAATTTTAATGAGTTTATTGGAGCCAAATGGATGATAACGCTGGGGAGCAAAATGTCAAATGCCAGTTTTACGGTTTCTTTTATGTAATTGAAATTAAAAAGGGGGTGTAAGGAAGGAGGGAGAAAGCAAAGTGGGGTTTGGATTATAGGATTGTGAACAATGTTATGTGCTCTCCTGAGGGTTGATACCCGCTTTGAGGGATATTCTGATATTTCAAAGGGATGTTTACTTAAATGCACAACAGCTTAAAACCTTTCCCTAAAGAAGTTATATGACTACCTACCATGACCTGCCCAGTTAGATATTTACAGTCAGATCACCCTGTGAGGGTGCTTTCCATAAAATCTCCCCCGCCTTTTTTTTCTGACCACAGTTTCCTATAAAAACGAAGCCTCTCGATGTGAGAAATT